CCCTAAACCCTAAACCCTAAACCCTAAACCCTAAACCCTAAACCCTAAACCCTAAACCCTAAACCCTAAACCCTAAACCCTAAACCCTAAACCCTAAACCCTAAACCCTATGATGATCAATCAATCACTGCCCTCCTCCAAATCACTTGCCTTCTTCTCCTCCTGCAACCCAAACTCCGTATCCAGCTGCTCCCGCATCGGAACCTCCTGGACAACAAAAGCGACCAGGAAGCCTAGAAGCCCGAACGCGAGCCCAACATACCACACGATCCGCAGGCTGTCCACGTACACACCCACCACTGCGGCCTGGACAGCAGGCCGGTCATCCAGCGAGGTCATAAACTCCTTGGTGGCGAGCTCGTACGCACCACCGTTCGCGAGACGGGCCTGCAGGGCGGGCTCATCACCCAGCCGGGACGGCAGCAAAGTATTGACCTGGCTATTGAAGACGGCGGAAGGAATGGCCACGCCCCAGATGCCGCCCAGACTGCGCAGGAAGGCCCAGGTGGCGGTCGCGACGGCGACATCAGCCTCGGAGAGGGGCGCCTGGAGGGCCGGCAAGGTGGTGGTGAGGAGGGTGCCGACGCCCGCCGCGCCGAGAATCTGGAACCCGACCCAGTCGCCCTCGGACGAGGAGGCATCGAGGAGGGTGAAGAGGCCGTAGGCAATGATGAGGAAGGCGAAGCCGGCGAAGTGGAACGGTCGGTAGCGGTTCAGGGTGGACAGGCCGCCGCCGGACAGGATGGCGAACGGGATGGCCGTCACGGCACTGGGGAGGAGGTCCACGCCGGACCGGGTCGGGGAGGCGCCCTTGACGGCCTGGAAGTACACCGGCAGGAAGTACGTGATCCAGTAGGTGAGGATGGCGTGGATGAAGGTCAAACCGAAGGCGCCGAGGGAGGTGCGATTGCCAAAGAGGCGCAGAGGCATCGTGGGCTCATCGGTGGGGAGCCACGTCGAGGCTTCTAGGGCCAGGAAGGCGATCAGCCCGAGGAGCCCCAGGATCAGGGGCACGAGGGTCTGCGAGGAGGACCACGGGTGCACGGTGCCGCCCCACGTCAAAGCCAGGAGGATCGCCAGGACGGAGGCAACCAGGATGGCATTGCCGAAGATGTCGATGCGGCGGAGCATGTGGCGGAGCGGCTGCTTCTTGTAGTGGACGTGGAGGAAGGGGACGAGCAGCAGGAGGGCGGCGCCGCAGATGGGCAGGTTGAGGTAGAAGATCCAGCGCCAGGTGACGCGCTGGGTCATGAGGCCGCCGATGACGGGGCCCAGCGAGAGGGCGACGGCGAAGACGGAGAAAATGACGCCCATGTACTTGGGGCGCTCGCGCAGCGGGACCAGGTCGCTGACGATGATGTCCACCAGGACGTTGATGCCGCCGCCCCCGAGGCCTTGGATGGTGCGGCCGGCGATGAGGGCGCCGGTGCTCTTGGCCGAGCCCGACACGGCCGAGCCCACTGCAAACAGCACCACCGCCAGGATGGTCAGGCTGCGCCGGCCGAAGATGTTGGCCGTCTGGCCGTACAGCGGTTGGAAGGCGGCCATCGTGAGCATGTATGCGTTGGATATCCACACATAGGAGTCGCCCGAGTTCAAGTCCTGCACGATGGTCGGCAGGGCCGTCGAGATGACGGAGGCATCCAGCGCGGAGAGCAAGGAGGTGACAGTGAGCGCCGCAAAGATGGCCTATGTTGGGCATCAGATGGCAACTCGTGGAGACCGAGGAGGAAGTGGGAGGTACTTACCCAGAACCGCCAGCCCTGCTTGACGGGAGGCGGGCTGCTGGTCTGCGGGGATGGGGAGGAGTCTGTGGACATGTTGGGCCGACCGTCGTTGCTGAATTCGATGTCCGATGAGAAGCAAGGTCCTAGAGTGCACGATCCGGGGGGAAGGGGGGAGAGGGATCCAGATTCACTCTTATACCAACTCGCTGCAGGGGATCGGACCTGAGTCAGGGCTGGGTGGGGCTCCTGACATCTGACACCAGATCCGGTGGGTCCCCTGACTCAGGAAGGACCATGTTGATTGATGCGGATCTCCTCCGTGCATCCAATTATCTCCCACTCTGACCCCGGACAGAAAGAGATAGCTAAGTAACATAGCTCGATCCCATTCACCAACAATGTCACTCAACTACAACACATGGTTGATTGATGATTGCCGTCTGGCCCAGGCGACCGGTCGGTCGCAACGGGGAACGATGGATCCGCGGGCCCCTGCACGGCATCCCCATCCCCGTCAAGCATAACCTTCCCGCATACCACGCCCGAGAGAATACGGCAGTCATCGAGCTCTTCCTAGATGACTGGCTGCCTGGCTGACGGGGTCCAACTGAAAAAGTAGCTCCGATCTGTGGTTAACATCTCAGTCGTCTCTCCCACTGTGCTCCTCCCGATGCACGACTTTTGATATAACGGCAATGATGCCAACCATCATGTGAAAAAGCAGAGGTGCATCTTGGTTTGAAGATGTTTCGGGATTACCCTTCACCTAGGAAGGTCCTGTCTTCTATTTTAAATATTCGGTGGTAGTATTCATTCTACCTTCCCAAGAACTTGATCTACATCGGTGGAGGTACGAGAATTTATATCTTGTTTTTCACTGGCGAGGTGTCCCTTGGCACATGCCTATGCCCGTTTGCTTCGGACAAAGATTCAACAAAGCAATATGACAGTACTATGTAGTATAGTACGAAGCTTCAACCCAAGGCATCCTGCCTACCCATCGTAGGGCTCTGTTACTCCGTACATATAGTTAGGGCATGTAGGGTTTCGAGCGGGGCGGGCCGGGGAAAATTGCCCGGAGAGGCTTAAATCCGAGGGTGACGCGTTCCGGGCGGCCAAGAAGGGATCGGCATCGTCGCTCTTCTTCCCTCTTCCGACTTTTCAGCCGGGCGCCATCCTTCGTCTTCTCCCCTTTCCCCTTGTTTCTGTGCCTGGTGACGAGACTGACTGCCGTGAGCACGCCATGGCCGCGATCAAGGACGATATCACCACCAGCCAGCACCCTCCTGAGGGCCCCCCCGGGATCGTGCTGGTGCCTGTGCCGAGCGACAGCTTGCGGGACCCACTGGTAAGCAAGCAAGCTGCGCCCCCCCCCCCCCGAATCGATCCTGCATCTGCATCTCCGATCGCGTCAGATCCGGATGCGATTCTGACTGTCTGTCCCAGAACTGGTCCCGCCGCCGCAAACACCTCATCCTCGCGATTCTCTGCCTCGCCTCGTTCTCCGGGGCCATCGCCCCCTCTCTGGCCAGCTGAATCTGGCGCAACAGGCCAAGATCTATGGCAAGACGACCGTCCAGGAGGCGTACGCGGTACGAGTCCCCCTCCCCCCCCCTTTTCCCCCTACTTTTGGCTGCGTGCGTGCGAGAGAATCCCCCCCCCCGGTTAATGTCTTGCGATAGAACTCCGCCGCCCTGGCGGGCATGGCCTTTGGGCCCTTCTTCTTCGCCCCCGTCGCCCACCGGCTGGGCCGCAGTTCGGTCATCCTGTGGTGCGTGCTCTGCACGCTGGTGTGCCAGGTCTGGGGCGCCGTCATGACCCACCCGGACGACTACATCGCCTTCGTGCTGTCGCGCCTGTTCGCCGGCTTCTTCGGGGCGGTGCCCACCGTGCTGGGCCCGCGCATCATCACCGACCTGCTGTTCCTGCACCAGCGCGGCCGCGCCTTCACGGCCCTGCACATGGCCTTCCTCTTCGGCACCATCGCCGGCCCCACCTTCTCGGCCTTCATCTCCGCCAACGCCTTCTTCCCCGTCGAGTTCTGGTGGTCCGTCGGCCTGCTGGGCGCCACCGCCGTCCTCGTCGTCTGCGGCCTCGAGGAGACCGGCTACGACCGCGCCCATCCGGACCGGAACCCCGTCATCCCCACCCCCTGGCTGGCGAACCGATGGGCGACCTTCGTTCTCGGCCACCGCGTCGTGCAGCCGACGACCTGGGCTGAAACGGTGAGGACCCCGTGCCGTGCCCCCCCCCCGGGAAACTCGGGCGATGGTGCTGACCCCCTGCAGATGAAAATCGCCGCGGCGCCCATCCTCATCGGGATCTGTCCCGTCACCATCATCATGGGCACCTTCACCCTGATCTCGTTCGGCTTCTACGTCGGCATGAACGCCCTCGTCCCCGTCTGGCTGCAACGGTCCCCCGCGGAGGGGGGCTACGGCTTCTCTCTGAAGCAGAGCGCCGCCTTCACCTTCTGCCACTGGATCGGCATCGTGATCGTGCAGCTGGTGGGCCACCGCTACAACGACCGGCTGCCCCTGGCCCTGGCGCGCCGCTTCAACCGCGGGGGGTGGAAGCCCGAGTACCGGCTGCACGTGCTGTGGATCCCCAGTCTGATCCTCAATCCCATCGGCCTGGGCCTGTTCGGGGCGACCCTGCAGTACCACCTGCACTACCTGGTGCTGGCGCTGGCCGTGTTCCTCGTGACGATCGGCGCCCTGGCCAGCGTGCCGGTGACGGTCAACTACGTGGTCGAGTGCTTCACGCGCTACCCGGCGGAGGCGGGCATCGTGGTGGGGGCGTACCGGATCGTGTACGGGCTGACCATCACCTTCTACATCAACCCCTGGGTGGCGGCCGTCGGGGTCGGCTGGGTGTACGGCATGATGGCCTTCTTCGCCGTGTTCTCGTTCCTCTTCGTCATGCTGCTGATGTGGAAGGGCCACGCCATCCGGGGGTGGCAGCTGGCCTCGGTGGCCAGCAGTGAGGAGGGCGTGCAGATCGACGAGGGTGGCAGCGAGAAGCATCGGGTGGTCCACGAGGGGGGTGGGCAGCAGGCATAGGGATCCAGCCCCTGACCTGGCCATCATCGTCCTCCGTGCAGCGGGCACGGCGGGGTCTTCTTCATTCATCATCACGTAGTAGGTATAGTAATTCTATAATCAGTTAGTAATACACACGGCCAAGTCCACCTTCGACAGCCACATACATACCATCCGAAGGTGATGTTTCCGGTACGATTAGCCTATCGTATAGTGGACTGTTGCAGTGTTGTTGTTGTTGTTGTTGTTGTTGTTGTTGTTGTCAGGGTTAAAGGAACAACCACCCGCTGGTGCCTGATGCAAAGGGCAACCAACCTGGCCACGTGAGACCGGATTCGTGCCTCAGGCATACTATTACAGGCCTCAGGCCCCAAGCACCAGGCAGCCAGGTGTCAACGAGTTGTTGCCTGCCCGCCAACACAAACAACAACAACAACAACAACAACAACTCAGCTATTCTTCCCTGTTGGGGACAGACGATGCAGAAAAGCTGGCCGGTCGTGTTCTCTCAACTCGAATCCACTGCCCTCTCCAACCCCTCCGCCGTGTCCGACCGGGTTCGACGACGCCTCCTGGACTTCCCCGAGCCTGAGGTCCAGCGAGCCAACATCGCTGTCGACAACGGACGAATATCTAGGATACCTCCTGCTGCGGTTGTAGCAGCTGGTACATAACATTTACAGCGCCCGACGGTTCCACAGTGCGCAATAATCGATGTGACATCTGGGGGTGGGTAGGCGCACAGAGCAGCAGGAACCAGGCATTTGTCTCGATGGATGGTTCTGACAGGATTTCGGGGCTTCGACGACCCTCCTCCATCTGCGTTGTGCCCTCACTGGGATGCCTGTTCCGGCAGGCCAAGGTCAGCACCGCAGATGGCAATGGCACAGCCCGTCTCGGTTGGCGTAAGACGATGACGACCATTTCGACCGCTCCCTAAACCGAAACGACAGACACTTAACAGGACGTCTCGCTAAGCCACCACCCCAGTGGTGATCCATCACCCACGTCATGACAGCCCAAAAATAACTCGGGATGCCAACCAAGTTTCGGGGCCCCGGATCGCTCCCCCGAGGGCTATTTATATCGCTGGCTGTGCTCGTGAGGCACAAGCCTCCGAACCTTAAACGGGCGGCCCGAAACATGCACCACTGCAACGGTTCGCTCGGTGCATTTGCTTGGTAAAGCTCGCTGTCCTCGATGTCGAGCTTCCCCGGCATGGCTACCACTCGGTCATCCCACATGCCAATGTCTCAGAAGCGGGGGATCGGCAAGGGCAGGCCATGGGCGTGTTATCCACACTTGCCCCCCGTCCAGGAGTTCTCCGCCGGCAAGGGCATCCCCCAAGTCATCCGTCCATCCAGGCTCTGTCCAGCCGCCTACCTCACTACTTGACAGATCCCATGGCCGCGGGGGCGAAGCCTGGGGGGTGGCCGTATTGGCCCGGTGATAATTGGCCGTACCAGACAATCCGCGGTGCGGAGAAGATAACCGCCTCTTCCGGCTTTGAACCCCTTCCGACTCACTTGGCTTGTCCCCATTGTCTTGCATGCGCATTGCTCTTCGGTGCATGCGTTGTTTCTTCCTCGGGGACAGTGGTGTGGTCTCTCTGGTACCTGACATGGACACACATACTGCTCATGCCCAAGATGGTCGGTCCTAGTCGAGTCCATTTGGTCTGCCACGGCCATCCGGGTCGAACCACGGATGTCTCGGTACCCGTGCAGCACCAACCGTCAACCATGGTACGGGGGTCCGGAGACCAGCAGACATCATCGAATGCCTGTATTCGCCCTTCCCGTCTGTGGCAGCAGAGGAATCATCGCGCTGCGTCAACATATCTCACAGGGAAGGGAGTACACAACATCACAATCGCTGCTTACCATGGATCCCTCTGACCGACCAGATCCGCCCATGCTGTCCGCGCTCCGTCTGGTTGGCCATCGTTCGGTGTATCCGAGTTTGTTTATAGATAGCCTCCAGAGTGAGCGTAAACACGGGCGCCGTCCCAGCCAATCTGCGTTGTTTTCGGGGATGAGCGAGATATGGGCCGTTTGGCCTCTGAGGGGTATCAATCTCCCGGAGTGGCTGAGCGGCAGCCTGCCAGGTCGCTTCCTGCTCCCTGGGCCCCGCGACTCCGTCGAATATTGCCTGGACCGGCCGGAATGGGCGAGACATCAGTCATTTGACAGGGTGTTCCCACGGCACAGGAGCATCCGGCAATGGTAGTCTTCGTATATCTCAACATCCTTGATGACGATGCGACGATTGCATCGCTCTTCCGGTCTACGGGCAGTCATGACGTCGGGAAGAGGTGGTCAGCCAAGTCTATAAATCCCCTGCTGCTCCCTCTGCTTCTCAGTCGACTGACACGACAACAATCATATATTCCGCACATCATTCAATCAGATCAAAGTTTGTTCGGGAAGATGAAGCTTGCATTAGTTCCAGTTCTCTTCACCACCTCTACGCTGGGCCTCAGCATTGCGCGAGCCCAAAACACCGTTCCAATCACCTTCATCGGTGCAGGCGGTGCTCAATTTACTCAGGCCTTCTCGACCGATGGGTCCTTCGCTCAGATCAGTCAGTTGGCACCCAACCCTGGTCGAACACAGCCACTAATAGTCCTAGATAATGCCCTAAGTGTGTCGCACATCTCTTCCGGCATGGCGGGCGTTACTTGCACCTTCAACGGAGTGGATAACGGGGTCACGACCATCACTGGGCCCGGGGAAGTGGATGTGGGCCCACCCCAGACTCAAGTTCAAGGGGCCTGCAGTCAGGGCTCCACCCCCCCCAGCCATCCGGTGCAGCCTAAGCCGTCGGGGGGGCAGGTGTTGATCACCTTCGTCGGGGCCGCGAATGCCCAGTTCAGCCAGGAATTCCCCACCAACGGTGCTGAAACAACTATCAGTATGTATCTCCCATCTAAAGGCGTGGTTGGATCATGCTAACGAGGATACCAGCCAATCCACTCAGCATCTCACACATCATGTCAAACACAGGTGGCGTCCAGTGCACCTTCAATGGTATCGATCATAGTGTGACCAATGTGAATGGTGCTGAGACCGTTGATGTTGGTCCACCCCAGACCCAGGTGTCTGGTGCCTGTCATGCATGAGGCCGCCTGGGGGAGATGCCTCCGAAACAAGGGACTTTGGTCCGGGAGTTCATTCGTTTGGTCGCAATTGACAACATCGCTCATTTGAAATTGCCTCCGTCAAGGTGGATCGCGTTTGAATTATGTTCACTATCCTTAATTTACTTTAACTTAATTTGCAGGCACATCGTGCTCGAGTCTATAATGATAGGAAATATATATTATTTTTGGGAAATACTCCACAGAATTGAACCAAACCCCGCACACTTCGTCTTTCCAGCATCCTACAGCTACGTTGGAGGATTACTAGAGAGGGACGATATCTCGATTTACTTCATTGCTATTCAGCTAGGCTTGTCAACGTCTCAAACAGGAACAGCTCTATTTCTCCTCGTCGCGGGACCCAGTTGGCCTCCAATCATTGCTTCATCAGACATCTCAAGCCGCCCAGTTCGTTCACTTGACGGGACGACAAAGGCAGTCCGTCCAGACACTTAGACGTACTGGATGGTCACCGAGGAGTCGCTGTCAATGGTGACATCGGTCACCACCTGGTCGTCGTCGTTGACGATCTCGATGATGGTGGCGCCGTCAACACCAACGCTCTCCCCACCGGCGGCCTCCGCGACGGCACCGGTGAAGGTGACGGTGCCAAAGTCCACCAGGTTGACGAGGGAGTCACCCTCCTCGAAATCTGTTACATGGTTAGCCCCTGTGTGCATGTTTGCGGGGAAGTGAGGGGTGAGGAGGGCGGATCCTGTCACGTACCTTCGACGATCCACTCGGCATTGATGCCGCCGAGGGCGTAGCTGGAGGAGAGCTCCTGGGAGACCTTCTTGCCGGTGCTCTGGTTCTCGATGGTGGCGATACCGCTGGTGGAGGAGTAGGACTCGACGACGGTCACGATGACATCGCCGGCGGAGATCTCGAGGTCGGAGAAGTCGTAGGCGTAGTCGGGGTACCATTCGTACCAGGCGTCGAAGGAGGCCTGGCCATCGGTGACGGTGAAGTCGACACCGGTCTGCAGGATGGCGTTGGAGTAGGTATCGCCGTCGATGCCGACCCAGGCGGAGGCAGCCTGGCTGCCAGACCCAGAGCCAGTGGGCTCGGGGACGGTGAAGGTGCCGGTCACCGCGGTGTAGGTGGCCGCCGCGGAGGGGGGGTTGACCAGCACGGCACCGGACCAGTTGGAGCTGTACTCGACGTTGGTCTGGTTCTTGACGGTCGAGGGCTTGTCAACCGCCTGCAGGGGACGCGAGCCTTTGCCGTTGTTGGTGTTGCTGGCCCGGGCCTTGACGCGTGCCTCGAGACCACGGCCGGGGGCAGCAGCGGCAACGCCGGCGAGGATGGTGGCAGCAAGAACAGGAGTGAACTTCATCTTGACGGTTGGGCTTTTGGTGGTTTGCTGTTAGGCAACGGGAGGCAAGGGACTGGCGGTGGGCGAGGTCGGTCGAAGGCTGTGTTCCTGAGAAGACAATGGAGACTGATGGAGAGAACCCAAGCATCGGCGAGATCATCCACGTATTTATATCCATCTCAACTCCGACAAACTGCTCCTGGCAGATTCGCTCGCGGAATGGCATCATCTTTCCTCATGCCCTCCGAGAGCTCGCATCATGGGCGACAGGCACCCCTTCGCAGGCAGTGAGGTTATTGAGGATGGCGACATCCAGGCGTGAGATGTGAAGATGCATCGGACTCCGGTGGTTTATCGCACTTGCTCGGACGACTCGCGCGACTAGGGCCATTGACGGTCCCCTCAACAATGTGCAGCCCCGGTGGAGGCATACCACGATGCTTGCGTGCTCGACTAGTGCCTGGTCGAGAGAGAGAATGATCTATCCGAGGGTGCCTTCCTCCGTATCCCCTCGACGCAATGGGCGAAGACGTGTGCTGTTCCAGTTGATATCGACCAGTATTACGAGAGAGTCGGAGCTTTAGCGGAACAGATCAATCCACAAGGCTTCCTGAATAATCGGCACGCCAGGCCTTCTGCACAGGCTGTCTGCTCGGGGCCCCGTGAGCACGGGCCAGCGACGAGGAATCCTGCATGGCCGCCACGGGGCTTTCGGAAAGAAGCGCCCACCTGGCTGGCTTCCCAAGCCCCTTGGCTCCAGCACGTCAGGCACAGGTTGACTCTCCGGCCAGGCTGGTCCATTTACCCGGACGGCAACGGCACTTCCCACGAAGCGGGGCCACGCCGGAGGGAGGCATCTTGCGTCATTTTGGCTCGGGTGATCCGATCGCTTGCAACGGTGCAGAGCAACAAATCTCCGAGACAGCACCGGGCCAAGCCACACAGAACTATCTCCTGGGTATGCGACTGCTGACTTTGACAGACCAGCTTCCTGGTTGACGTCTTGGGGAGGGCCCCGCCGCTCCAGTCCCAATGGATGGTCAGCTCGCTGCCAGGTCCCGACTGCCCCTGACGATGGTGGATGGTGGATGGTGGATGGCACGATGGGTCCCCTCGGTGGCGTCATGGATCACGAAATCCCCCGTCCTGCAGACGGTGGTCCTGGCCCTGTCCCCCCACTTCGGTGACCAGCCTGGTCGATTATTCAGAAGAGGGGAAATGGCCGGAACGCCCTGGCGAGGGTGGAATTGGCGTCGGTGGCCATCCGCTGGATCACCTCATGTTGCAACGGGGTGGGAACATCAGATGCCGGGCATCCACAATCCCCGCCCGAGGCCCCTGTCTGATAGTGCGAGCCCATTGGTAATTGTCTGATGAGGCCTCGATGGAGGATAACAGTATTAGGATGGCCGGGTCAGACGCCATCAGACTTGACTTTGCTCCTTCCGCTGCCGGGCCATCTCTACATGCAATGCCCCAGAAACGATTCGCCCAAATCCAGGGCTTTGCGCACATTTTGACGTCGCTTCGATGTATCGGAACAGTCCAGCAACTTCATCTATCTGTCACAAACGACTTTTTGCCCTTCATGATGTCTGGTGCACCATGTCTGCCATCTTCCACAAAAGCCCCAATGCAAACGTTGAGCCGAGGAAACGTCGTGACCCTAAACACAATCCGCTAACCCACGAAACAGCGGGCCATCATGGCTTATCCCACCCGGGAGATTGACGTAGGCCACTTCGACCACCGGGTCCGGGACGCCGGACAGCTGTGCGACGGACGGGCCATAGTTCGGCCTTGCCAGAAGGCCAGGGACCGTTCGAGGGAGATAACTAACGGCCATGCCGACATGATCGACGCGGAGGATATTGCTGGCAGTCATAATAGACGACAGGAGGCAGGGAAGGAGAATCCAACTGGGTGTGCTTGATGTTTCAGTGGTCGGATACTGTGTCATCGGCTGGTCATCGGGCCTTTACACGTTTGGACGCTCTTAGCGACGATAGGATGTGCAGTTCAGCCTCGGGGATGCACACAGCTTTGGGTGAGGCGTTTCCTCCTGTCAAACCCAGTATCATCCAGTATCACGCCTACTTAGGTGTCTGGACACCTTTTTAGCCGAGTGGTCTTTTTGGTCTGTCACCTCCTGTTGTCTCAGCCGTAAACCACGCAGTAGAAAGCCAACAACCGGGATGGTATCGGCACGATGATTGGTGGATCGGACCATGGATGAGGCTATTGTTGGGTCAGTGGGAGGGGCCATAGTGATGGTCCCAACCACTGGGGCGATCGGGTTGTATCACATCAATAGAAGGCCATGTTCCTGGGCCAGATGTGCGTCCCCACCCACTCCCCAGCACACAGAGAATCGAGACGCCACGAGCCTCCCCGCGGCCCGCAGCCCGTAGACCCGACGCATGGCCTCCATTCAACCAGTCGATCGTAACACGCTCTTTCTTTTTTTTTTTTTTTTTTTTTTTTTTTTTTTTTTTTTTTTCCCAAGAAACTCTACCTCAGAACCGTTGCTGTGGTCGACCCGAGAGTAAATATGCGGCCGGGGAGCAGAGAGAAATCGCCGGTCGGAGACATGTCATAAGCCGTAGAATCTGGGGAGGATTACCGCAGTGGAAGGCGGATGAGCAAAAGCATGAGACTGGGGCGATGCGAGGGAAACAGAAAAAGGGTGCGACGCGTGTGTAGGGCTTGATCGGGTCGGTGAATTAACCCGACTGGCTTGTTTCTGTACAGATGATTGGGATAGCCGATGGAGGAATATATATTTGGGCAGACACAGCGTACTGCAAGGAAGAGCGACCCTCGGAGCAAAGATTGGCCGGGCAGAATGCAGAAATCTGCGCCCACCGCCCACCTCACGTGACCGCCCGCCTTCTGCCTCCCGTTTCAGGCTGCCAGATCCACCATCTCCCCCCTATTTCTTCCGCCGTGCCCTAAACTACATGATGCACTACTCCCGACCAGGCTAGCAGTCACCACCACCCGGCACAAGACAGGCATGGCGCCGTCCCTGATGGGGTTGGTTGGCTCGCTCAGGGAGAGCCGCCACGGTAGCCAGTAGTTAAGTATCTATCTATCTATCTAGCCCCCGCCACTGCCCGCCCGGAGCCACGTCTCCCCACCACTCCCACCACCTGCAGCCTGCAGCATTGCATTGCAGCACTTGGCACCCGGTTGGTATCGATCTACTAAGTATCGACGTCCTGTCAACATGCCCAGCAAAGGCATCTCCGTCTACAGCTATGTCGGCGTCCCCGGTTACGCCGTCGGCTTCACCGTGCCCAAGCAGCAGGCCCTGCGCGATGCCACCGCCAACTTCACCGGCCACCACCTCGAGGTCGAGTCGTCCCACATCGAGGGCCTGCACCACTTCACCGGCCGCTTCGAGTGGACCGTCTTCCGCTACGGCGAGGCCGTCGCCAGCGCCCACAACGACATCAGCAGCCTGACGGGCCAGGTCCAGGGCGGCACCATGGTGGCCACCGAGGACTTCCACCCCATCGTGACCGAGGACGCCATCATCACCTACGGCTTCTACGCGGCGGGCCACGGCGAGGTCGGCCTGCCCAACCGGCACCAGTGCTACGTGACCGTCTGCGCGCGCACCAACGCCGACTGGATGGCCCGCGTGGCGCCCCCCGGCACCCCCGCGGCCCAGCGGCCCTTCTCGCGCTTCGTGCTGGCCGCCCCCCACGACAACGGCATGAACAGCATGACCACCTGCGAGGCCATCTTCCAGCACCTCGACACCGACATGCTGGGCCTCGTCCGCAAGCTGGTGCCCCTGATGGCCCACGTCGACCACGTGCCCGACCACTTCCTCATGCGCAAGCTGCCGCACATCGTCTACGGCCTGTCCATCACCCAGAAGAAGGCCATCTCGCGCATGCTGGCCATGGGCGCCCGCTACTTCGAGTTCCGCCCCGCCAAGCTGCTGCCCCAGTTCCAGAGGGTCTCGGCCCTGCGCGACACCTTCTACTTCCAGCACGCCTGCATCCCCGGCCTGGCCTTCGACGACTTCCTGCGCGAGCAGGTCGCCTTCCTCGACGAGCACCCCGCCGAGATCGTCACCGTCCACATCCGCTGGGACAACATCGTCGCCGACTGCCAGCGCCCCACGCCGGACGAGATCAGCGCCCTCCTCGACGAGGCGTGCGCGCAGGCCCAGCAGGCCCCCCTCCGCTGGGGCGGCCAGGAGAGTTTCGCCCAGCCCATCGAGGCGCTGCGCCAGGCGGGCCGGCGGCTGATCGTGGTCACCCAGGCCGACAAGTACGACAGCTGGACGGCCGAGGCGTACGCGACCCTGCGGCCGGAGCCCATCCTGGCGCGGTTCGAGGGCATGACGACCGAGGGACAGGCCAGCTCGGACCTGACGGTGCTGCAGTGCCAGGCGACGTCGCAGTCGATCAAGGAGGTGCTGGTGTACAGCGTGGTGGCGGCGGAGGGGGCCAGCTCGTGCCTGACGGCCACCAAGGGGGCGCTGGACATGCACACCCTGCCGTGGATCCGGGCGCACGCGCTGGAGCGGCTGCAGGCGGACCGCACGATCGTGATCATGAACGACTTCATCGACGGGGCGACGGTGGACACGTCGATCCTGCTGTCGCAGCAGCGGCTGTCGGCGTAGACGGGAGACAGGGGGGAATATTCACGAGAGACCTGGATGGAGGCCGGGCTGTAGCTAGAATCGACGGGTTTTTTTCATGTACATTGCGAGACGAGATGATTGATTTCGTAGAACCTGGGGCTGGACACATCTTGCCTCCAGTGGGTGGTGCCACGGAATCGGATAGATGCGTTTAGGATGGCAGGCATCCATCGGATAGTTTCCGGAACGGCGTGGAATGGGATCCCGTGAAGCGAGCGTGCTTCTGCAGCATTCCCGGAACGGACCATCACCCCAGCAGTAGAATCAGGAGATGAGGCCGGCCAAGGGAATCCAGCCTGTTATCGATGGGAGATCCGCGAGATCTGGCCAGATCTGGCCAGATTCCTTCGATCCATCGGAACGATTCATCAGCCCGAGCCTGTCCTGGAAAGTCTCCTTTCGGCTTAGGGCCGGACAGTTGGGTCGGGGGAAGTTCGCCCGCGCGGACACTTTCGCGGGGCAATCAGGCCCCGAGGCAGCCATTGGTCAGGCCGAATGTCTCCGGCTGTGATGATGACCAAAGGCGGCCCGTTGCGTTGCACCCTTGGCTTGCTCCCGGCCAGGTACATAAACCCTAGGAGGCGAACGTCGATATCTCTATCCCATCAACCAAACAGTCCATCAATCAATCAATCAATCAATCAATCAATCAATCAATCAATCAATCAATCCATCAATCCACCAATCCACCAATCAATCAATCCATCCATTCTCCCGTCCTCAAGCCACCGAGCATCCGCCATCAACAAAACAGCAAAGACAATCAATAACCTCAACCAACCCCTCAATCCAAAAACAACAGTTCCACTCCCGTGATCAATCATCCAACCCCTCAACATGTCTGCATCCGTTTCCACCTCCACTCCTGCTCCCATGGTGCGACCGGCCCTGGATCCCGATCTCGCCGCGGTGCACCGGGGCATCCCCACGCTGGATGTCGGCACCGATGAGGAGCGCGCCGCCTATCGCGAGTTCCTGCACACCATCTTCACCCTGCAGAACACCCTCCGCGGGAAAGAAGAGACGGTGGTGTCCGAGGAGCGCGACATCCCGGGCCCGGCGGGTCCCATGCGCGCCACGATCTTCCGGCCCAAGCACCAGACTCACTCGGTGGACGAGATCCCCGGGGTCCTGCACATCCACGGCGGGGGTCTCTCCAGCGGGAACCGCTACCTGGGCCTGACGGTGCTGGACTGGGTGGAGACCCTGGGGGCGGTCGTGGTGACGGCGGAGTACCGGCTGGCCCCGGAGCATCCCCACCCGGCGCCGCTGGAGGACAGCTACGCCGCCCTGCAGTGGATGAGCGCCCACGCCGCCGAGCTGGGCTTCAGCCCTCGCAATCTGGTCGTCACCGGCGGGTCGGCCGGGGGCAACCTGGCCGCGGGCGTGGCCCTGCTGGCCCGCGACCGCCAGGGCCCGACCCTCCGCGGCCAGGTGCTGATGTACCCCTGGCTCGACGACCGCACCGACTGGCCCTCCGTCCACCAGTACGGCGACATCGCCCCCGTCACCGAGGCCGACCTCCTCGACGCCTCCACCCTGGCCTTCGGGGCCAACCACGAGCACGCCGACCTGTACACGGCGCCCACCCGCGCCCCCGACCTCTCCGGCCTGCCGCCCACCTTCCTCGACGTCGGCGCGGCCGATGTCTTCCGCGACCAGGACCTCGCCTACGCCGCTGCCCTGTGGCGCGACGGCGTGGCTACCGAGCTGCACGTCTGGCCCGGGGCCTGGCACGGCTTCGACGTGTTCGCGCCCGATGCGCCCATCAGTCGGCGTGCCGGTGCCGCTCGCTTGGACTGGATGCGCCGGTTGTTCAGCTCGGATAGGGCTTAGATGGGGCGAGGGAGCGTGCGCGCGCATGGAGTGGAGTTAGACCATCTGCATCGTTGACATTCATGTATTGTGGCATTGGGTTTGAGATTCTGTCTGCATTTCCTGTCTGCATTTTCTGTCTGCATTTTCTGCCTGGCGTGGCTGTCTGGTGATCATTCATATTATATTATTATCTAATGAAACATGTTCGCACATCACTGTCGCGTTGTAGATCAGTCGCATGGGGTGGACCATCCTGCGTGAGTGAAGACAGTCACACGGAATGCAGAAAATGATATTGTAGACCTAGAAGAGATTTTGGTGACTCTGCAATTGAAAAGGTGTTCAATATTGAGTGGACATCCAACATGTGGTCGGGATTGTCAGTCTGCATACAACAAACACTAGCGGATCCGTCAGCCCAGCTGTTCATTAGAAACAAAATGCATCCCCGCAGAACATCGGTACCCCCCCGCCTGCTTGATCCACCGATACCCCATCGGACACACTCCCATGGCTTGCAGTTTCTTCTGCACAGCCTGCTCTTGCTTCTCGCGCTCTTCCGCCTCAATCTTCTTCCTAGCCAGACGCCTCATTTGCTCGTCGTACCTCCGCCGCTCCTCGTCTTCCGGGTCATCTTTGCTGTCGTCCAGTTGACGTTGCAGTTTGCGTTCCTCGGCAAGGAGGTCTTGGTGGCGTTGCTTCTCGGCTTCCATCGCTTGTCGGTCGAGCTGCAGTTGGTCCCAGACTTCCTGAGACACTCCCGGGTCGCGGGTCTCCTCCTCGGCGATGCCGGGTGGCGCGGGAGCGCATTCATCGGGAGAAACGGGGTCTGGCGGTGGTCGTGCTTCAGTCGCAGTCTGTGTGGTAAACGATGGGGGTCCTTGCGTAGGGCCCGGAGGTGCGGCCATGGGCGGCTTGAGAGAGTCCATCAGTTCGGATGCCGTCAACGGAGGCGCTGCGCGGTGCTCACGCTCACCGACGGTCGAGTGGAGAACAGATGTCACCGCCTCCTCGGTGACGCGGAACTGCTCGTCGTCCCCGTCAGGGGCATGGGTGAAAACCTTGCGAATGACCGTGTCTGCAATCGTCTTGACATCACGAGCATTGCCCCAGCCCGGCAGCGCGGCCAGGCGCTCAAAGTAGCCCACGCATTCGGACCGGAACTCGTCTGTCGGAGCCTGGGTCACCCGAGTATCAAGCTGTTCGATCTTGCCGAGGCTACTCTGCAGCAGCGTCCAGCATTGCTCGGGAGCCAGGTTGGTAAAGGAGACCGTCTCCGAAAAGCGGCTGGTCAGGCCTGGGTTCGATGCCATCAGGCGGTTGATGTCTTCATCATACCCCGCCAGGATGACAATGAGCTTCTTGAAGTACTTCTCTTTTGTCAAAGAATCCACCAGCTGATCCATGGCTTCCTTCGCGAACACACCGTCGGCGAGGCGATATGCTTCGTCGATGAATAGGACTTTGCCCAGACCCTTTTCAAGAAGCTTCTCCGTCTTGGGACCGGTTTGTCCCATAAATTGTCCCACGAGATCCGTTGCGGACGCGTCAATGACCTCATCCGTTCCCAGAATCCCCATGTCGTAGAAGATCTGTCCCATGCGTCGGGCCGTCGAGGTTTTGCCGGTGCCTGGCACAATCAGTCAGCGAAAGAATGGAAAGCACACCATGGGAGGGATAGGTACCTGGGGGACCTCGGAAGAGGAAGTTGAAGGGGATCTGTTGTAGGGGATCCAGCTTGCGCTGCTTCATGTTTCTAACCACGTTCTGGTAACCTTCCAGCTGTGCGATCAGATCCTCGCAGCCGACAACTCCCTCGAAGAGGGTTCGACAGTTCACGGACCCCCTCTCGGCCCGGTCAAAGTCGGGGTCAAAGTCCAATGGCTCGAGGATGTCAATGCTCCGCGTCTGCCGCGATGACAGCCGCTGCTGGTGCCGCAGCTTTGCCTTGTCCAGGAGAATGTCGACCTCCCCCGCGTTCCCGAATTTCGGCTTATTGCGCTCCCGACTGAGACACTGGCGAACCACCGACCTCGCTTCGGGCGTGACATCAAACCCTGCCTCCTTCAACTTCAGATCCAGGATCGTCTGCAGGTCATCGTCGGTGTAGTCCTCGAAATGGAACGCCGCACTCATCGGGAACCGACGGGACAGGCCCTCGTTGACATTCTGGAACATCCTCTCCATGGCATCCTTGTACCCCAGCAGGAGAACACATCGATCATCACCTGGCACACTTTGCACCTCCGCGACAATCGTGTCCACTACTGCCGTCTTGAATGGGTCAGGAGGTGTGTACGCGTCTGATGTGGAAGAGGTGCCGGCCAGCATGTATGCCTCGTCGATTACCAGCACCTTCCCGAGGCTGGACGCGAGGATGCCCTTGGTGGCAGTCTCGGAGCCTCCCAGGACGTTGCCAACGAAATCGGAGGGATTTTTGACGACCACTAGAGGAACAGAAGGAAAGGATTAGCCCGAGGAGGTTCACGAGGGAGAAGGAGGGGCAACAGAGAATGCCATTTTTGGAATGCGCACCTTCGCCCTTGGAGAGATAACCCATGTCGGCCAGGATTTGCCCATAGAGCTTGGCCACCGTCGTTTTGCCGGTGCCCGGATTGCCCACAAACACCTTGTTCAAGGAGAACTGGACCAGCTTCTTCTCTTCGAGCTCACGGCGGTAGTTGAACTGCAGCGTGTCCAGCAAGGCTCGAACCGATTCTTTGACACTCTCGAGTCCCGTCAGACTCTGGAGTTTCTGCCATGCGGCATTCCCTTCGAGTACGGTACTCGGATCTGGGCCGAGAAGGTCTTCCTTGGTGAGCAACATGTCGTCGCCAGGCTTCTTCGCCCGGCGCTGTCGCTGCAAGCGCTTGGCCTGGCGCTCTGTGATCCTCGCAAAGACATTCTGGACGGCGCGGGCATTGCCAAACCCTGGCCGTCCTCGACCTTGTCCGATGCGACGGGCGACAATCCGCATGTACAGCCCCTGGGCGCCTCCCTCGACCTGCATACCGCCCTTGTACTTCCGCTCGATGCACTGGTGAAGGATGGCCTGCAGTTCGACATCAGTATAGTCGTCAAACTGGAGTTCTACGGGGAATCTGCTCGGAATGCCCGGGTTATGAGCAAAGAAGCTCTCCATGTTCTTGTTGTAGCCGGCGATGATGAACACGATCTTGCCGGTGAGGTTCTCCACTTCGGTCAAGAGGAATTCCAACACTGCGCTCCCGCCTGCGATGTTTCCAGACGTCAACTGATAGGCCTCGTCAATGAACAGTGCTCCGCCACCATTCGATCGGATCTCGTCGAGGTGCTTTTGACATCCGGGGATGCCGCCAGTGGCCAGCTTCGACCCCGAGGTCTCAACGAAGAAGCTGCCGGGGATCACACCCACCGTGCTCAGGAAACGGGCATACAGCCGCGCGACGGTGGTTTTGCCTGGAACAGGGTCCAAAAGGTTAGAAAGACAAGAAGCGCCAAGGGGGGGGGGGGAACAGAGAGACTTGCCGGTGCCTGGATTTCCCAGGAGAGCCGCGCCAAATCGCTCGTCGGAGAGATTGGCGCCTTGTCGAACGACGACCTCCACTTTGGACTTGATCGACAGGAAACTATCTTTGACCCCTTCCAGCCCAATCATCGATACCAAGGAATCCAATGCGTCGTTCGACTGTCCTTCCGCTTGCTTTTGGCGCTCCCACTCGTCCTTCGCCTCGGATTGCAAGGCAAATGGTTCGGGTTCCGCCTGTGGGCTTCTTTTCCCGGATGCCTTGTTTGCGGTGGCAGTAGACTGGGGTTGAGGCTGTCGGGATCGCTTGGCAGTAGCTGTCAGGTCTTGAAGTTCCTTCTGCTTCTGAGCGAGGACATCCTGTCGATCCCGGTCGTTCTGGACGTCGGCGAGGATCTCGCGTTGCTGTTTGATCTTCTCATCGATCTCCTGCAATCGTTTGGCATGCTCTCGCTGGATCTCCTGCCGCTTGGCCTCCAGCTTCTCATCCTCCAGCTTCTTCTTCTCGGCCTCGATGGCCTCCTCCAGGCAAACCTTACATGTCTCGGGCTCGTCCTGATGGCACACCCAGGAGTACTTGTGACTCTTGGGACAGGTGGTGTAGACCAACTTGTTGCAGGGCAGCGTTGAGGCCTTCTGGTGGCATCGCCGGGAATTCTTGTGGTTATTGGGACAGGTGGTGTAGATCAATTCCGCGCATCGCAACGTGGTCTGGCCCTGGTAGCAGGGCTGGGAGCCCTTGTGGTTGTTCGGACAGTTGGTGGGGATCGTCTCGGTGCACTGCATCTGGGCGTGCTCCTCCGATCGATGACAGCGCCGCGGACAATGGTGGATGCCGCACGCAAGCAGGGCCGAGCTGGTAGTCACGGACAGGTCAGCCAGATGGTCTCAATTGTAATCTCAATTTGGAATCTCGATAACAGCGTTGTGCCATACCAAGGATCTAGGCAACCTCCGTCCGGGCACTCCGCGTGGAACTGCTCAGGCTCTCGGACGAGGACCCTCCGGTCGGGGTGTCTCTCACACTGCAGCGGAAAGCCCTCGTATAGATGTCCATGTTCGCGTAGCAGATCGAACAGAGGCTGCCACGTCGAATGGCCCCTGCGACTCTTGAGAAAGGTGTCCGCGTTCCCGATCATCAGGAGGGCATTGCGCGCCCGGGACAGCAGGACGTTGACGCGCTCGGGGGCCGCCATGAAGCCAATATCGCCGGCCTCGTTGCTGCGCGTTAGGGTCGCCACCACAATGTCGCTTTCCTCTCCCTGGTAATTATCTACCCCGGGTATCCATTAGCCTGTGTGCAACAGTTGCTGGAAAACCAACATACCGATCGTCGAGATGCGGATGGCCGCTCTGGTCGACTTTTGCGGGCCCGGAGTGAGCAGACCGGCCGTGAGCAGATCATTCGAGTCGAGGTCGTTCAGGATCGGGTCGTTGGTCTTGCTGAGTTCCGTCCGCAGGAGGGACAGCTGCCCGAGATAGGGCGTCAGGATGACCAGGTTGTCGGTGCCGTAGCCCTGCTGCCCCAGATACCGGACGGCCATCAGGACCATCTGCACCTCGAAGAGATTCTGCTTGCTGGCTTTGACCGTGGGATCACGTTTCTCCATCACCTCCAGGTCGCTCTCGAGACGGGTATGGTGCATGAAGACAACATCGCCCTGGAATCCCCGCAGTCGCGGGCGCTCCTGGGTGCGAGCGGCGTCCTCGAGCTCTGGGTAGGTCAGATGTCGGATGAGGCGAGAGATCTCCGGGCGCATGCGATGCTGCTTGGACAGGGAGGTATGGGGATAGTGGCGCAGGATCAGCCGTTCGAACAGCGAGCGGTTGAGGTCGAAGCCGTCGCCCTTCTCCACCGACAGGCTGTAGTTGTTGACCTTGGGCCGCAGCTGCTTGTGGTCCCCGATCAGCACGAGCTGCTCGGTGTTGGGCGTCATCGCGGTCAGGACGTGACTCTCCAGGATCTCGCCGGCCTCTTCCACCAGGATGACGTCCGGCTTGGCCATCTGCAGGGCACGGCCGTAGCGGGCAGCCGCGTTGGTGGTGCAGGCAACGATGCGCTTCTTCGCCAGGACGGCGGCATGTTTTTTGTCGTAAAAGTACTCCTGCAGCTCCTCGTCGAGGGAGTCGAACTGCTCGATCAGATCCACCACGCGGGCGCAACTCTCCTGCAGGATGCTCTTCTGCCACTTGGATATCAACTGGCGGCGCCGGGCAACCGGCATCGTCCAGATGTGCGAGTGTTCGGGGCGAACGGTATCCTTGAACACCCCAGCGTCTCTTCCACTGTACCAGCAGTCCCACAGGTAGAATCGGTCGATCCTCCTGTTATTCCTCCCGACTCGTTGCATTCCGGCGTCAAGGTCGGGGACCAGACACGCATCGAAGAAGTCCGAGTCATCCGAGAACTCCAGGAACTCGAGCATCTCCCCTTTGCTAACCCGCCCACTGGTGAAGTTCTTCACCACCGCCCCCAACTCACCCGCCAGGTCTTCCAGATCCTGTCGCTTCGCCGCGACCAGCGGCCAGCAGATGGCGCCCGACTGACCGGCGGACTGATCCATCAGGCCCAGGGACTTGGTTCGCGCGGTGGACTTCGCACCTAGACGGACCATCGAGGTGTCCGGGATACCGATGTCCATCAGGTCCTCGAGAAACTGATCCAGCGCATGGTTGGTGTAACAAATCACCATCATCGTCTTGTCGGTATGGTCGTGCAGGATCTTGGCGATCAACGCGCCGATGAAGGACTTTCCGGTGCCTGGAGGTGGCCGTCAGCACAGTCTCAGCATCCCTCGGGTGGCCGTGTGCCGACTTACCGGGGGGCCCCTGGATGACGCTGATTCTCTGTTCCAGCCCGTCGAGGAGCGACTTCACCTGGGACGCATCCAGGGAGATCTCTCGCTCGGCGTTCAGGATGGTCTGAAGGTCCTTGCCCTGGCTGGCTCGGATTGTGCGGACCACGGAGGCCAGTTTGGCGCCGAGGGGCAGCGGCTGCTGCTTGGGCTCCGACGCGAGCAGGACGCCGGACATGGGGAACTCGACCTTCTCCTGCAGCCGCTGCAAGATCGGCTCATACGCAAAGACCGGAGTGTTTACCACCAGAAAGGTGAACGGGAGGCCGAGTTTGGCATACAGCAGGACGCGGCCCAGCCCATCATGGCCCGACACGTCCAACGCCAGCGTCGGGATGTTGTCCACGAGCGAAGACGCCCCGCGGTCGACGGTGGCGAAGGCAATGATCTCGGCCTGGTAGAGCAGACACCCGAAGGATTGATGCTTGAGGAAATTCTTGTTGGTGTCGAGGATTTTCTTGCGGTCGGTGGGATTCAGGCCCGCGAGCTGCGGCAGGCCCCTGGGGCACCGGAAATGCAGCCGGGAGGACCGGCGACGGCCGACGTCGCCGCAGTCGACCTTATGAAAGACCAGCCCGTCGATGGGGCGCGCGGAGCGTCGACCCTTCTTCTGGCCACGGGCGATCTGCAGATCGTTGCGCAGCTCGGCCAGCAGGTCCTCTCGCAGCAGGCGGAACTGGTTGTCGTGATGGGCGGCGGGGCGCCGGTCGACAGGCACGCGGTAGATGTCGTCCGCCAGGCGGTAGTAGGGCAGCTCCGTCGAGACGATCTCATCGGGGGTCGGCAGGATGGCGATCTGGCGGAAGTCTTCATGGTCGTTGTCGTGGCGGCCGCCCGGTCGGTGTCGGTAGCCCTCGTCGGACGGGACTTGGGCAGCGATGGTCTGCAGGATGTTGTCGATGCGGTAGCCCACCGTTCGGATCGGGAGCGAGGGAGAGTCCAGGAACGATCGGTTCTCTCGGTGGGCCTTCGCGATTGGAATCACCTCCGAGGGACAGGACGAGGACACGAGGCGATTCAGCAGCAGCCAGGCAAAGCCCAATTCGGCCTCCTCGCCGAGTTGCCGCCGGGTGTGGGCATCGACCAAGGCCAGCCAGAAACTGGGGGGATCGACCAGGTAGCCGACGATCTTGCGCACGAACTGCCCGTTACCGAAGTTCTCCAGACCGGTGTCCTGCAGGTAGCTCAGAAAGGCCGCAACCGGGCCGTTCAAGAAGGCCGAGGACAGGTCCAGCCGGACACTGTTCTGGAGAGCGTCGATGGCGGGGGTCGAGGCCAGGATGCGTTCGATGCATCGCAGGTGGTCGGGTTGGGCACACACGGCCTCTAGCAGTAGCTTGGCATCGGCTGTCCGCTCGACCTTCTTGGTGCCTTTGAGGATGGCCGAGAGGTGTTTGGAGAGGCGATCGTTGCGGGTGGCCATCGGGAGGGGAGGGGGATTAGGGCTGTTGGTTTACTTTTTGGGGGGGGGGGGAACACGGAAGTGGGAGAGAAAGAGCAAGTGGGATTGGGGTTGGGAGGAAGAGAAACCGGGTCGGGCAAGGAGGGGGGAAGCTGAGAGATGGATTGTGGCACAGCATCCCCATGCGAGCAGGTGAATGGACGAGATAAACACCCCCTGCTAGGCTGTGGTTCTGTGTTGTCATCGCGGACCTCCAATCTCCCCTCTCCCTTCCTGTTCGCCTCCTCCTCTTCGTCTCCATCGTCTTCTTTTTCTTCTTCTTCTTCTTCTTCTCCTCCTTCTCCTCCTCCCGCTCCTCATCGCCTTCCTGGGGTTCTCCAGCCCTGACTACCCCGTACCTCCGAGATAGCCATGCGAACAACGTCATCTCCAGCCAGCCACCGCTGGCATTCCCGCGGGAGTCGCTTCCCTCGCTTCACCAAGGGCACTTCGGCAGCCCAGAGACAACCAACGCCCGTGCAGCAATCCACCGCCCCTCCGTACGGTCGGCTGCTGGTGGAGATCGAGCGCGAGGAGCTGCAGGAGGCCCCCGAAGACCCGCGCATCACCGCCACTGCCCATGTGGCCTCGTACACCTGGCTGGCTCGGCCGGTGCCGTCCATCGTGGTCCCCGGTAGGGCTCTCCTCCTGTCCCGGCACCCGGAGATATCCCCTCTAACACCCCACAGGTGAACCGGCCCGGTGGACTCCCCTGCCATCCCCCCAGCGAGTCCCCCCCGACCGGGGCGAATACCTGCGAGACCCTAACGCCGCCCGATCGCCCGCCCACCCGTGGGACGCCTCCTGCCACGCCGTCCACCGCCAGCATCCCCACTTCGACCCGCACGGGGTGGATGTCGCCGCCTGCTCCAGCGTCCTCGGACACCTGTCCCGGTTCGTGCGCGGCGTGGAGCGGGACTTTCGCTTCGTGATGGACCGGGTCGGCCGCACCGTCTTCTTCATCCGGCGCGAGAACAGCCCGACCGAGCTGATCCCCGACGTCCGCGGCTACGGCCACAACTTCGTCGACGCCTACACCGCGTGGGGCCCGGGGCTGGCCGACTCGGCGTCGCACCAGCGACTGATTCGATACGACTTCGGGGGGCGACACTACCTGGTGCGCTTCGAGTCCGACGGCTTTATCGCCGAGGAGCCGGCGGAGGACAGCCGGACAGTCGAAAGCGACACCAGCCTGGCCGATGTAGCTGCCACGCTCAACATCGGCCCATCCGGACAGATGCCGGCGACGACGGGCGACCTCCATGTCGAAGACGGTGGTCGTCCCGTTGCCCACGGCGCGGTGATGGACATCAAGACACGTTCCATGCTCGACTTCAAAACCCGCGAGATCAAAAAGGAGATCAACATGACGGACCTCACCCCGCTCCTCTGGGTCTCCCAGATCCCCACCCTCGCCGTCGCCTACCACCGCCAGGGGACGTTCGAGGACGTGCAGGTCCAAGACATGCGGGACACACTCGCCCAGTGGGAGCGGGATAACGAGACTTCCTTGAGAAAGCTGATCTCGCTGATCAATGAACTGGTGAGTTACGTCCAGACCGCGACCACCAGCCTCGAGGTGTGCCGCCAGGGCAACGGGCCGCTGGAGGTGCGTCGCGTGGGAGGCGATGGTCCTACAGCTCTGTCCCCGGCGTGTCAGGCCATGTGGACTGCCTCGGCGACATCCCAGGAAGCCCGTGGTGCGGAGAGCCCTCGACCGGAGACACATCCCGACTCATTGGTCCCTGGGTCCGATGATGGGGCCCGATCTGACAAGGGTTCTTGAGATTGATAACACGGTGAATGTTGCGGTCGGTGATTGGAGTCGTCACAGGCTATGTGTGGCATTTGATGGTCGGTCTTGCTCTAGCAGATGGCCTGCCAGTTATGACAAGGGATCAGGCCTCTGGACATGTTATGGTCGGATCAAGGGTCTTGGGCTGTAGTTAACTAACTATGCTTCGCCCGTTATGTAATAACGTTCTGCCATACCATGTATCGCGATTGCTTTTGCCCGGGGGTCTGGACACCTTCTAACTCAATGATTTTGTTTTGCGTTTATTCGTTTTTCTCCGTGACCGTGAATCATCGACCAAGACCTGGAGGTTTAATAGTCAGATCAGGATCCCATCCGATACGTGAATATGTCTGGGCATAGGATGCCTGATAGAAAGACATCATGATCATATTTAGATGTCATGTCAGTGGATAATTTGGAGTTCAACAGCCTCCTTCCCCCAGCAGACAGGTACTCTGAGGTTGGTCTTCGACCACCCCCTTTCCACTGAGATGGATGTGCCGGAATGCCAACCAGATTAGACTTAGAGGCCAACTCCGGGATGTGATCTAGACATCCTAGAATGCGAGTGAGGAGTAGGACAGGTCCACAGCCACATTCCCGGCCCACAACCCCGACGCAAGGGATACTGGCTCGGCTGGCCGTGTATGGCTTTTGTCTAACTCCTTAAGCGGAATTGCCGGTATCCGTCGGTCATCCCTCGCTGGCCCCCGGTCCAGCACATGGTGTTGAGCTCGTTTACAGGGGCCCTGGAACTTTCAGTCCGTCTCTGATGGTCTAGCATTGACATTCTGTCAACTAGGGCCACTTGACGAAAATCTAAGCGTCCGGAAGAAGACGTTTGAGCGGACTGTTGAATGATGTATTCTCAGACATGCACTATCGTAGCGGCAATTTCGCTACGTAACATGTTCATCTACCTGGTGATGTGTAGCAGAACGGGACGGAAACTGATACACAAGCTACAGAATACTGACAGCATTACTCCAAGAGACTTTCAACCACATCTCTCCAGTACAGCGGGCGATTCGCCCTCTCTAGAGTCCGTGGCGGGCCAGTTCCTCGGAAAGCGCCCCGGAGGGTCTCGGTGCGCCAGATATTTCTGGGGGAGGGATGCTTTAAATCACGACCTTGCCCCCCACGACATCTTTGGAGGGGGACATCCCTCGAGTGGGACAAGAAGAGGGGTATCTGGGCGACATAGAAGCCCATCCATCCGGCTGATGCAGGGCACGGAGCGGATTTGCCTTCCACTCGCTGTCGAGATAAAACGACCCAAGCTTCTTTGAGCGCCATGACCGGATTGCGATTGGGCAACAGCAAGACCGATCCTGGTGCGTGCAGCGTAGATCTGACAGCAACCGAACTTGACCGCTAGACTGAGCTGGTGCATACGACCCGGTCCTTGGCTGGAGAAAGCTTCCCCGCGTGCCACCTCATCCTTATTATCCGCGCGCAGCCCTTCCCATCGTATTTAACCCCCTCGCCCCCCGCAGGGCCTCGAGAAGACAATCCACGATGGCCACCAGTTTTGATGCCCTACCCATCATCGACGTCTCGGCCCTCCGCCATCACTCGCCCTCGGAGCTGCCCGAGCTGAGCCAGCGTCTCCATGACGTCTTCACCACCACCGGGTTCGCCTATCTGGCCAACCCCCCGTTGAGCTTTTCCCACGACGAGGTCTTCAGCATGGCCCGCGAGTTCTTCTCTCTGCCCCCAGAGCGCAAGATGGCCCTGGCCAAGAGCTCCTTCCGGGCGGAAAACCACAACGTCTACCGAGGGTCTGCCCTCCCTGAGAATGGTCGGCCGACAGATGGCTAATGCCGGATTTACCGGGTGTCAGATACTTCCCCACGCAGCCGATGCAGGACACCGACAACCTCAAGGAAGGCTTCGAAATAGGCCCCCCGACCGCACCACTCACGCCTGCCACCCCCTCGAAGATCCTCCTCTCCGAGCCCAACGTCTGGCCCGCCGGGGACTTCCAGTCGCGACGTCGCCTGGAGCAACTGTACGCTGAGCTCCAGACTCTAGCGTCTCAGCTCCTCTCCCTCCTGGCATTGTCACTGGGAAAGCCGGCAGGCTTTTTTGACGACTACCTGGTCGACTCCCTGAGCACCCTGCGTCTTCTCCACTACCCCGTGGTATCACCCGCCCCCCGGGACGACTCGGATTCGGGACTGGGGTCGAGCCCAGATGTCCCCTCGGACGTCCGGCTGAGCTGCACCCCCCACACTGACAGCGGCATCCTGACCCTCCTGCATCAAGACCCGACGGGGGGCCTGGAGGTCCGCAACGCCGCGGGACGCTGGATTCCCGCCCCGTATATCCCGGGATCCTTGGTGGTGAACATCGGCGACCTGATGGCCACAGTCTCGGGGGGTCGGTTCGTGGCCACTATGCATCGCGTGCGCGCCCCGGCAGGACCCCGCGATGGGATCCCAAGGCGCCTCGGTCGGATCAGCGTGCCCTTCTTCTTCGAGCCCGGGGAGGCGTGCGTGGTGTCGCCCGTCGACGGGGAGGGTGAGGCGGTGGTGTACGGGGACCATGTGCGGTCAAAGATGCAGACGTGGGTGGAGTATCAGGATCTGGAGGGTTGACGGCACGGACCATTCTTACTGGCATAGAGAGGGAGAAAGTCAAAGGTTGCCTGCGGTAGGAGCTCGGGAACTGCATTTTCACGTGCGCTGCAAACAGGTAGTGGGTAATTATACCGTTAATGAGGGATAGATGGCTTTCAAACGGTGATGTTGACACACGCTTGGTTATACACGGATGGGCTGACAAATGTAATATTCGGTTGGTTGTCATATCCCAGAATTACCAGGGTGTCGCCTACATTGCGCGAGCTAGTTATTTGATTGATCCCGAATCAAAATCATAAGCACAGGGACGACGTACTGTGCAAATCAAAGATGGGCCAGCCCAGGTTGGATAGGCCGTCGTGCGGATCGGCGACGAATGCCGCCCATGCCTTCCGCATCCTGGCCGTCCGCACCGTCTGCCCAGCAGATTCAGACACAAGTGTAAACAGCGCCGAGCTGCCGTAGATCATGTTCAGGTCGACGCCATGGTACGCGCCGCTGGTCGGGTACAGACGGGTGTTGTCCCAGTCGGCGAAGTAGCGGAAGCGCCAGGCATTCTGGCGCTTCATGCAGGCCAGAGGATCTCCCACGGCGTGACATCCCAGCTGCATGGTGATGTTGGCCCAGTTGTCCGCGGACAGCGTGGCGGAGTTGGCCCCGAAGCTCAGGGCCGTGCCTGAATGCGAGATGAGCCCGGCCACGATCGAGTCCTCGGGCCAGGCGTAGGCCCAGTAGTCCACCATGGCGCTGCCACCCGACTGTCCGGAGATGGTGATACGGCTGCTATCACCGCCAAAGCCTGCGATGTTGTCTCTCATCCACTCCACGGCGGCGCGCTGGTCCAGCAGGCCAAAGTTGCTGGTCGACGGGCCTGGGATGCCCGGGAAGCTGAACACGGTCATGCGGTAGTTGCAGGTCACGACGATGATGTCCTGGTCGCTCGCGAACCCAGCTCCGTCGTAGAAGAGGGTGTTCGTGGTGCCCGGAGTGTACCCTGACCCTCGCTGGAGTTAGTACGTATCGAGTCAAGCGAGGCCCGAAGAACCACATATACCGGCTTCGGGATGTGGCTGTCGGTCTCGCGGGTCCAGATATTCAACGTGAGACAGTCCTCGCTCTGGGGGTTGTCACTCTCCGAGCCCACAAAGGCCCGCATGATGTCGGGAAACTGCTCCATCTCATTCGGGTACGTGTAGAGGGCCGTGTGCGTGTAGGGACAGTCCCTGAGCCATTGTTAGCTGTTAAAACAGATCTGCTTGCATGGACGATCGACTCACGCCCCCTAGTCATGACAAAGGTTAGTCGAGTCTTTTCATGACTGGGTTCGGACTGGGTAATCCTCACAAAGCTCTTCGCCACGTACGTGCCGTTGCCGTGGTATTTCTGCGGCGCCTCCCAGCGTAGATTGCCCATGGGGGGTTGCGCAAAGGGGATGCCCAGGAAATCGAGGACCTCTGGGTGAGTGACCGATCGATGGCCCGTAACAGCTCCATTGTCGGTCGATACAGTGAGGACGTTGGGAGTCAGGGCTCCAGCCAGGGGAAGGGCGGCGATCAGCAGCAGAGCAGCAGTCATGAGGACCATGTTGGTTCTTGGAGAATGGGAAGAAGCAGCGTAATTGCGAGGACGACGGGAGAGGTGACTGGTGGCGTTGCTCAGTTGGGAGTGAATGGTTCCCTCGGATTCTTTAATAAAGTCCAGATGTTTCCTACGATAATGGGCCAGAGTGGTGTGTCTCTCGGGCCAAGGACACAATATCCCAGCCACCGATGGAGGGAAAATCGGCCTGGTTCGAAATCAATAAACTCCGTTGTCTGGAGACACGCCAGAGCATCGGCCGACCGGTTTGCCCGTCCCTGTCCCAACTGCCTGGCATGATAGGCCCCCTTTTGGGCTCTTTGCCCGCCCCCTGGCTAGCCCGGCTGACTAGCCCTGCTTTCTTCCCTGTTGCGAGCTCTAGGTTCCCCTCCACCTCCATGATAGAGAGATACAATGTTTTACAGCTGCGGTGGATGGCACATTTCCCCGGTCGCAAAAGTACACAGTTAACCCTGACTGCGCCAATGTTCCCCGTGTGGTGTCTAGATATATCGCTCTGCGTGGATCACCTTGCACTGCGAGTCCCCCCCTTCGAGTGATTATCGCGTCTCTCGTCTTGCTCGTCGCACGCCACACACGGCACGATGTTTAATTAACCTGCTTAGTCCCTGAGCCTGTGGATCACTCCAACATGTATTATCTATCTAAAAGCCCCACCTCGACGGCGCGGACGCCAATTCCCCCGGCTGGATTCTGGACTTCACAGGCCGATCCTTCTCATGCTAGTTTTTGAATGAGATGTTATCTAACGCGCGTAGATGACTTAATCGCGCTCAATCTGGACGATACCGGGTCCTGTTTGACACTTGATGGGATCTTTCATCGGGCGCAGTCCACCAAATCAGAGACAGTGTTGACGAGTGCCAGCGAGGACGCGATTTTGCACGCCGACCACAGCTGAAGGGGGACAGTTTCGGTGTATTCTCCATTTCAGCGCATGAAGATTCAGGAACTGGTGGTCACTTAGCAAAGTATGAATAGGGGACACGAGTCCTCTGACTTGGTTAGCTTGGTAGCAGTCACCCGGTATAGATCGCATTACTCCGTCGTATAGTTAGTTTGGAGGGCCTTCATGCTTCGTGGTACATTCTCCTTCACCACATGGCCATGCAAGGAGAACCACGCTCCTCATGTCCAGCTCGCCGGCGATTCGTGGCGCAGCCTTGGATGATCTTACCCCATGCCCGGGCTAATCCTCCATCATCCGTTCCCGGATGCATAGTCACCAGGTGGTTGATCATTTCGGCAACTCCGAGGTCGCACAGGGCTAAGGCCCCCCAATCCACCCTCTTTTCACCTGCGGTCGGTATTAACAGGATTATCCCCGGACTATCGCCGGTGGATCGCATCAACAGGGGCTGGCCGGAGATAGTGACGTCGGTCACCGTGGACCGTGGAACCTCAAACTCTGAGCAGGATGTATAAAGGCTGCCATCATTTCCCCAGATCCCAACACGGCCTGAGTCTTCTTCTCTTCCAGCAGTTTACCATGGCGTCCTACCTGATCACCGGCGCCTCTCGCGGGATTGGATTCGAGATCGCTCGCCAGTTGGCTGCCAAGCCCGCCACCGAGGTGGGAACGATCTTTGCGACATCGCGATCCCTCAATGCCAGCCTGGAAGAGCTCGCTGAACAGCATCCCGGACGCGTCGCCCATGTTCCGATCGACGTGACGGACCCCAATAGCATCCGGGATGCCGTGCAGGCGGTGGAGCGCACACTGGATGGCAAGGGACTGGACGTGCTCATCAACAACGCCGGTGTGACGGCTTGGTGCCCCATCGAAGCCATGCAAGACCTGGAGGACACCTTCCGGATCAACGTGAACGGACCACATATCATGATCCAGGCATTCCTCCCGCTGCTGCGCCGGGGGCAGATGAAGAGAGTCATCAACATGTGAGTGACTCGGGCGAGGGACACTGACTGCAGGTCCTAACCCACCGCAGTTCCACCAGCGTCGGCTCGATCGCCAAGCAGAACGTCTTCGGCGTCCTCCCGACCCCCGCATACAAGATCACCAAGGCGGCCTTGAACATGATGACGGTGATCTACGCCCAGGAGCTGCGGCACGAGGGATTCACCGTGTACTGCATCAGCCCGGGGGTAAGTGGTCATTATCCTGGCGGGTCGTCTGCGAGCGAAGCTGATGCCGGACAGTGGTTGAAGTCCAACGAAGCGAACGCGCATGCGGATCTGCCCGTGGAGACGGGGGTTCGCTGCGTGCTGGACTCGATTCGGACCTCGGGGACGGAGGCGAACGGGCGATTCTTGAATATCCATGTGCCTGGGTGGGAGCGGAACCCGGGGCTGAACCAGTATGATGGGTTGGATCTGCCGTGGTAGGAGGTTGTCGGTGTGTGTGTGTGTGTGTGGGGTGGTAGATAGGATGTGTCAAACCATGTCTCCTTACGCCTATGTAGATAGTAGTAGGTGTCTGGACACCTGTTCAGTAGAGCGATTCGGCGATGCCATATAGCTGCTAGGGGCATCCGAGAAGTGGCCATCAATTTCGAATGCTTTGGATCGCAGAGGGGCAGCAGCCATTGCCATGGGCAGTATTTCGATGCGGGGATATTTCGGAGGGAGACAATGAATCACATCCCCCTATGTTTGTCCATGACACGGGGTAATCCTGTCCAGTTGACTGCCGAGTCATGGAGAGACAATGATAGCGCAGACCCCCTATCCTTTCTGCAAGGCCGCGCAAGCACCCTTTCTTGACGCCAATTCTGTAAAATACCAGTGATATCACCCCACTTGAATGCGCCATGGCGTCCGGCATGGGAGCACATCCAGAGTGCTCGGTAAAGTACTAATATATATGTATCAGCATGTGATAGCGGTCGCAACGCCGTCAGCATGATGATCGACGGGCCACAATCGACGACATGTCTCAGGTTGAGATGAAGCAATGCATGCTGGGAGGACTACTGAGGAGCGGGGAGAAAATTCCCCCGCCGGGTGGCCGCCTGCCGTGGGGCCCTCCATCACTAACTGACTCCTCGTTATCGCGCTCGGCCTCGCCCTCGCTGTCGGCATCCACGCTGCCCGGAACCAGCTTCCACGCCCTCCCATAAGTGCCCGCATTTTCCCCCTGACGCTGCATCTCACGATCGGACTTGCGCAGGTCAGCAGCCACCACCAGGAATCAACAATGGTCGGTGGGAGCGGTCAGCGACAACATCCGAACCATCCGCCGTATCCGGGCAGCTGCCTGGTTCGGGGCGCGTTAGGGCGACGTTAGGGCGGGCCCACCGTTCCGTCATCGAGGCCATCCCAGCCGACAAGCACCAGCTGCACCAGCTGCACCAGCTAGCTATCTGGTCTAGTCCAGTGCACCGACCCAGTAATTTCCCAAGCGAGTCTGGTGGCACTTCGTCTCTGCCTGGCTGGCCATCCGACAAGCAGCATCTCGCCCGTATCCGCCGCCCTCCCATAGGCCAACGGACACCCAAACCACCCCAGCCATGGATGGATCCTTCGTTCTGTGCCCGAGCGAAGTCCGCCGCCTTTATAAAAACAAATCCCCCCCGTCGCCTGGCCCTCCCTTCCAGCTCTGCACCTCCTCCCCTCCCCCTCTCCCCTCTCCCCTCTTCTTCCCGTCATGTACGTCCCCTCGGTGCTCCTCCTGGCCGCGAGCCTCCTGCAGGGCGCCTCTGCGCTGCCCCCCATCCTGGGCTCGACCCCGATCCCCCCAGCGAGGACCCGTGGTACTCAGCCCCCCGCGGCTTCGAGTCGGCCGCCCCCGGAGAGATCCTGCGCATCCGCGCGGCCCCCGGCAACCTCACCACCGTCGTGGGCAACGCCTCCGCCGCCTACAACATCCTGTACCGCACCACCAACAGTCTGTACAAGCCCTCGTGGGCCGTGACCACCCTGCTGGTGCCCCCCTCAGCGCCGCCGCCGCCGCCGCCAACGGCAGCAGCCTGCTCTCCTACCAGATCGCCTACGACTCGTTCGACGTCAACGCCAGCCCCAGCTATGCCATGTACACCGACCCGTCCACGGACATCGCCACCGCGCTGAAGCTGGGCTGGTTCGTCAACGTGCCCGACTTCGAGGGTCCCCTGGCCTCCTTCACCGCGGGTGTCGCGTCGGGCCATGCCACGCTCGACTCGGTGCGTGCCGTGCTGTCGTCCGGCTTCGGGCTGGACGAGCACGCGCGGTACGCCCTCTGGGGCTACTCGGGCGGTGCCCTGGCCAGTGAATGGGCCGCCGAGCTGCAGGGCCAGTATGCCCCCGAGCTGACGTTCAGTGGCGCCGCCGTGGGCGGGCTCACCCCCAACATCACCAACGTCATGGACAGCGTCTCCGGCACCCTGAGCGCCGGGCTCGTCCCCGCCGCCATCCTGGGCATCTCGAGCCAGCACCCGGACACCTACGCCTACATCGTCAGCCAGCTCAAGCCCAACGGCACCTACAACAGGGCCCGCTTCCTGGCCACCAAGGACCTGGACCTGGACGAGGCCGAGCTGTACTACCTCGAGCAGGACATCTTCGACTACTTCGTCGACGGCTACGAGACCTTCTACAACCCCGTCGTGCAGAAGGCCCTGAACCAGGACGGCTACATGGGCTACCACGGCGTGCCCCAGATGCCCGTCTTCGCCTACAAGGCCATCAACGACGAGGTCAGCCCCATCGCCGACAGCGACCAGCTGATCGCCCGCTACTGCGGCGTCGGCGTCAACATCCTGTACGAGCGCAACACCGTCGGCGGCCACTCGGCCGAGGAGGTCAACTCGGACGCCCGCGCCTGGGCCTGGCTGACCAGCATCTTCGACGGCACCTATGCCTCCAAGTATGCCACCTCCGGGTGCACCATCCGCAACGTCACCCTGAACATCACCTCCTCGCCCTTGTAAAGTAGGGGACCGGGGATTGCTCTGTGACTCCGGTGGATGCCACCGCATGATCTTTTGTACAGTACGAACGGCGATGAATAGCGATGGACCCGATCCGAATGATTAATATACCACGGGGAGATAATATTAGAAAGATAGCTATTGCTTAATCAACCATAACTTCTCGGACATGCGCAATGGGTAGAACGTCCATAGTGTAGATTATGTAGATGGTATGGAGTGAAAGAGAAGGGGTTCGTTCGCCTTCCCCGTCGATTGGTCAAAAGAGAAACCAGTCGATTAGAACGATCTAAAAACCCCGCAATAGGTATGATGATGATGATAACGGAGACGATACGTAGTTTGAAGGATCGTCAGTCTGGAACCGAGAAGACCCTTCCTTGATCAGATCCGAGGTGCGCTCGGCCACCGCATACAACGTGCTCACCAGATGGCCGCACACCTGGAAGGGGCACCACCGAGGCATCCACCACGCGCACGTTGCTGGTGCCGTAGACCTGCAGCTGCTCGTTGATCACGCCGCCCTTTCAAACAGCCACTCTTTCTAGATATCCTCCGCGATGATGTGCTTCAACGGCGCGGACTGGAACGACTTGCGGACAAACTTAGCCACCGCGATCTCGCTGTCCAGGTCCCAGTCTATCTTGTAGTAGTTGGGGTTGATGACCCTGACTAAAGTTTTGTCATCGCTACTGGGCCCACCCAGCCTGGATGTAGACATCTTCTCATGTCTCTTGAGCTCTGTTCCGGTTCCACTACATACCTCTGGCTGCAGAGACCAAATAAATGGGCGATGTCTCGGTATCGGTGAGAGTTTGCGTCATCTGAGCAGATTATCAAGGTTACCTAGAAGTTAATCAGCGGCATGCTTTAACTATCCGAGATCCATGGTGGCGTGCTAGCGCAGGTCCGCTGGTTCTGCTCGATCGCCTGGCCCTGGGAATGTGAGAAGAGCAGCTACATACCATACTGCGTGTTATGGGAGGCAGGCACTGATTTGTATGGCCCGAAAGCTCTCGTTGAAGGGTAAGACCCCGTTGGAAGATTATCCTATCAGGTTGTATGTCTGGACATCTCGAGTAAACTAGCTTCGTTTCTCTCTTTCTTATTTTCGTGTTGGTTTACAATCGGAATGATAAAGCAACACCTCTGCTCCGTACACCATGACGATTCACGTGGAAGATTAGATACCACTTCCGGCTGCATCTGATGGTGCGCTGGATTACTTGCACGGCGGCTTTCTAATCAGACCAAAGAACGTAGGCCAGTGTGGCAGTGGCAGGGATCGAATCCTTGGGATCCACCCCAGGCACTAAAACCCGCGGTGGTGGCTGGATTCATAACAGTGCGGCCGTTGGCTGGCTCGAGGATCGAGGGCTATCATGCTTTGGGAACGGTCGACCCGCTCGAGGCAGGACGACGGCTCTCGTTGGCAGTTGGGCCCTTTTCCTTGCCCCTGGCCACCCAGGTGACCATCCCCTGGTGCCTGGATATGATCATGTGCTGGCTCCTGTTCCTGATGTCTGTCGTGTGATCTCCCCTCAGTGTTGCAGGCGGGTATATCATAAGTGCGGTGTCTCAGCCGGGTCGATCCAGACACGACAGGTTTGTATCACGTACATATCTAGCCCAGCACCATGGCCCTCCCGGAACATGGTGATCTCCCTACATTTGATATCACCCCCGCTGACTTGCGAGACCAGACCAATCGTCTGGTCCACCAAGTTCAGTCGGCGGTTGATACGCTAGTGGAGACGGTCGCACCGGGCAGTGCCACCGTTGCCAACACAGTGCGTCCTCTGGGCGATCTGGACAACGCGTTCAAGTACGAGGTGCAGTATATCGCGCTGTTCCAGTCGGTGGCCCCGTCGCCCGACCTCCGGCAAGCCGCCTCGGACGCCATCAACCTGCTGAACCAGACCTATCTGGCGCTGTTCCAGAATGAAGCCCTCTTTGCTCTGGTGGATGTGGCCTATCGCCTGGTCGAGGATGAGGATGCCACGGACGAGTCCACGCGTCTGTTGGCCCGATTCCATCGGATGTTCGTGGACAATGGCCTCCAGCTGTCTGGGGCGGACCGCGACCGCTTCACCTGGATTGCAAAGCGGTTGCTCGAGATCCGAGTCGAGTTCATGGACAATCTGGCTACTGACCCGGGCAGCTTGTGGGTAGACCAGGAGGCGTTGCAAGGCCTCCCCGACCGCAAGCTGCAGAGCCTGGCCCTCGACGATCAGGGCGCGCGAGGCGTCCGTCTCGACCGGCCCAGCGTCAATGCGGTTCTGACCAAATGCCGCGTAGCCTCGACGCGACGAGACGTCTTCCTGGCGGGCCAGTCCATTTACCCCGAAAATGCCAGACTGTTCGAAGAGGCCGTCCGGCTGCGGAGTGAATCGGCGCATCTGCTGGGGTTTCCCTCCTACGCGGTGCAGCAACTGCGTCACCAGTTGGTGAAGTCCCCTGAAGCCGTCCACGAGCTGCTGGACGACTTCACAGCCAAACTTCGTCCGGTCGCGTCGCAGGAGGTCCAGGCCTTGGAGCAGATAGACGGCCTCGAAGACCCGTTACACCTCTGGGACTTCGACTATTACCACCACCGCATGCTGCAGGAGGAGTATAAGGTCGACCATGACCGCATTTCCGAGTACTTCCCGGCTGAGCACACACTCCGGCGCATGTTCGACACCTTCGAGAAGCTATTTGGTCTGTCCATCTTGGAGGTAACGGAGAAGGAAGATCGACATGTCTGGCATCCAGAAGTCAGGGTTTTCGCCGTCCGGGACCGACACGAGGGTTCGTTCCTGGGCTTCCTGTACACCGACCTGTACCCTCGCCCCGGCAAGTACAACCACGCGGCCAACTTCAATATCCGCCCGGTATGGCTGTCAACAACCCTTATCGGTGTGTTCGTTTCTGACTTCTTCCCAGGGATTCAGAAGAAAAGACGGGCAGCAATCCCCGGTCGCGACGGCCCTGGTGTGCAATCTCTCGCCCGCGACGGCCGCCGATGTGCCTGCACTGCTGCAGCACCGAGAAGTCATTACCGTCTTCCACGAGCTCGGCCATGGTGCGTTGCACTCCTTCTCCACTTGCCTTCCCTAACTGTATGTTCAGCCATTCACGACCTCCTCGGCCGTACCGGGTACGCCATGTTCACTGGCCATCGGACCGTGCGCGACTTTGGCGAAGCGCCCAGCCAATTGCTCGAATACTGGTGCTGGGTGCCCGAGTGCCTTCAACCTCTGAGCTTTCATTATTCCTACCTGCCTGAGTATTCGGATCAATGGGCCGACTCAAGAAAACCCCCGAGGGAGATCCCTGACGATCTCATCGAAGGCCTCGTCGCAGCGAAGCAAGTCAACCAGGCGATACTGACCCTCAGGCAGGTTGCCTTCAGCAAATTCGACATGCAAATCCACACGCGCAGCTTCCACTCAGAACCCAACACACTCTCCCCAATCGCAGAGATATACAACTCTCACCTCCAAGAAATGACCCTCCTCCGCGGCGCGGAGGGGTTAGATTGGGGCCACGGCCACGCCACCACGCTGCATTACATGTGGGGGCAGGACGCCAACTATTTCTCGTATCTGTAGTGAGTTCGCCGTCTACCATGTCATTTTATCTTTGGATGGACGACGTTGTATAGCTGACTACTCCAGTACCCGTGTCCTGGCGGCTGACATCTGGGCCTCCCATTTCCGGGACGACCCTATGAGCGAGACGGCCGCACTGCGCTATCGACGCATGGTTCTGGAGAAGGGCGGCAGCGTGGATGAGGCTGGAATGCTTCGCGATTTCCTGGGACGGGTCCCGCGAGCGGATGCGTATTTTCGCGATTTTGGGATTGTTTGATGAGTTGGTCGATGAGAGGGCTCGGGGGAGAGAATTTTGTGGAGAGGTCTCTTGTTCTGGAAGGCTTCATCTGTCGGCACAATATACCAACAATCTGCGATTCCCTATATGTTCGAGGATATGAAACACATGCATGAGGGTGTTGTGCAGATGGGGTAAAATATCATCGTGGCCTGTGGGAACAAACCCCTCGAGTCAAAGGTATCTAAACACCTAAAGGGGCGTGACGGCACCAGGTCTGACACGGCCAGTCCTTCCATGGCGTCAATGACAGGTGCCGTGCCAACAGCCGAAGAGGCGCATCTAGAGTCCAGACATCCATAGGCGAAGCTCGTATCCAAGCGTATCCCCACTAGTGGTGATGTCAGCCTTGTCTTGTCAATTGAGCCTCGCGAGGAATTTAGGGCTGTTGTTGGGATCCGCCGCACCTTTCGAGTTACTGGACACCTCACACCGACCGCGTCACCCAGAAGCCATCAGGGCCAGCGTGAGAGGGCAGCCAACCAACCTTAATCTGGGAACACAGCCTCATTGGCAGCAGGCTTGATCCTGGGGCGCAGGGCAGGAATCCTCCCGCCGTGGGTCCTGCTTGGAGTCTCGTCTCCGTCTTGCTGTTTTGAAGTCTCCGCCGGCCCCCCCAAAATCTCCGCCTGCCAAAAGTCTCCGTCTCCGCACGGAGATTTCCGTCCGCGGCCGCCCATCGCCTCCGCTATAAGAGATGGGGGGATACCAGCCGGGATAAACTGGGATAAACTCGTATCAATCCAGCATATTAGTCTCATCAGCACAATCCAGACTACATTCCTCTGTTCCGCTTTTCAATCTCCGTCTCAGCCACATTCTCCATTTACAACCCCAATCTCCACCTCAAACACAATGTCTGAATTCCTGCCCACCTTGCCCACCTTTGCCTTCTTCGGATCCACCGGAGGCTGCATAAATGCGTGTCTGGCCTTGACCCTCAAGGCGGGCTACCAGTGCACTGCCCGTACGTTCTCCCCCCGGCCCCCGTCGGTCATATCGCATAGATGCTAATGCCCCTCCTCAGTCGTGCGCAGCCCCCCAAGCTGCATGACCTGCTTCGCAAGCTGGAGGTCCCCGAATCAGCCATCGCAAACAACCTGGTCATGATCCAGGGCAATATCACCGACTTGGCAACCGTCCAGCAGGCCCTCTCGCTGCATGGCCGCACAGTCGACATGATCATCTCCGGGATCGGCGGCAAGTTCCTGTTCAAGTCCGGATTCAACGCCACGATCGACAACCCGACCATCTGCCAGGACGCCACGCGCACGATCCTGGAGGCCGCGCGCACGTGCTATCCCAAGCCGCGCTTCGTGGTGATGAGCGGCACAGGCATCGGGGCGACGGAGAAGCGCGACATGCCGTGCCTGATGAAGCCGATGTACAACATCCTGCTGAAGGTGCCGCACGCAGACAAGGAGGTGATGGAGAAGCTGGTGCTAGCGGAGCTGGACCGGGCGCCGGCGGACCGGGCGTTCGAGGACTTCATGCTCGTGCGGCCGAGTTTCCTGACGGACGGGGAGAGCGACGGCATGGCCAAGATCCGGGCAGGCACCGAGTCGAACCCGGCGGTGGGCTATATCATCAGTCGCTCGGACGTCGGGCTGTGGCTGTTCGAGAGTGTCGTGCGCAAGGCCGGCCCGGGTCAGAACAGTCCCTTCTGGGGGCAGCGGGTGTCGATCACCATCTGAGGTTGTTGCATCGTGAGGGATGGATTGTTCTTTAGCTTAATTCTGATGTTTATATGTAACGTGTTAGCTGGTTATTATTCCCAATGTTTTTGGTTTTGTTCTCTCTCGTGGCAGACTTGCCTGGACGCGTCTAAATGCCCATGGTAGGGCGACTGTAGGTAGCGAGACATTGTCAGACTTTCCTGGCTTGTCGTAATATCCCAGAGCACGACTTTGTAGCAGTACAAAGTAGGAGTTTCTTGTTTCTCACTCTCGAGTCCTGGAAGACGGGGGAGTCCCGGTGGAAACGCCGTCATCTTTGATATCTGGCACGTGGCTCCAGGGACTGCCGAATTAAGTGCCAGCAGGTGACGAGGAATGCCCTTGACGGCTGAGATGGAGCTTTCTCTGCACACACTCTCTCCCACCACAAGTATTCCCTGTTATCAGGTTGCTATGCAGGCTCCAGTTCCACCCAAGTGAGCGCTCTGGTAGCTTCCCGGCGCAAGGCGTCGATCTTCAGGGTGAAAAGATCATCCTTCAGGCCGACAGGGGATGGGTACTCTTCCGACAGCAGTTTCATTCCAACATCAACAACCTTATATTATTCTCGAGCCATTGGATTCCGGGGGTTACATCTGAATGGAATATTCTACTGATCAAGTACTCTCGGGAGTCTTGTCTCTAGCGCTCGTTTAGACTATGCGAAACCAAATCTCTCGCCCAGAAAGATAGGTGTGACGATGCTGGGCGGGTCGCGAGGTGGAAGACGCCTTGGAATAAAGTGGTAAGGATGATGGTGAAGTTTCCTATGAGTTGAAATGACGGAGAAATCGATCGGTAGTATTCCTCAATCAAACACCGATTTAGTCTAGAACAGACGCTACCGCTCAAAAACCAGGTGTCCTCATCCCAGTAACCGAGTTATCCTGCCCTGAATATGGCGAAAGGGGGATCGAACCGGGGACGGGCAAGTTCGCTGGACCCGCAGGCTTGGTGACATGCTCAGTGAAAGAATCAAAGTCCAGGAACTGCCAGATGTCGCAGTCGAAATCATTCGAGATGACGGGTAGCACGTCAAGCTCATCGAGCCCTTCAATCACGGCTGGAAACGGGGTAGATATGTTGGAAGACGCGGATGAGCCAATGCTTGGGTATTCTGTCGCAACTGCAGCTCTGGTGCTGTCCTGGAAAGATCTTATGACATCGATGATTCTGCTCCTGGGGGATCGGTTGCAGATATTGTTAGGAGCTTCACCTTGCACGGCTTCGCTCCTTGATTCATTGTCGTGTTCAGACATCTCGTTCTCCAGTTTCATGAGGGCCTCGAGGATATTCATGCTTCGGTGGGCAGCCTTCGCTCGCTCCCTGTCGGAGGCCACCGACAACTGCACATCGTCTACCCCGCTGCGCATCCTTAACAGCTCGATGGCCTCCCGGACCTTGTCCCGCGACATGAGTCCAGCCAATTGGGAGCCAGACCCAGCGTTTTCTTTGGATGTGGCCGAGAATATCAAGTCTGTGACGAGCGCCGCGGCCGCATTGAAGAGCAGGGTATCGCCCGCCGACAGTGAGCTACATACGGTGCAGCGAGATTGGATCTGTACCTGAATGGTGATAATATTCTGCGCCAGCAGCTGGCAGGAGATGCGCCCGTCCTGGGACGACAGGTTCCCTCGGTGGATTCTCAAGAATAGAGACCAGAGCTGCTGGTGCAACATCCACCGTTGCACCGGGATTGCGGCCAAGGGACCGGTCGCTGTCAGTCCCGCAGTATTTCCTAACCGGAAGTGAGACGGGAGTTGAGCAATGAATCGTTCATATTTCCGGTTCAGTTCCCTGTGCATCGTGCGTTCCATATCCTCTCGGACTTGTCGTACCGGGCCACGCAAGTCTATGGACTCACGCACAAGAACAACAATGCCCAGAGCTTGTATAGTGTACGAAAGCATGGTGAATTCCGATCGCGGCCGCTCAGTGATGTGGTCCTGGGCATCAACCTGTCCGGTCGGCATCCACAGGTCGTTGTCGTTGACGTGTAAGGGCGGTCGGGTGTTGAACTGCGAAGGATGGATGCTGTAATAGCCCAGTGCCTGCCCGCGAGACCAATCTCGCATCACCAATGCCCACCTTGCGAGTGAGGTCAGTCCCTGCCAGCCTGTTGGTAGGTTCAGATGCCTGGTGACTCACCAAATGCGGACCCCTATTTCCGTTCGAATGTATGGTTGCTGTAACGAAGGCGTCGACACATTGTCCATGGAGGTATCAGCCTTTAGTTTCACATCTCCCAGTCGATGCAGTCCGAGCTTCTGGGCCCCTGAGATTGCAGTAACTAGGATGGAATCAAGGGTTGCTGGATCTTCGTGGGCGTCGAGCAAAATCATGATCGCTGCCTGTAGACCGGGGATCGAGCCACAAAAGAGTGACACCGATCCTCGCAGGCAGCGCAGGGCCAAAGACCTCCAGATTTTGATATGCCTACCGGATTCTCGAGCCGCCTCAGCATGCAGTGCAACGGGTGACTTCGACCAGCCCAACACAGTGCGACCGGGGTAAAAGGCGAGGCCGAGCACGAGCTGTGAACGGAAGTGAGTATATGCTCAAGGCGCGGATTCAGACTACGTACGGCCATCAGGAGACAGGAAAGCATTTCCATGGATATTCTTTCCGACATGAGCAAGGCGTTTTGCTCTGCCGAAGGGCAGATTAAGCACTCATAAAGCCCATTCGCTTGGTCCAGGAACGTCGGGGTATGGATAATGTTACCCAGTGAACCTTGGCAGCGAGTAACAAAGGCGTCGTAGAGGGCGGAAATCAGATCAGGGCCAGGCATTTGATCGACGATCTCGCGCAGCAAGGCCAGCTTTTCGTCCTGTCTTTGAGGGCCGCTGGCGGAGCACCAATACGGGTTTAGGGGGTCGTCTGCGATGGGGGATGATTCTGAATGCCCCCCCGCCGCATGGGGAACAGGTTCGAGAAGGGACCCGTCGACCAGATCTTCTAGCAGTTGGACTGTATCTCTAGCCTCCGATGCGTTAGGTCTCGGTGTATGGCTATGGGCCTGATCAGCATGGTTATGTCCAGTCCCTCGCTGCACTCACCGCAAATTATCCGGACTGTCCTGGCTGGTGGGATTGACCTTGGCCCGTTTCGCCCTGGGCTGGCGCTCATCCTTGGTACACAGGTGGCCGACATTACGCTTGAGACACTCAACCTAGGAACGATCAGCCAGCGCATTCTGATGTGCCAGTCGCGTCCGTCCTACACAGGGTTCCTGCCGGTCGCATTTCAGCTTGGAAGCACGGCAGCGTGAGCACGACAGCGTGAGCTTTCTCGGACTCGCTTCTGAGCCGGATGAGGCCCTGGGGTGGTGCTCCTGGCTCCTTAATCGTGGGGTGACCATGGTAGACGGGGGGGTTGTGAACAGATGATGGCTGGCAGGAGTTGTTGTCGGAAGTGGCAGTTTCGGAGACCCGGAGTACCCGGAGTTTCGGGGCTTGGCTGGCCGGCACTTAGGCGGAACGTCCGATCGGAGTTTTCCGGCGGCCCTCATTCACTGTACACGAAATATTATGAAACGCATTGATCTGTCTACTGCACGCTGGTATTTTGGTTGCAGTTACACCCGGGGAAATTACTGCTTCTATTGTGGCTGAGAGAACCGACTCGATCTGGACTCTGGCGATATATATCCACACCAACCAACCCTTCATCATAACTGAAGCGGCTAGGGCACCGGACACCAGGAATCACCCGTTCATGCCTCTTCATCACCCCGAAAGTCTTTCTCTCCAACCCTGACGGAATCAAACCGGTGGTCTCGCACAAGGAAAACCACCACAAGAAGCCCCACTGCCGCAAACCCGATGCCCAGCCAGTAGGGCCCCCGGAACCCCATGATCACGTCCTTTCCTCCCTCGTTGACGTGGGCCTCCACGGTGGCAGCAATGCCAAGTCCGAGGGCGATGGCATACTGCACCACCGTCGAGAGAAAAGAGCCCGCTGCACCTTGCTCCTCCGGCAGAACCACGTTGGTGATGAGGATCCCAGACGAGGCAAAGGACAGATCAGGGCCCCCACCACCAGCAGGCACGCGGGGAAGATAAACGCCCAGTAGACCTCGGAGTATGGCGCAAAGCTCATCAGCAGATTACCCACCAGAAAGGAAAACATCGAGACACCGAAGATATACTGCGCGGGCACCCGAGTGATAAAAATGGCAACCGAGGCGGTCGCGAAGAAGCCTCCGATGACCAAGGGAACCATCTCGGCCACGGCAGACAGAGGGAGCTTTCTATGCACGTTCAGAATGAAAGTGGTGGTGTAGTAGAGGAAGATGCTGAAAGACATCCAGCCGAAGAACATGGCGATCACGACGGGTGCAAAGCCCTTGCGCGTCCAGAGGGAGTTGGGCAGCACTGGGGCGGAGACGCGTGACTGCGAGATGGCAAAGGCCACAGTGAAGAGAATGCCGACGATCAGCAGGGTGTACACGTAGGGTTCTTGCCAGCCGACCACCGATGCTTGGTTCCAGGCGAATGCGACGAGCACCAGACCGGTGATGCCGGTGCAGGCGCCGATGTAGTCGAACTGCCTCAAACTGAGCCCCGGAATAGGAGATCCAACGCTGTGGGGAACGACCACCCCCGTGGCGAGACCGAGGACCAGACATCCGACGGCCCAGAACCAGTATCCCCATCGCCAGGTAACATGCTGGGCAAAGGCAGCCCCGATGAGACCCCCAAAGATATACCCCGACGGCGCACAGAACCCGAGAAATGCAAAGGCGATGTTCTTCTTCGTCGAGAAAGGCGGAAAGGCTCGCGCGAGGAGGGCAAACGAATTGGGAACCAGGGCCCCATTACCCACCCCCGTCATGCCTCGCGCGAAATCGAACAAGATGACATTGTGTGCAAACCCGCTGATCAGCGACCAGAGAGCCATCCAGATCCAGCCGAAGATGAAGACGTATTTATGTCCAAAGTGGTCACCTAACCGTCCGCCGACGAGGACAAAGACGCCGCTACACAGGGCGTATGCGGCCAGGAACCACGAGGTCTGGCCATTGCTGGATGCATTCAGTGCTCCGCCGATGTGCTGGACCGAGAAGGCTGTGTTGCCGATGCTTCCGACGGAGAATAGTTGGGATAGGCCGATGACGAGAATAAAGATAGCTTCCTGTAAGGGGGAGGAGAAGTGGGAGGAAGGTTGAGTGGGCCCGGAGGAAGTAGGGCTATCGGATCGTTTGGACATGGTTGCTGTCTGGATCGGTTGGCTGTGTAAAAAGACCTGAGATTGCTGTCGGGGGGTACGCTGTGTCATCCGAAACTGTGAAGGTTCAAGTAATAAGGCTCTCGATGCAGCATAGTTATATACTTGCAGGGGATAGATTATGGCGATTTTCTCCCTCCGTTGGGGCCAAAGACCGCGAAGCTCCGCGGATCTTGACTGAAACTCCGAAACCCCGATTTAAAGCAAGTCTTTCGACGCCACCAATACAACCCTCAGGAATGTCTTGTCTTGGTTGGCTGTGCGGTAATGAGATGTGAAACGATTTCTTCCGGGAGTAATTCTGTCGATATCTGAATGGATGTTGCTACTGAAAGTGGATTGAACCAAGTATCGGACTCCCGGACTAAGAGGTTGTCGACAAATCCTTCCAGTCCAGTCTTTGCATTTCCCACAGCGTGAGCAGTATCTAACCGACAAAAGATGAATTGCCCATTCGCTGCTGATGTTTGGATCCCGCGCAGCTCGCTGGCCAGTCATGATGACCATGTCAGGGGGAGGAGGGCACGGCCTCAGCCTGGTGTACCCCGCACGAGGCTGGGGCGACCTCGTTCCTCATCCTCAGATCTCGAAGCTGTAATCAACCATCGCTTGTCCTTTTCCACGCACGAGATCAGAAAGCTGTCGCCTACCCCTCCGTTTGCTCTCCAGTCATGTCAAAGCCATCCGCCCGGAGCGACCAGACCTACACATGGGCTGCAGAATGCAAATCTGAGGAGAGGACAGCGGAGGGCCATGACGTCGAGACACTGCGACGGTTCGAATTCGACGAGGCGCGAATGATCCAATATCACCCACGCTGGCCGGCGTGGGTGACTGACGCGAAATCCCCCTCGCCCGAGTTCCCCATCATTGTTACCAAATTTCTGACCCCGCAGAAGGTACAGGGACTGGCGGGGCTCGAGCGGGTTCCAGAGGTGATATGGACCAGAGAGGTGGGTTTTAAATGGGGAGCGGATGAGGCGTCCCACTACGTACAGTACTGCAAAGTACGGGGTCAGGTCAAACTAAGCGAGATCAGATAAAGAATAGATCTACAGGAGACAGCATCCAAATCTGGATGGAGGGCAGGAGACACGCGGCATGGCTGTCCTACGGAGAGGTGCAGGACAGCAGTGATGGAAACCTACAGCCACAGAGCGGCTTGTATGACAACTGAGTAACTCGTGTCTTCTATCCTTACTGCCCGGGGATTCCTCAGCAGAAAGATGCCATATCAATCAAAGGGTTTTTCTAGAACGCCTCTTCCGATGTCTTTCCGGGCAACTGGACATCCTCGTAGCGAAAGAAGCGATCTTCGTTGGTCCTTTACTGTACCCTTGCCCTCCCCAAACGCGAGGGGGATGGGTGTCATAGGGGAGGCCCAGGAAGATGGAGAATGGAATTATCTTCTCCGCGGAGAGAACGATCTAGGGTTGTTGGCTCCGAAGGACTCTCGGAGTTTTCGGAGTGAGGTGAAATCCGGCGGAGTTTCAGGCCTGCCCGGACTTTCAAGGCCACCAAGCCCCTTTTCGCGGGTTCTGAGTCCCCGAAAAAAAAAAGGAAAGAAAAAAAGGGGCGAGAAAAGAGGGGAGGACACCTTGTGAGGTTTTCTGGCTTTGCAAGCATGGTGTTTGGTCAAACCCGATACTTCGTCGTTTCCTAGCATTTTATGGCCTGCTTGGTATTACACTTGAGGTAAAGTCCGACATCTACGCAAATAGGATGGTAATTGAAGATCAATGGTCCATGAAGTAAAAATCTGTAGATTCATCTACATTTCGGTGGAATACACCTGAGACTACCATCAATCTCGAAAGCCACACCAGGCGGCCTACGCGGTAACCTTCTTCCAGCTCTCCCGCGCCTTCAGGCCCTCCCACCACTTCTGCACATGGGGGAACTTGGCCACCAGGTCAGTAAACCCAAACTGCTCGATGAACACTCCGTAAGGCAAGTGAGCCAGATCAGCCAGAGTGAAGCTCTCTCCCGCCAGGTAGGGCTGTTTGGACAGAACGCGCTCGTAGCCGTGAAGGGCGGCCTCCAGCTGGCCAAAATAGGCCTGCACAGCGGCCTCGTTGGTTGCGCCGAGACCCTTGAGCGCCTTGAAGACCTTCTCGAACGCGATGCTTGAGGCGGGGGGGTCGAAGTAGGCTTGTTCGATGGAGACGGCCTATCCCGGTCAATCGCTCGTCCACAGATGGAATTGTTAAGAAATAATCTGGGGCCCTACCTGCTGGAAGTACGCAAACGCCTTCAAGTCGGTCTCGGGGGGAGCCAGCTCCGTTCCCTGGCCGCGGTACTTCGTCGCGATGTATTGGTTGATGGCACGGCTTTCTATACCGGGAACACGTTAGCGGGGATCCATCGGGATGGGGAGACACCTACCGTAGATGGTGACGCCGGTCTCGGTGTCCTCCAGCACAGGGACTTTTCCGAACGGCTGGAGGTTGTTCAGGTACGCCTCGGCCTTCTGCTCGAGCTTGGACAGATCGACGGGGATGAACTCGTACTCGAGGCCCTTCTCGGCCAGGGCGGTCCGGACGCGCCGGGTGCAGGTCGAGTGGACGAAGCCGTGGAGTTTGAGAACCATTGTGACAGTAAAGTGGAAAGATGATAGACGGGGATAAGAAGAAGGCAGGCCAGCACCCTTTTTTAATTGTTCGGATGGTGCCAGTCAGGGCTGCCATTCCACCCACCAACCATCGGGTTGGGGGCGGACCCAATTCCGCCGGTGACTAAGACGGGTTCAGGCAGACGGTTCAGGCAGACCGGCAGACATGTTTCTTGCTCCTTCCAACGGCTTCGAACATCCTTATTCTATTACTCTATTAGGGCTCGCATCACCTCCCTCCCTCCCTCCCTCCCTCCACATGCCGCTAGTTCCTGGACCCCCGGCCGAGGCATAAATCGGACCCACAGATCCGGCAACACCATCACGAAACTGTCCTGCTCCTTCCCATCAAATGCCCGCTGGCTGTCATCCGCCAGCCTCACCTCGTACGCCAGCATCAGCATCGACAACGCCGTGCGCAGCTCGATCCACGCAATACTTTTCCCCAGGCAATCGAACGCCCCTGAATATCCTTGTTAGCGTCTGCGGCATCCCAAAGACGGTTGGCTCAACACACCTCGAGAGAATGGCAAATACGGCGCCTGGTTCGTATCGATCTTCTCCCACCGGTCCGGCACGAACCGGTCACCCTTCTCCCAAAACCGCCCGTCGCGATGGATGGTGAACGTGGGGACGGACACGACAACATCCCCGGGAATCCGTAGCTCGTCGATCTGCAACCCTTCCGGCGGTGTGACGCGGGACAGGCCCCCCGGAACCGCTGGCTTCAGCCGGAGTGTCTCGTTGATGATCCACGTCAAGTAGTCCATATCCCGAGCCGGCTCATACGACCAGCTCCCCATTCCGGCCGGGAAGACCTCGTCGAGGCGGCTTTGCAGGTTGGTCTGTACGTCCGGGTGGGTCGCCAGGTAGAACAAGGTGTTGGTGAGCACGGTCGAGGTTGTATCACTGCAGACCTGGTCAGCGCTAGTCCGGCATCATCGGGTTCAGGCGGGAAACATACCTCCCGGCAATGATCAGCACCCACGCATCATCTTTCAGGCCGTCGGGGGAAGGCGCCCCGGGATCGCCGTTGTTTTGGGCTCGGATCACCCACGAGATCATGTCTGTGGGCTCCTCACTCTGCGTCTGGGCCTGAGAAACATTAGAGCGAGATCCATGGCACCATGGTCCCCGCACCGCAGGACATACCTCTTGGACCGCGGCTAGCTGCTCATGACAGTAGTGTCGAAACGGGTTAGCAATCTTGCTCATGCCGGGGATCTGCAGCATCAGGGCTGGCATCCACGGGATCGAACCCCCGACGGCGAGGGCTTTTGTGCTCTTGTGCATCTGCTGCAGGGCGTCGGGAATCCGGCCCGTCTCCAGCATGCCGAACTCGGTGCCCAGGACAATGTCGCCCATCACATCGAAAGCGAACCGGATCACCTCCTTGGTGAAGTTGACTGGCTGCCCCTTTTGCTCCCCGATCTTTCTGACGAACAGCCGGGATTTGGCGGCAATGCGTTCTTGGTATTGTTTGATAGCTGTCAGTGTGTATCTCGGTCAGTGTCGATCGGTGCGGCTGGAGGGGGTGCTCAGACCTTGGGTGCGAATGCCCTGGTCCCACACCCGACGGCGCTGGCCGTGCGCCTTGATATCACGAATCGCGATGAAGCCTTTCCTCGCGGTGTCATAGGTCATTTGGTCGTACCAGGGCGATTTCGTACACCGGGTCGGGGGTCCGTAGATGGCCTTGATGGCCGAGGGGCGACAGATGGAGATCTCGCGCGGTCCTAGTCGTTCGGTCAGTAGTCGCTGGTGTGAAGGGCTTCGATGCGGTGGGATACCTGTTCGGACCACATCCCCGTACTGCTGGTGCATCTCCTGGACGGTGTAGTGCATCTGGGTGTGGGTCAACTGCGAGAACGCCGTGTACAGGCGCGATATCCGGGGTCCGAGGGGACCGGGCACATGGCGCAGCCGGTGGAAGAACAGTCTGTAAAGGACGATGTTGCCGAACAAGCCCGTAAAGAAGGCGACATTAATCAGCAGGACCTGCGCCAGCGCATGGGAAACACAGCCAGTCCCTGAAATCACGGCATACGCGACAAGGATAAGATTGGATCCGCCGAATAGGCCGAGCAGGCGAACCAGGTGCTGTTCGATCTCCCCCTGCCGAGCGACATACGAGACCACCACTCCGACTAGGGTTCCCGTCGCAGTCAGCTTTGCCAGTGACGCATGCATGGTGACAGATGTCTGTAGATCCGAGAATGCGACGGGAGGCCTGGTCGATTTATACTGTATCGTCGAAAGGGCCCACGGAGGGGAAATTGGCACGCAGTGGTGCCCGGTGCGCGAGCTATCGTTCATTCGACGGGGACTTCACCACCGAACGGGATCATCACTGCCCGGCGAGACGGTGGATATTGTGTACCAAGTAAGCAAGCACTGCGATGGCTGTACCCGCCCACGGTCCATCCCAGAGGCGGCTCGGGACATGGCTAGGTCAGCAGGCGCTGATGTCAGACGGATGGCTTTGGTGGAGCCTGATTCAGGATCATGGAAAGCGAGGCAGCCTATGACCATGCCGGCTCCAGATGGTAACTATATAGTATCATATAAGGTATATAAGGCCCACGGTGGACCCCCAGGCCGTTCACTGCGGAGTCGACACTTCAGACTTCAGACTCGTCTTCAGAGTGCAGACTTTATCTAGATAGATACCATAAAGTGCGACCCCTTTTCTCTCCTTATTACCGCTTCGCAGGCGACATCCGTGCACGAACCGAAGCAGCCAATCCGTCCCATGCGATGGACAGACCGTCCCACAATGCGGATCCACCGCGGGCTCGTTTGGGCTCCATGGGCCCGTTCGCCCCATTAGCCCTACTCTCGTCAGCCGCTGCAGTCTTGCGACTCGAGTGTCGGATCACCTGCCTGGTCCTTCACTCCAACCTGGGTGCCGGCGTTATCTTGCAGGTAGTCGCATTGGCTAGTCGGCTGGTCGCGGCCCCTCAGTCAGTCCATCACACATGGCTCCTCGCCATCCGAGTCCTGGTCGTGGCCGTGGGCCAGCAGTACTGCTGGGACATCGTCAACCAGCTCGTATCTGTGGAGGAGGACCGAGTCAACAAGCCCTATCGACCCATTACAGCGGGACTAGTCAGTGTCAGTGGGGCCTACCGGCGCTGGGGGCTGAGCTGGTGTCTCTTCGGCTGGATCAGCCGCACCTTGTCTGGGGGGTCTGGCCTGCTGTTCTTCGTCCTATCCCAGGCATGGGTCTTCCTGTGCTATGTCCATCCCGGCTGGAACCATTGGTTCGCTCGCAACGCCTTCCCCGCGGGCTGGACATATCTCACCTTCCGTCTGCTCGATGCCACCGTCTGCTCCAGATGGCCGCAGCTGCACACGGCCCCGAAATTCGACCTCATCCTGGCACTCTGGGACCTGGCAACCGTTCACCTACAGGAATTCCACGACGTCGACGGCGACCGCAAAATCAACCGTCGGACCCTCCCGGTGATTCTCTCCGGGCCGGGTCGCCGACTCTTGCGCCAGACCACCGCCGCGACGATCGTGCTGCTTGGCTGCGCCGTGGTGAGATGGGGATGGAAACTGGCCAGTCACTGCCACACGGCCGGGATGTGCGTGGGGTTGCTGATATCGGGCATCCTCCACGTGGCAGGGGCGGTGGTCGTGGGGATTCGGTGCGCGAGGGAGGATCCGTCCAAGGAGGAGGATGAGAGGACGTATAAAGTGTACTATGTCCTGACGGCTTATTGCGCGATGTTCTTTCTGTCGTTTCTGAATACTTCTGAGGGGACCCAGAGCTAGCGCGTTGTCCATCACGACTTCCTTGGAGACTGCTGAGATCGCCATAGGGTTTTGTGGGGCGTCTGGCCGTGTGTCAGTCCGATTTGGGCTTCGCACGCAGACAAAAGCAAATTTCGGTTTCGTTTCTTCATGGGAGTCAATGCTCTAATGGGTTGTGTTTTAGACTGATGTTTTAGTTGGCTGGTATTGTACATGGGATCATTCCAGTACTCTCGACTCTTGCAAGCCAAATCGCACCAGGATAGTCAAGCGTTTAATGTCCAAGCACATAAGCTTTGCAGAACCAGGGTACCTGCGAGGCTTGCCGTCGTCATAGCTCGATCACCCCCCACTCGATCTTGTCCTTGTGGTGATGCCTTCCATCGCAGCATTCCAAAACGTGTGTCGTATAGCCTCGACAAAATGCGCATCGCCGTGCTTCCAGCATCTCCGAAAACCGGGCGGGCGACAATCAAAGCCCTCCTCGAGTCCGACCAACTCACCACCCCCCTGCATGTCCAGGGCATCTATCGCGACCCGTCCAAGGCCCCCGCCGAATTTCTGTCGCATCCCAGCTTCCATGCCGGGCAAGGTGATCTCAGCGACGCGAATACCTTAGAGCTCGGTGGCGTGGACATGGTCCTGGCCATCACACCCCCGCGATACGATGCCAGCGACATCCTACAATGGGCGCGCGTGGCGTCAGAGAACACCCGACTTGCAATCCAGAAGGCCGGCACAGTGAAACGCGTGGTGCTGCTCTCCAGCACGGGGGCGGAGCAGCCCTCAGGGACTGTGAGTTCTGCAGTCGATCAGTGAAAAATATACTAACGCGATGGGGACAGGGAGAAATCATGACCAACCATATCGCCGAGGAGATCCTGCAACACGCAGCCCCGGAGGTCATCTTCATGCGCTGTGCGTATTTCATGGAGAACTGGGAGTCGGCCATCTCGACCGTCAGGACGGACAACCCGCATTTCTACTCGGTCATCACGCCGCTGGATTATCGCGTCCCAATGGTCAGTGTGCCTGATGCAGCAGAATATACTGTGTCTTCGGTCTAACCTGTAACTGTTTCCAGGTCGCCGTCGATGATATCGGACGGGCATGTGCCACCTACCTGCTGGGCCTCGAACCCCCCCGAAGCCCATATGTGGTGGAAGTCCGTGGGCCACAGGAATACACCGTGAATGAGGTCCAACAGGCCCTTCATGACGCTGTCGGTCAGGAGGTCGAGATCAGACCGGTGAAGAAAGAAGACTTTCCTGATTTCTTTGGCCGGTTCCTGCCGCAGAGCTCTGTTGGTCTGTTCGTGGAGATGACGAACAGTTTCTTGCCGGGGGGTGTGATCGCTTCGGCTATCCCAAACCCTGATGTGCGGGTGTATCGAGGACGGATGGGGTTGGGGGAGTGTCTGGGGAAGATTTCTGTGCCTGCGAGGTAAGTGAATTTTGCAGGATGTTCTTATGCCTGCTTGGAGGGGGGCAGGCGGCGTCCATTGGAGTGAATTCTCTCCATCTTAAAAAACATGCTCTTGCACCTTGAATTGAATGCTCCTGCCACCGCGAAATAGATTCCCTTCCTGGGAGTGGATTCCCCGCCTCCTCTCCTCCAGATCTTCTCCCACCCTTCTACTCTTGTTGTACTTTTGGCCTACTATTTTCCAGCGCCTTGCCTGCGCCCATCGTTGAGTTGATCCAGCTTTACCATGGCGGCTCCTTTCCACGTTCCGTTTTTGCAGGGTGTAGACCGCAACATTCACCTGTTCGACTCCGGTGGCGTGTATCTCGGGGGTAAGCAGAAGCTCGTGCAGTGGCAGTGGCAGTGGCAGTGGCAGTGGCAGGGTGACTCGCTAACGAACGGGCCCATCCATCAGGGGGATTTCAGCAGACGCCACCGCAGCTTACCGTCCGGCTCTTCGTGGACATGTGTTCCCACTTCCTCCGGTTCGAGACCATGCGGACCCGCTGGGCCCTGTTCGCTGTGGATGAGCATGGCACGGTCGGAGCGCGGGTGAGCCAAGCGAACGCATTCGTAGCGCCGGGGCACTATGCCGTGCGAAGCAGAGGTATATGGCGACTCGATTCCTCTCTGTTGTAGCCAAGGAAATGGCTAATCTCTGATGAAGATGGCCACCCGATTGCCGTGCGCCTAACTTCCGAGCGCCATGTGCGCCGGGTCCGGACTCCCCAGACTGGATCCCAGAGCCTGCGCGAAAATGTAAGCCGACTCCATGGCGGATTCATATTGCTGGGGAAGGAGACTAAGGTCGACTAGCAACTCCATTTCCGGGATGCGGTCCGCAGCCGTGACAGGGCCTGCGCCATCACTGGCCAGCGGCCGGGGACACTCCACGACCCCTGGCGAGGCTTGATGGCGGCACACATATACCCGGTCTCGCGACTGGCCGCTTGGAATCAGGAACGGCGCGCCTGGATCACCGACACCACCGACGCGGCAATGATCGCTCCCAGCGGGCTCTTCTCGGCCCAGAACGGGTTGCTCTTGGAGGCAACCACGCACATCTGCTTCGATCTCTATGAGATCGCCGTCAGCCCCGATGTAAGGCCTCCCCAGGCACTGACTGACACTCCAATGTGAGCCCTGCTAAGGATCCGGTGTCTTGTAGCATGGCTATCGAGTGGTCCCCTTTGCGCTGGACAGTTTGGGCGTCGGGGGGTTGGTGCTAAGCTCCACCACGAGGCCGGCGCGAGATGAGAACCGGCGAGTCAGCGACGATATCCTCCGGTGGCATTTCCACCAAGCCATCCTCAGGAATATGAGGGGGGCCGGGGAGAGGCCGTGGGATGAGGACAACGCGGGGGGGGGCCGATGGCTCTCGTTAGGGCGGGCCCGGATGGCAGGGAGAGGATGGAGGTCGAGATGGCCACCCGGCTGGGGGCCTTCATTGAGGAGGGAGAGTGTGGGTGGAATGATTGACTGGCCCGGTAAGAGAGAATGACATGGGTCCAAGGAGCATCTGATATCCGATTTGCTATTGACAGAGGCGTCCTGCCGTTTCTTGTTGCTCGGAATATCCATGCGTGATATCTAAACGCAATCGCATTGTCCCATCGCCTTGATCTTGGTTTGGGTGGGGAGAGTGGGGCGAGCGAGCAGGTTAGCCTTGTGTAGCAGAAACTAGCCGCCCCTTTCAATCAACATCCGATATGGTGTAGTGGCTAACATCGCCGTCTCTCACACGGCAGCCGGGGGTTCGATTCCCCCTATCGGAGCATCTTTCTCTCTTTTTGCTTTCCATCGACCGACCGACCGGAGTTTGTTTTTGAACGCGCCATGGGTGCAGAGCGGATCTGATGGCGTAGGTGGGAACAAACAGACAAGGGCTATACTATTCTGAGGACTCACATGGGAGCAGTAGGTGAAGGCAGGAGAGGGATCACAGTCTCAAGAAAATCCTCCCTCACATATGATTCGAAAAATCGCCCGATGCTCATCTAGTGCTTTGGACATTCAAGACCTGCACCTGCACATGACGCAGCAAAAGACCCAGGCAGGACGATTTAAGATCTTGATGGTCTACGCGATATCTGATGGAAGCAATTGGTTTACGGCGGAGTAGAGCTGATCATATTTACAAGTGGCTCCTAGCCATCCCATACCAACCATCCGTGAAAGACACCCCCCCCCCCCCCCCCGACCGCGCGATTCCCACTCCGGGGCCCAAAGCCCTCATGATCGCCGGGTGCCGTGTGGAATACACTCCGGTTACCATCATCGGTGTCTTTTTGGGACAGCTGGGTCGGGTGCTCCGACAGCTTCTGATCGATGAACCAGGTCTGGCAGGGGTTTTCGAAGGATATATACTTCGGTGCCTTCTAAGCCGACGAGAAATGGGTCGGATATGAAGGCCATAGCAGAGAAGGCGGAGAAGGGTGGTTACGGAAAGGTTGGCAGTAAGGTAGTGAGGTCGAAAAGAGGACGGATTCGAGAGGGAGGAAGAGAGGATATTTAACCCGGCCGGGGGTGGATGTCAATTGAATGGCATCATCATTAGAGACCTTCTGCAACGGTCATTTTGTGATAGGATCTACTTGTCAGGGTAGAAAGCCTGTCGACTAGGTAAGGAATCAACCATGAAACACCGTGTATTTGTTTAACAATAACAAAGATAGTCTATATCCACAAGATAGACTGATTCTTGAAGAATCAGTAGCTCCTTATAGAGAGATCGATATTTTATAGATACCGGAGAGATATAGAATCACTATTAATAACCTCACAACTCTTATAATTACTATAATATATCATCTCAATAATCTTTATCCTGATAGCTGGATTATTCTATCATAAATAGCGCCCTTCTCTGCTGAAACAAGCCATCTGGCTCGGGTGTTGGGAATAGTCTTATATATTTCCGATTTAGAATAGTAAGAATCTGATAGTGAAAGATAAGAAACTCGCAGAATATATAATATAAACAGGATTATATACTGTTTCTGTATAGTTTTATAAGTATTTAATTATTTTTGTATAGATGGATCCCCTGCGAAGAAGTGTAAATAAAAGAATCTCTTATATTATATTTATATAAATAGATCCCCTGCGAAGAAGTATAAATAAAAGAATTTTTTATATTATTTTTTTTTCTTCTTCTCTTCTACTTTATAATTATTATTTCTTTAGTAATTTATAATTATTCTCTTTATATTTCTTTATTATTTTATATAATTTTTATTATTTTTATCTATACTGTATTGCTGTTATTCTCTTTTTTATTAGATATTAGTCTTATTTTTGATTACTTCGCGATGATAAAGAAAATAATATATTCTAAGCGGGATATTTCTATCAAAGCCTGTTATAACTTCTGTATGTACTATCTGAGATATATAAATAATAACTTTAATTCTAAGAAGAGCGCTCTGTATAATATTAGTTATCTGTTAGATATAAAGATATCTATCTTGTGTTATTTCTATTCCGCGAGAAAGAAAACTTATAATTCTGTAGATTTTATATACTCTGTATTATATATATATAATTTACTGATATTTCTCGAGCCTGCAACTGATCTGCTAAAAAATACTTATAATCTTATAAAAATTATTAAATAGGCCACTCTGATTCTGAAGAAAGAATATTAGAATAATAATATTAAGTAGACTATCCGCGAAGAGATTTATATTCTTGTAAAGATATTTAACAGTGTGAAGAATATTTATACTTGTGAATTTTTATTAAAGAGTATTAAGACCGCCAAGCGTGTAAGTTCTTATTATAATTAAGAAATAAGATCTTTATAATTTTATTATTAATATTCTGTTAGAAGTTTACCGCTGAGTATATTAAGTTTATTAAGACTTATTATATTTTTTTAGCGCAGTTGATTCTCTATTCTGATCTCTGCGCCTTGCTGGAGAATTATTATATCTATAAGATAGAAATATTATTATATTTACTGCCTGATAATCTAAGATATATAGATTAGATTTCTGCTCTGCAGAACTTTCTTAATTTAATAAGAGTTATAATATATATTTAATATTCAGATATTAATAATAATAAATTGATTTCAGATAATAAGAATAGTATTATCAGATTAATTATAGATCTCTGTATTCTTTTTCTAAAGTCTACTTTTTTTATAAATATTCCTGAGTTATAATAAGAGAGCCTGATTATTATTATTATTTATCTTATAAATAGATAATAAATATAACTAGATATATTTAAGTATTTTCTATTATCTTATAACAGAATGATTTTATATCTATTAGTGTATTTAATCTATAATAATATAATTAATAAGAAATATTAAGAGATTAATATTCCTGTAGCTTATTCCTTAAGAATATAAAGAGATTTATTAGTAATTATCTCCTGTCTTCTTAACACATAGCACTTCTTATAATATTTTTAGTATTACTTTATAGCTTCGGGTATATTCTTTATATTTTTACTAAAAATCTATTAATTATACTCGCTCGGCTATTCTTTCTACTTAATTAAATAGTAATCCTGATTATTATAATATTAATAGTCTTTAATTTCTTCAACTTCCTATTTATCTTTATTATCTAGCTTAGATATTAAGAGCAGTTCTTTATAATCTCTTCCAGTGTTTTATGGTTTCAATAAGAAGATATAAAATATATTATAGATTTATCTATATTTCTTAGATAAATATAATCAATACACCTGAGATTTAATATATTTAAGAATTTAAAAGAGATTTATAAACTTTGAAGCCAGCTTTCTTAATTCTTTAAGTTATAAGTTCCAAGTCAATAACTTAACTAAATCTCTTTCTTTAAAGTAGAATAGCTTTCTATATTTATTATAATATTTCTTTTGTTTTTTTATAGCTATTTATTATATTTTTTATAGCTATTCTCTTATTTCTCTAAGTTTCTTAATCCTATTCTATACCGCTGGGACTTCTCGCTGCTGAGAATCAGTCTTAATTCTAATATAAAAATCCGGCGAAAAGCTATAAAGAATATTATAAGATAATTAGTCTGTGATTATATTATCTGTATTATTACAGGCAAATTAAGTACTTAAAAGAATTAATAGTCAGTTAGTATTATACTGACTGAAGTAGTATTGAAGATAATATTTAAGTATTTAATTTATCTATTCTATTTAGCCATCAGTTTAAGAATAGAACACAGTCAAAAGTCTTAAGATTATATAACTATTATAAACTAAATTTAATCAGAATTTACTGATAAAGATTAATTCTCAATCAGATACAATTTTATTTGAAGATTTGAAAATTAATTTAATCTATTTATAGAACAGTTTAGCAAGATCTGGAGCAGTTATTATAAACAGAATAATAAAAAAAAGATAGTATTTCAAAAATTAATTAATAATAACTAGAATAGCATTAATAATCTTTCTATATTAAATAATAAAGAGCAGCCCTATAATAAAATTTATTATTAATTCAATAAAAAGATATAATAAAATTAATAATAATTTAAGATTATTATATAATTAATACTTTAGAGCAGTGATTTTTTAATATATTAAACAAGTTCGGACATATTCAGCTATATTATACTATAATCTATTCTAGTAGAACTTTCTGCGTAGCAGTGCTTCTATTCGAGTCTTTCCAAAGTATCCCACTAATAAATTATTATAATATAGCTTAATAAACATCTGATATAGTATCTCAGAAAAAAGAATATAATATTAATCTTTAAAATAAATATAACCAATTATTTTAATAATTCAATACTTTTAGTCTAATTATTTTTATTAAACAGCAGTCTTTTGCTGTTATATCTCTGGATTATTATTCTATAAATATAAAATCATCTCTTAAAGTTTGGAATTATATATATCCAAGTATAAAACTTCCGCGGCATACACTTGTGATACTATAAATTAAGAAATAAATCTTTCTCAAGATAAATTCTTTCAAGCAGTCCAGTTAGCTGTCTCTATATTAGCTTAATTATTAAGATTCTTTAAGCTCAACATAATACAAATATCAAACCCAGAATAATCCTATATATCTTAAGATTTAAACTAAGTTTTTTCTTTAACAAAATCTCTTATTATTAGAAATAATATGCCTATAAATCATACTTAAATCAGGATTAACAGTTTCTTTTGAAAAGCAGATTCTGCTTAAGATTTAGAAAATATTCTAAAGAGTTTATCTGCTGAATTTAATTTTCCTGTTCTATATTTAATAATAAAATTATAGAGAATTAGATTTATAAGCTATCAAGCTTGCCTTTTATTAACTCAGATTTAATATATAAAAGATTACAAGTTCGAATAATCTGATAGAATCTTGATTATTTAAGAAGCGCCTTCTAAATATTATTGCTATTATTTAAAAGAGTAAATAATAGTAAATAGCTCTTAATCTAGAGTATTATAGTTTAGCTCGGCGCCAGAGAACTTATAGAATCAGAATACAACTAAATAAAATATACTCTTAATATTAGATTAAAATAAAATATTACTTATCTCTTCTTTTAATATATCAGTTTCTAAACGGCGGGGTTTTATAGAATTAAAATATATTAATAAAAATACTTATTAAAAGACAGCAATCAGGCGGTGGAAAGCAGTTTATTTAGTTAAGATTAGATAAATCTTTTCTGGCTTCCGCCTGTTAATTATTTTATAAAGCAAAGAAGTAAGAGATAAGATAATATAAGAATAATCTTAAATAAATTATTAATAAAAGTTACAGAATCCAAGAAAGATCTAAATATTATAATAATTTTTGAGAATCAGCCACAAAATAATATTATTTATCTGTTAAAAATCTATAGATACTCTGTCAGAGTTGATGATATATTCCAGAAATTTAACTTAAGATTAATAAAATAAATATTTTAATAGCTTTATATAGAGCTGTGCTTCTTAAAGCCTCTTTAAAACTTAATAAATATACTTTATATAAGATTTCTTATCTAATAAAAAGATAAGAATATTATTCAGATATACTATATAAAAATTATCAAGAAGTTCTTAAAATATAGTATATATATAGTTTTGAAAAGTTGCTGAAGTATTAGTCAATCTAAATAGTATAATTATATATTTAAAATAGCTATATTAAATATAAAACACTGTCTTCTATTTATTATCTTTCTTAATACAGATTCAGTAGTATATATTCTTGATATTAATTTTTAAAAAATAAATACTTTTCAAAATCCTGTCAAGAATCTTTAAAATAAAAAATAAAAAATAATAATTCTTAATAGAAATCTTATTAAGACCTCTATAGTCTATACAAAGATATAAGTTATTATCTTTCTTAAATATAAAGAGAATAGAAGCTCCAGCAGGACTCTTTAAAGATTAAATTTAATCTAGTTTTAGATTCTCTTTAATATATTCTTATAGAATCTTAAGTTTAGCTTCGGATAAGAAATATATTAAACTATAAGAGAATATTTTATTAGATTTAATATTAATAGTATAATCTACAGGGCCATAAGAGAATAGCTGTTAGAAGAAATCTATAAAAAATATATCTTAAAACTGCTTAAGTTTAACAAAAATTATCTCAGAATTTATTAATAAATTATAAGATTCTTCTTCTGATAGCCAGATATCTTCAAGAAGCTTAATAATAATATATACTCTTATTAAATTTTAAATTGCTTTAGTAAATTAAGTAATAAAAAGCAGTAAAATAAACAGTATACTAAATTATTACTAATAATTCTATACTAATAAAATAATATATAGATTATAAAATATAATTATTAAAAATAATATAGAGCTGTCTTCCAGTCGGGGGTCCCGGTTAATCTCTATATAATACCGTTCAAAAATATAGATGCCTCCTCGCGAATTAATAGCAGTAATAGGAACTTTCTATATATTATAGATAGAAGTAATAATTTAATTAATAGCTTTAATCTTTGGCACAGTAATCAAGACATATTAGAGATTATAGACTTTGACAAACTAATAACTAATAATATCCACTTCAGCGCAGCTATCCAGGTCCGCAAAGATTTTAAGGCTGTTTCGGATGCGGATAGGAACATAAAAACAATATGTAGTCCCTACTATAGGTGAAGAAGTCGAAATCGTAGGGCCACTAATAACATCCACTTCGGCGCAGCTATCCAGGTCCGCAAAGGTTTCGAGGCTGTTTCGGATGCGGATAGAAACATAAAAATAATGTGTAGTCTCTACTGTAGGTGAAGAAGTCAAAATCATAGGGCTTATCTTAACTTCTCTACTTTTCTCTCTGAATCTGATGAGGATTAATAGATTCTAGCAGATTAAACTCTTTTATTTTTAATAAAATATTAATTCGCAAGATATTAGATATTTTTATATATAAAGTATTATAATTAATTGCTATTCTTTCTAATAAGGTTTTCCCTGCAATTTAGGATATCTTTCTTAATAATTTTACTAGTGATTTCTTGGAAGCGCTTGTATGGCTTATAACTACTGAATTAATTATTATTTCGCTTGTGTTTTTCTCTATTTTCTTATAGTTTATAATAATAAGTAGTAATAGCTATTATTTCGTCCTGCTTCTCTGATAGATAGAGAATATACTCTTAAATATAATAATTTAGATTTGATAGTAGCTTAGCAAAGTAAAATAAGATTCTTTTCTTTTCTACTTAACAAGAAAAGTATTGCTCTAAGATATTAAAATAAATATAAAATTCTCGCGGATTCTGGCTGTATTACTAATAAGCCTGTTTAAGTTAAGTTATAGTATTCAATTAGAGAATAACAGCGTTTTAAATCAGTATAAGAGTTTAATCTTTAAACTAAGATCATAATTTCTCAAGAAATTATCTCTCTTCCGGACTCTTATTATCTATAAAATAATATTATCTCTGTCTATATACTAGATTCATATAGCTAATAATAGCAAGAATCTTGCATTTCTCTGATAAATATTTCTTAAATATATCTCTGAATATATATTCCAAATCAGTGATTTATTCTTAATATTTTTAAAGATTAAAATTCAGAGCAAAGCAAGAGATATTTTTAAACTTAATCTCTCTTTTTTTCTTTTCCAATTCGGGGAAGGATTAATAATATCTTAAGAAGATTTCGCTCGGGGAGTTATTTTTTTAAAAATAAGCTATTCTTTACTGTAAGTTGATAGCTTGTTCCAATTAATAAATATAATCTTCTAGCTATTAAATCTCTTTAATAGTAGAAATAATATTCAGCGAGAATTCTGAATTAATTTAATTACTGAGTGCTTCTATTTCTTTACTATCTTCAATAAATAGTATCTTTCTTAGATAGTTAAAAAGAGAAGAATCAGAATATAATAAAATCTACTTATCAGAATAGAAAGCCTATTAACTAGATAAGAAATCAACTATAAAATACTATATATTTATTTAATAATAATAAAGATAGTCTATATTCATAAGATAGACTGATTCTTGAAAAATCAGTAGCTTCTTACAGAGGGATCAGCATCTTATAGATACCGGAGAGATATAGAACCACTATTAATGATCTCACAACTCTCACAACCACTATAATATATCATCCCGATGACCTTTATCCCGATAGCTGGGTTATTCTATCACACATTTATCATTAACATTTCAATATAGCGGCCCGCCCCTAGTAATCAGCTATGGAGTTGTTTGAAAAATATTTACTTCACCGTCTTAGCGGGCAGAAAATATCCTCAATTTATATATAAATAAATATATATATATATATATATAAGCCCTTTAGGGCCTTCTAAAACAGCCTGTTTTAATTACTTTACTAGTACTTTATATTACTTTATCAAGATCTCTGTCTGATCTTTATATATACTTGTCTATTATACTTGTCTATTATACTTGCCTATCATACTTGTCTATTACACTTGCCTATCACGCTTGTTTATTATACTTATTTAGACTATTAAGTATATACAGATAATCTGAATAACTTCAAGTCTTCTTAAAACAGTAATTCTTAATAATTACTGATTACTAACTGTTTAGTAATTATCACACTAGGCCTAATTCTTTGAATAATAAATACTAGCGCTTGTACTTTGTTTATATATCTTACAAGTAATTAATCACAGAGGTTCATCCTGATTAGGCCTTAGCGGGCCACTAAGAAATTAACGCTAATCTAATATATTAAATGTAAATGTAAATGACCGTTGCAGAAGGTCTCTATTCTTACCACTGCAGACTGCAGCCGACATACAGTCCCCAACCAGCCACGACCAGTAGTATTGGGTTTCCCTCTTACCATGATCAAAACCAAGGCCCGGATGATGCAGCTTTAGCAGATATACTCTCCGTTGGGCCTTTCAGTCAAGTGTGTACTGCATGAGGATTATAGATAGCTTACGCGCAGAGGGTTAGGTCACTTGCGTCCGGGCATATTTTCATGCAGACAGCCTCTACAACCATGGTCTCCTGTCTCTATTCTCGAATGTACAGCATTTCTACCAGGTCGCAACTGTTCTGTGGGGTGGCTTGAAGGAATAACAGAACTTCTAACTCGCAAAATCCTATACTGTCTGATCCATGCTGGGTAGCTCGGGTCAATAATGCCCAGGTAGGCTCATGGACTGCAGTACCTGTACCATGCAGGATTCCAGAAGCAGGAGATGGAGAATGCCACCGGGGTCTATAGTTTATCCTTGCGTGGTTTGAGGGAGCGAAACGCCCCCGGCGGCTTGATGGCCCTCCGCCACTCGTCGCCCAGGACCAGATGGTCGCGTTTGGCCATTCCTCGCCGCGCCTCGTTCCACCGTCGCTCCGCGTCGTAATGGGTGCGCATCACCTCGTCCAGCCACGCGGCACAGTGACCGGCTGTTTCACCGACGATCTCGAAGGGGAAGAAGTGTCCTCGTTTCGGGAGGGTGATCTCTTTGACCTTTTCCCTGCCCCCGCTTCCACCGACACCCTGGCCACATGTTCTGATGGCTTCTCGCAACTGGTCCAAGTTCAGGTAGGAGGCACCGGCGAGGAGGAACAGCGCGGGGGGTCGCAGGGAGGGAAGCTTTTGTAAGGTGCGAGGGGGCTCGGGGCGGTAGACGGGCAGGAAGGAGAGGGTGGGATCCAGATCGGCGTGGGTGGCCCGATCGGGCTCGATGCGACCGTCGGGGGTGCGGATGTCGAAGCTGTGACGGATCTGGCCCAGGACATCGTGATGTTTGGTGGTGGTGAGAGTGACGGGGGGGTTGGCCGGGTCGGCATCATCGCCGAGGGAGGGATGCAATGCCGTGGGCAGATCGCGGAACCCGAACTGCACCATGCGGTCGGCACAGCGAGGGTCCCAGTTCTTGAACATGCGCCTGTTGGCAGTCGCAGCGGCCGCACGGGTCGGCCAGACGTCGTCGCGCCACAGCACGAAGTTGACGGGGCCTGGGGGATCGGACCCGAAGCCCATGTTGGGCGGGGACCGCTGCATGACGGGATCGAGGAAGATGACGGCCGTGAACAGGCGCGGATGCAGGTACGCCAGGTTGGCCCTGAAGGGGTTAGTCGAGCTGCTGCTGTGCAACAGACGTAAAAAAACGCACATGATGGTGCCTCCGAAGCTGTGACCGATCCCCACCAGGGGCCGGGGCATCTGGTCGCGGAAGTGGTTGATCATGAGGAGCAGATCGCGGGGATGGTCCATCCAGGAGCCTGGCTAGATGATCAGGAATGCAGTCCGTCCTGGTCGTGTAGTTTGGTGGAGCCTACAGTCCATGCTGAGCTTGTCTTCGTTGAGGATGCCACTCGTGCCCATGCTGGCGACGTCGGCGATCCAGATGCCCCGGATCGGGACGGCCGATCGCGTCAAGAGCTCGTCCCAGAGGGGCTCGTACAGCTCCTGTGTTTTGTTAGTGGCGATTGACCATGTTGATCATTGGGGACTCGACTATATTCTCTATAGATAGATAGAACAGAGAGAGAGAGAGAGAGAGAGAGAGAGAGAGACCCACCTTGGGAAAGCCCACGGCATGGGCGGCGATCAGGGTGACGGCATGGGCGGGGACGGGCTTGGGGTTGGACCTGTGGGTGTGCGGGGTGTACTGCTTCACGTGGAGGTGCAACACATCCTCCTGCTGCACCGTGCTACCGGCATACTCGCGGATGTGGCAGGCCGGGATGGTGTGCTCCGTGACTCGGAACCTGGCGGTCGACATGGGGGGAGGCAATGGTGAAGAGGATGAGAAGGAATGACGGGGAGGGGAAAAAAAGACAGGCAGGCAGTCTGACGGATGCCAAACTGGGCTGGCCGGGGGCGGATGGTATTATTTATTCCCTGGCAGTCATGGCAGTATTCCCATTACACCGAATCTGTCTCGGGGTTATGCATAGTTACACCCCACCAAATCAACCCTATACTCTGCCACAAATGAGCTTGGGGATGACATGACATGACCCTCCAAGAGATGTGCCCATCTTTCAGCCAACTTGTAAGAGACAAATCATGTGGCCGGGATATTCTACAAAATACAGGGAGTATCAGAGCCACAGGAAATCAGAACACCAGCTATCCATCACTCCCCCCCCTCATCTTCCCCCTTGGTCTAATTCTCCCCCATAGCAGCACCGGCCGGGCTACCCGACCGGGCCCGCTGCTGGACGAGACAGCCCTCCGAGGCTGCAAACAGAATCCGGCTATACTCAAGAGTGGGATCGCCGTTCTCGAGAATGGCGAGAAGATGGATTTCTCGAGCAGGCGACACGAAGCCACGGGAAAAATATTAAGTCAGGTGCGGAAATTCCACTTTGAATCCCACGCATAGTCAGCCTTGCTAGCAGGAAAATGGAAGAGAATAAGAAGTCGTATGTATCATGGACTCTTTGATCCAATATACGGATAAGGTGTATCTATATCATCCCCATCCATCCAATGTCTACCTCTTGATAATAGAAAGACTGGAGAGGGGGGGCGAGTAACTTGTAGCATGATGAAACATGAAATATTGTAATTACTGATGAGCGCCACTGCGGCAAAAGGGGTAGTACCCTCGCATGGGACACCTGCGGTCCTGACAGTCACTAATGGAGTAGAGTCTCTCCTGTATATGAAACGCTTTACCAGGGAATATCATTGGTAATAGAATGGGGATTGCTATCCACATAATTAGCCTCACGTGGTCCTAGCGCCACTTGAGGGATTACCTTTTCCAACCATGTGATGGTCGTTGGTTTGCAGGCATAGACAATCTCGTGTGATTATTCATCTGGATTCCACTCTCCAAGGAAAAAAAGAAGACCGAGACGAATTGGTCACTTTTTAGACACCGATACGCCGGACAGATATACAGCAAAAACATCCCCCTCCGCAGATGGGTAAAGGTACAGACAATAGGAGAGATAGATAGATAGAGATATGCTCAAGCGCTAAGCACAGAATCCAAATCATACACAAGAAGAAAAATGTAAAAGAGAAAGAGACAGAAAAGCCCATGAGACATCCCTGGAAGAAGACTCCAAACCAAACCGGTAGGTCATGCTGCATGTCATGTCGCACATTATCCCAGATAATCCAGCCCGACCCAAACTAATCCCCTTGCGTGTCTCAGACATGATGCATCTGCTGTTCAGCGGTGGGCGTCCCCGGCGCCGGGCCCCGGCTGAGTGTCTCGCTGGCGGCCATGGAGGTAGGTCGGGTCATGGGCCGGGCATTGTCTTGCCCGGAGTAGACGACGGAGTCGACGGAATGCGTGGCGAACATCATGGAGGCGCGGTCGAACTTGGTAGCGACGCTTTGCGGGCGCGGGGTCGCGCCATTCTCGGCCAGCGGCACCATGGAGTAGTCGGAGCCGGCGTCGAGGGCGGCCTTGTGGGCGGCGATGCGGCGGGCCTTGCGGTTCTCGCGCATGCAGAGGAAGCAGGTCAGCGCGACGAACACGATGATCAGGCTGCCGAAGACGATGATGGCGGCGATCTCGCCGCGGCGGTCGCGGGCACGCTGCTTGGCGGAGACGGTGCTGGTGGCGGTGCTGGTGGATGAGGTGGTGGAGGCAGTGGAGGTGGTCGTCGTGGAAGAGGTGGTGGAGGTAGAGGCGGAGGTGGTGGTTGCGGAGGAGGTTGAGGTGGTGGCAGTGGCAGTGGACGTGCTCGAGGTCGAGGCCGAGGTGGCTGATGTGGTGGATGTGGTGGATGTGGTCGACTCGCTGGTCGTGGTGGTGGCCGCGGCGGTGGTGGACTCGGTCGTCGAAGTAGCCTCGGTCGTGGAGGTGGTGGTGGTGTCGTCCGAGGTGGTAGTGGCCGTGTCAGCGGTGGTGGTGGCGCGCTTCTGGAGAATCCATTCGTGGTGATAGCGTTTGGGCTTCTGGCTCATGTCCCCAAGGGCAGGCGTCGGGAAGGCAGCAACGGCAGTGTTCGGGGGCAGCGGCGGGAGTGACAGGTCGGCGGCGGGCTCCGGGTGGGCGAGAGTGACGGAGGACAGCGCCCCCAGGGCGAGTAGGCAGCGGAGAAGCATGGTGAAGCAGTGTAGGCAGCAGCTCAAGGATGGGCGGGCAATGTGTCGGGAGGGTTGGTTGGATGGAGGGGAGCGAGCAAGAAAAGGGAGACGGAGATGGAGATGGAGATCGCAGGAGCGGGTTTGCATGATGCGCGGGACAACGATGCCGGCCCAGCCTCTCATAATAAGCGACGAGGGCATGACGAGCGATGGAGCGATGGAGCTATGGCAGAGCCGAAATCTCTGCCCTCTGGGGGAACGCAGGGCAGCGTCGTCGTACGTGCCTCAACTAGGGCTGAGGCTTTCCCAGTTATTTTTGTTATTTTTACAGCCGCGCACCGCCCGATTGGCTCGGGGGTCCGGAGTGGGCCGACGGCCACTCAAGCGGCCACGCGGCGGGTGTCCACAGCCTGTCCGTTCGTTCGCAGTCTCTCTCGCAGAGGGGCGCGCAGGTCGGTTTGGGGGTCGACAGTGGTCAGCGCTATATTTACTCTCCCACATGCCCAATGTCTCTTGTCAAGTTGTGGTGGTGGCCGTGGACTGGAGCGCGGTGCAGCTGCAGCGCCGGATATAGCATCAGCAGGATGGATTGGATGATGGGAGTTGGATGGCACGGAACCCCACCACACCCGTCGATAAGGAAAAGACTTTAGCCCAGGCAGCGAGAATCTTTCTGCCACCCACTCGACTATTGAGCGTTCTCCTGGCGAAGGCTGGTAATTTCAACGGCCGATCGCCTCGTCTAGTGCTACCAGCCACGCACCACCGCTGCCCGTAATAATGGCAACAGGCGGTATTCAGTCATTCGGTGCGTCCCGATGAAACAAATGCGCCACCACTTTCTCACACCCAGCCACGGGGGGGCAGGCAACCCGTGGTCCCTCCCGACTCGGGGGACATTATTGCCCGATTGTGGTGTGGTTCATTGGCTGTTACGTGGATGGGCGATGCCCGTTGGGGCCGGCGGTGCGCCAAGATCGCCGGCTCTGGCAGGACAACTGCTGTTAAGAGTTAAGACTCCAGCAGAAAACCCAGATGGCTTAACCTTAATTTGAGGCGACGGACGCGGCCAGTCACAGCAGGCCAATCGGGCCCCTCCGATGCCGCGCAATTGTCTCTCAGTTCTTAAATGCAGACTGAACGTCGCGATGGATCCCCGCCAAATCGCCTAGATACACAGCCCGGCACTTGTCTGCGCCTTCTAGAAGGATACGTACTCTGCTTTTCAAATGCAACACTCTGCCCCGCACCGCAATCTATGCCCTTGTATAATTGGTATCGGGGTTTCAGAGCCCTGGCCGGACTGACGACTCAGCTGCAAATTGCTGGATGGCCAATCGTCAGTCGATATCCGGACCGGGTCCTCGGTGAGGGCGAGCCCTGAAGAAGGGACAGGGTTAAGGGTGTTGCCCACTCTGACTCCGGCGGTCCAACTCCAGGCAGCCAGGGACAGGGACGGTCCCCTGACAAGGTCGATCCATCTCAGATCAGGGATTTCAAACCCTGGTGCTCGTATAACGGGTTTACCTTTTACCGCCAGACGGGCTCCCCACAGAGTGAGAGTGACAGAGAAGGGGTTGCTCAACTTCTTCATGCGTGAGTGCTGCTTTTGATTAGCGCCAGTTTCATCATACGTACGACTACTCGGGGGGCCGGTGTTCGAGCGAAAGGTCTTACCCAAACCGTAAGGCGATGCGCATCTGCTTCGTCAGAGGGTCCGTGTGGCGCCAAGTCCAATGGTCTAGCCGGCTGCGACTGAATCACCCGGCAAATGGACTTTCTTTCGCCAACTAATGGTAACGACTGGCACAGGGGCAAGAAAGGAGTTGGCTTTAAGCTTCCGCTAGAACTAACCCAGCCGGATCGAAGTGGCCGAGTCAGGAATATGAAACCTTGATCGAGCATGCGAGCCCACTGTATGTGTATATATTGAAGGGGTCTAGAGTGCCGGAGCTTATTACTTATAAAGCTCCATCGAAAAGTCTCCGAATTGAGCTGAGTGGTCGTGGAAGCATGTAGATGGCAGGTTTGGATCATTCTGGGCTTCGATAAGGTAAACTTTAAGATGCCACGGACAGGCAACCTTATTCCTCCTTCCAGGACAGGGAATCTAAGCCCACAGGAACCTGCATGATTCCCCACTTGACAGGAAACCAGAAGGATCACGCCAGTAGCGGGGTCGGACTGACGTCGGTGCCACAGATGTCGATGTGGGGAGGTTTACATCAAACCTCAGGTATTTATGGCCCTTACCGAACACTATTGAGGGGTCCAGCCTACACGCAATAACGACCGAGACACTGAAAATGAATCAGGTAACCATCAGTAGGTCTGCTGTCGCTGAAGATGCTGATCAGCAGAGCAGAACAGTTCCGAAGAAAGCCCCAGTTTGAAGGAGTTGAAAGAAGCCATCCCCGCATCGTGCTTTCGACCTTCATTGCTCGAGTCGCTGGCATACCTCGCCCGCGATGCCGTGTATGCTACAGCCCTGGTGTACGGCGCTCTGCAGATCCCACACCTGCCGACAGTCCAGCTCCGCGTGATCGCATGGGTCGCGTACGGTTTCTGCCAGGGTCTGGTGGGGACGGGGATCTGGATCATCGCGCATGAATGCGGCCACGGTGCCTTCTCGGCGCATCGTCGCCTGAACGATGCCCTCGGATGGACGCTGCATTCTATCCTCCTGGTCCCCTACTTCTCATGGAAGATCACCCACGCGCGACATCATCACTATTCAGGGCATATGGAGAAGGATACCGTTTTTGTGCCGCCAACGGAGGAGCAGTATGCGTCGCGAAAGGGAATTGATATCCCCGCGCTGAAAGAACTGGGCCAAGATGCCCCGCTACTTACTCTGCTGACCCTGGTCGGCCACCAGCTGGCCGGATGGCAGATGTACATCTTCCTCTACAGCTCGGGGGGCAAAGATAGTGTTGGCCGCGGGCGGGCTCAAGAAGGAGACGCGCTCAATCACTTCAACCCGCACGGCCGGCTGTTCACACTGGAGCAGCGGTGGCAGGTGGTCGTGTCGGACCTCGGGCTGCTTCTGATGGGAGGGTTCCTGTATCAGGTCGGCACCATGGTCGGGGTTGCCAATGTATTGTTGCTATACTTCATGCCCTATGTGTGGGTCCATCATTGGATCGGTCAGGATATGCCCCCTGCATTGTCGAGACCGCGCTCACGATACCAGTGGCCATTACCTGTATGCATCACACGCACCCGACCATCCCGCACTACTCCGGAGACGCCTGGAGCTTCACCAAGGGGGCGCTCGGCACCGTCGACCGCAGCTTCGGGCTGATGGGGCGGCACTTCTTCCACGATATCATCGACCACCACGTCGTCCACCACCTGTTCCCGCGGATCCCCTTCTACCGGGCGGAGGAGGCGACGCGCGCGATCCAGCCGCTGCTCGGGGCGGCGTACAAGGAAGAGAAGCGGCAGGGGTTCTTCAGGTCACTGTGGAGGACCTTCCGCGAGTGCCGATACGTAGCGGATACAGGGGAGTCGGGGGAGACAACGGGCGTTTTGGCGTGGCAATCGGCTGGTCCTCGGGAATAGCTGGGAGTTTGCCATCGGACTTTGGCTCGGACGGGGCGGCGCTCAACTTCTTGCGCAGGCAGGCAATGGCCTCGTCGATGCCCTCGCCGGTCGCGGTGCCGACACACCGGAAATCCTGCACATGTCAGATCTATGCCATGGGGTGTCACCCTGAATGGGTGAGACGACGACGTCATACCCAGTCCGCGCCCAATTCGTCCAACTTTAACCGGTCCACCTGTTCCTTGGCTTCGTCTTTATTCTGTTGCGACCATGAATCAGCCGGTTGTCCCCCTTGGTGGGCACACTTCGCCCTCGGGAATGTCTCGGGAATGCAGGAGTCTAGACCCACCAACGGCTCCGCCTTGAAGTTGACCAGCACCAGCCAGGGAATGCCCTTCTTGACGGTCGGATAGAAGTCGAGCTTGCCCCGTCCGCCGCCGCGGACGGAGAGCATCAGATGGTATCGCAGGGTGTCCAGCTCGGCGGGGTTGAAGAAGTCGACGACGACGACGAGGGCGTCGGAATCGGCGTACAGCGAGGCGTTCAGCTCGACCCAGCGGCGGGGCCCGTTGGCGCTGAGGTTGACGACGACATAGTCGAAGCCGAGCTGGTGGTTGGTGCCGAGACGGGCCTCGGCGTTGCGGACGTTGATGTCGGGGGTGTACTGGCTGATGGGGGTGTCGCTGAGATGGCGCAGGAGGGCGAGCTTGCCGACGCTGTCCTCGCCGATGATGCCAATCTTGGGGAAGGGGCCGGTGGGCGTGGAGGGGCCTCCGAAGAGGGTGCGTAGGCGGGTGAAAAACGAAGGCATTGGATGGGATTTGGGGGGGAGAAAAAGACTGAATGGGAGTGAGTATGGAAGGGAGAGACCGGCAGTGGGCTGGAAGGATGGAGGATATTAGATGGGGGAATAAATTAAAATGACGGATGGATGGATGGATAGGGGCAGGAGGAGCTCAGGCAGCTCAGGCAGCTCAGGGTGAGGGAGGAGCTCCCCTGGGCCTCCCCTGCTCTGGTCTAGTGCCTCCCTCGGAGAAAGCGGATTCCGTCTGACACCCACTCCGTCGAGGGAATCCTGTTGGCCTGAGAGAGAGCAGTCCATCCATCGCATGGCAATGACAGCATCTCTGCTGTGGAAGTTGAAGCTTCTCGCTTTCTCGCTCTCGTGAACTTTGGGTGACAGAATATTAATAAACACGCGCAGGGGGGACGCTAGCCCGATCCGGGTTGGTGGGGGAGGGCCCCTGCCTGAGGCTGTCATGTAGTGTTTAGTGCCTACGGAGTAGAGAGGGTGCCTGAACATGATGCCTGGAAGTGGTGCCTGAATGCGGTGCCTGGAAGTGATGCCTGAGGTACGAGGGGGGTGAAACGGGTGCCTCAGAATGATGCCTTGAGAAGTACGGAGTACTTTAGTGACTGGAATTAAGTGCCTGCCTGACCGGAGATTGTCCGCCTGGGGCTGCAACCCAACAACTAAACTCTCTCCCTCTCACTCTCACTCTCACTGACTGACTCTCTCCCTCCATCACTCCCTCATCACCCACTCAACTCAACTTCCTCTATCAACTCGGTAGTCCTTTCTTCGCCTGACCACATTTCAGAGGCCGGCCCATCTCCGCGAACGAGATGCGGCAACACCAGCGCTAGTATCGCGTGACGGCCGAGTCACGCGTGGGCTGACGTTGATGACCCGACTCGCGTGCCAGGACGATATTAAACCGTGTCCGTGTCGGATGTGCCCGCTATCTCCCATCCATCCATCTATCTTGGATGGCAGACGAAGGAACGGCAACCAGGGACCACCCGAGAGTTCGTCCCTCGCAGCCGCCACAACCCAATCCCCCCTCGTGAACGGCGTGCAAATTGCTGCCCTGGTACCCTGCAGCCAACAGCATAGCCGCGAGCCTGGCTACCTTAACGGCCACCACTACTGCTGTCTCCCTCTGGTTCTGTCGTCGTGAATAAATTCCTCAGGAGCGGTGTGTCTGCCACCATGGATCACCCCTCGTTCTCTCCGTATACTGTCCGCGAAGGTAGACCGCCTCGAGGGCGCGCAAGGGCGACGCAAGGAACCACGAAGCCTGGGGTCGGGCGATCATGAGCCGCCAGGGTCCGATGGATCTGCGAGGCGCCCTCGAGAACCCAACACAGACCACCGGCATGGTCACTGCGTCAGCTGGGCACCGTTCGATTTTTAACCCCCACCTGGACGCAACGCCTGCTAGGCTCCTGGAGAGAACGAACAATTTGATCCTCGATCCATCCTGCTTGCATCGTCTCAAAGAAGCCAGGCAACGTCTGCACGATGGCGTTGACGCCCCAGACCTCCGACTCGCCCACCAGTCTGGCGTCGACTCGCTTCGTCCAGGAGCCGATTGCCGTGGTCGGCATGGCCTGTCGACTCCCCGGGGGCAGCAACTCGCCCAATTGCCTGTGGGAGTTCCTCATGAGAGGGGGCGTGGCCGAAACAGCCGTCCCGGAGTCGCGCTTTCACCAGCGCGGCCACTTCGACGGGTCGGGCAAGCCGCGAACCATGCGGCCGCCGGGGGCCATGTTCATGGAGACGGTCGATCCGGCGGCCTTCGACGCCAAGTTCTTCAACATCGCGCCGCAGGATGCCGTGTCGATGGATCCGCAGCAGCGGATTCTACTGGAGGTCATCTACGAGGCGCTGGAAAATGCCGGCATCCCGATGGAGGCGCTGTCGGGGGAGAACTATGGGTGCTATGTCGGGGCTCACACTGGAGGTAGGCAGTCCGTTTTCTGTCTGTTAACATGGCGGTGGACCTTCTGACAGGCTAGATTATTGGGATTTGTTCGCCCGAGACCCGGATTCACGGCCACCGAGTGTCGGTCTGGGGGTCGCCGCGACGATGTTGAGTAATCGGGTCAGCCACTTCCTGAACATCAAGGGCCCGAGTGTGCCGGTGGACACGGCCTGTTCCAGCTCGCTGGTGGCCATGGACATCGCGTGCAAAGCCCTGCACAACGGCGAGATTAACGGGGCGATCATCGCGGCGGCGAGTTTAATTCTGAAGTGAGTCTGTCCCTCATTGATCGGGACGACGCTGACGGTAGAAGTCCGGAGTATGGTTGCGATGGTAGGTAGATCAAACCCTCCATGTTACGTTGGCTCACGAATGTAGTCGGCTCGATTAGGAACACACACTCTCCAACTGGCCGCTGCCATACCTTTGACGCCAAAGCTGATGGCTATGTGCGGGCGGAAGGGACGAATGCGGTCATCCTGAAGCGTCTCGATGACGCGCTGCAGGCTGGCGATCCCATCCAAGCGGTCATCCGGGGGATAGCGAACAACCACAATGGCCGTACCCCGGGGATTGCGTCACCCAGCGCGGAAGGCCAAGCGGCGGTGGTCAGGCAAGCATACGCGAATGCAAATATCACCGACTACTCGTTCACGGGCTACCTGGAGTGTCACGGAACAGGGACATTGGTCGGAGACCCAGTCGAGGCCACGGGAGCGTCGTCAGTCTTTGCGGCGTCCAGACCGGCGGATCAACCGCTACTCATGGGATCGGTGGGGCATCTCGGATGATCGGGAGAATGTGGCTGACGGATCTAGATCAAAAGCAATATCGGACATTCGGAGCTCCCGGCCGGACTGTCGGGATTGATGAAGGCAGTGATGATCTTGCAGACGGGGCAGATCCCGGGAAATCCAACCTTTCTTACGCCCAACCCTCACAGTATGTCTCACCACGGGTGTTTGTGGTTTGAGCTAACAACGACAGTTGATTTCCAAACCTTGAGACTGCAGGTCAGTCGGGAGGCTACGGACTTCCCCAGTATGCCTTTCCGTCGGGTGGGCGTGAACTGTTTCGGGTTCGGCGGGTCGAACTCGCACGCCGTCATGGATGAACCGGCAGCTGTCATTCAGGACTACGAGGCAGCTTATACATGGTCCCACCGAGCCCAAGCCCTGGAAGCCGGGGACGGGGGTAGCAGACCGTACCTGCTTTGTTTTTCCGCCAACGACGAGACGTCCCTCAGATCCTACCTAGAGAGTATGACCCAACACCTGAATAAGGCCGATGTCAGCCTTCGACTGCGCGATCTTGCCTACACACTGGGCACCCGAAGAAGCCAGCTGTTTCACCGGGCATACATCGTCTCCGACCAACTGCACCTCCAGCTCCCGCCTGCCGTATACGGGAAGAAGAACATCCGCCACCCACAGATTGGATTTGTCTTCACCGGACAGGGAGCGCAGTGGCCAGAGATGGGACGAGAGCTGATGGAGGTCTTCGAGCCGGCACGCGCGGCCATTCGAAACTTGGATAGCGTCTTGCAATGCCTGGCCAACCCGCCTGCGTGGTCCCTGTACGACGAACTGACCGAGCCCCGCAGTGCAGAACACGTCCAACAGCCCGAGTACAGTCAGCCACTGGTCACAGCACTGCAGATTGCCTTGATTGTGCTGTTTCGGAGCTGGGGAGTGACCCCGAAGACCGTTGTCGGCCATTCATCGGGCGAAATCGCCGCTGCATTTGCAGCTGGCTATCTGACTGAGGCGGAGGCAATCGTGGTCGCGTATCATCGGGGTCAAGCATCCAAGGACCGGCGTCATGGTGCCCCGTTGGGCATGCTGGCTGTCGGCCTGGGGGCAGATGAAGTCTCGCATTCTATCAAAGACGTGGAAGATGTTCAGATCGCGTGCTACAACAGCCCCAACAGCGTCACCCTGTCGGGGACTGCCAGCTCACTCCACGAGGTCAAGGAGAGACTGACGAAGGCCGGGGCCTTTGCGCGGATGCTGCAGGTGGATATGGCCTATCACTCCACGTTTATGAGCGAGATCGGAGAAACGTACGAGCGTCTTCTCGTCCAAGACCTGCCACCCACATCCTACGCTGAGGCATCGGACACCATTAAAATGTACTCTTCTGTTTCCGGCACAAAACAGCGGCAATCGCCTGATATTGCATACTGGAAATCCAACATGATATCGCCCGTTCGCTTTAACGAGGCCGTGCAATCGATGATATCCGAAGAGTCCATCGACTTTCTGCTTGAGATCGGTCCGAGCGGGGCCTTGAAGGGGCCTATCTCCCAGATTTTGAGTAGTCTATCTGACACTCCGTCCAACAAGAGATACATCCCGTCTCTAAGTCGAGGGAACGGTTCAATCAACGCAACGCTCGCAGTAGCAGGCCAACTCTACCTGGCCGGACTCCCAATCGACATGGCCCAAGTAAACGAGGATGCAGAACCCCGACCGCCACTGGTGATCGTCGACCTCCCAAATTACAGCTGGAACCACACCACGAAATACTGGGCGGAATGCTCCGCCAGCCGGGACTGGCGGTTCAAGAAGTTCGTGCACCACGACCTGCTCGGCAGCAAAGTCCTCGGGACATCGTGGCACGCGCCCACATTTAAAAAGATGGCGAACCTGTCGCATGTGCCATGGCTGCAGGAGTATCGCGTGGGGGGCAAAGTGGAATTTCCGAGATCGGGATACATTGCCATGGCGGTTGAGGCGATGTTCCAGATCAGCATGATGAAAGAAAAGGGTTCGGCCGTGGTGGGGGTGAATGAGCTGGGCTATCGGCTGCGGGATGTTCGCTTCGAGGGGGGCCTTGTTATGCAGAATGACGCCGAGTCGGAGATGCATCTTTCTATGCATCCCGTGCGTGGGTCGAAGGGGTGGTACGAGTTCCTCGTCTTGTCGGTGCAGGATGATATGACCACCGAACACGCGAGCGGACAAATTCGTATCCAGGATCCAGTTGCCACAACAGCATCGGAAAGCGACCGTGGTCCCCTCGAACATACAACACCGGGACATCTCTGGGATAAGGCATTTGCCGAGACGGGCTTCGATCACGGGCCGGCATTCCGACGACTCCAAAAGGTCGAGACGCGAGCAGGGATGCGTCATTGTCGGTCCCTGGTAGCGCTTTGTGATCCCCCCGTTCCCTATGATCCGCAGTCACTGTACCCGATTCATCCCGCGGCGTTGGAGGGCATCTTCCAGGCCATCACACCGGTGATGTGCGCCGGAATGCGCGCTCGTCTTCGGGAATCGCTCGTCCCGTCCACAATTCAAAATGTTATCATCAACCCGAGCGGCGAGCGGTCAGATACCGGACTGGCTGTTGCGGGCGTGTACTCGGGGCTTGGACGTCAGGATACCCATTCGGGCAGTGCATCTCTCTACGATCATGCCACTGGATCCCTGCTGGTCGAAATGGAGGGTGTATCCTATCAACCACTCGATCTGGGCATCGACCCGATAGCGTCGCAGTGGTTGACAAGGGACCTCTGGATACCAGATATCACTGCGCTGACTCGCGAAAGCATCCCCCGTCTGCGGTCGGAGGATCCCGTAACAACCGTCCTGGAATTAGCTGCAGGTCAGAGACAAGCACCGGATATCCTGGAAATCGACATCGGCTGGGGAGACGACGAGAGTATCTGGTTCCACGGTCCAGCGCGACTTGCACACCGTCGATACGGCTTCGTGTCAGCAGATGCGGCGAAAGTTGGACAATTCCAACAGCGCTACGGCAGCGAGAAGAATATTTCGTTCCACGCCCAAAACATCACAGCTATGAGCTTCGATCACAAATTCGACCTCATCATCGTAAAAGCCGCCTCAGAAGACGAAACCCGCCTTGCCCTCGAAGCCAGCAAGCACCTCCTCTCATCTGACGGCCATGTCCTAATCGCCGGACGGGTGGACGGCTTCTTCGCTATTCTATCGGAAATAGACAGCGGGCTGGGCTTTGCAAAAATCGTGCCAATTCACTACAACGAGAGTCCTTACTTCCTCTGCACCCCCAAAATTCACACCACCCCGAAACCCGTACACATCGTCTTCCTCGAACCCAACCACCTGCCCCCAGACATGTGCACCACCCTCACTAAAGCCGGCTGGGAGATAATCACACACACCTGTCCCGCCCTAGAAATCCCCCCGTCCAGCACGGTCCTGATTATCGACGAGATCTTCGCCCCCGTCCTCACGCAAGTCTCCGACGAACAATGGGCTTGCCTCCACCGACTCATCACGATTGGCTGCAAGCTCCTCTGGGTGACGCAGGGGGCGCAAAAGCACGTAACGGAGCCCGATAACGCATTGGTATGGGGCCTCTTCCGGTCTATCCGATCGGAGGATCCCTCTGCGACGATCATGGCGCTGGACGTGGAGGGACGCGATGACCCGTTTGCGGCGCAGGCTGTGGTGCATGTGCTGGCGCAGCTGGAGCGGCCGAGGGCGCGCTGGGTCGCGGATAATGAGTACGCGGAGAGGGATGGGGTCGTGTATGTGCATCGCGTGGAGCCGTTTAGGAGGCTGGATGAGGCGATGGGGGGGCTGCAGCGTCTGGCTGTACAGGATGGTTTTTTGTCCGGGCTGCGAGGGGACGGGATGTCCTCCCAGCTATTAGATGGTACTTTTGACTCGGCAGACAGACACGTCGAGATGGAGAGCGCTGTCACAGCGAACGAGGATGCCAGTGCTTGTGCTCTGGTACCGGACCTGCATCCCCAGACCAATCTCACACACCCTCCACTCACTATCACCACCACGACCACCACCAAACCCAACAGCAACAACCCCGTCCCCACCTACCTAATAACCGGCGGCCTGAAAGGCCTCTGCGGGAGCATCGCCCTCCACCTGGCCAGCCAGCAGCCCTGCCACATCATCATCCTCTCCCGAAGCGGATGCAATGACCCTCGCTCACAACACATCCTCCACCAACTGCACCACCTCGGTAGCACCACCCACCCCTTAACCGGCTCAATAACCAGAATCACAGACGTCCGCCGCGCCTTCAGCAAATCCCCCACCCCACTCAGGGGAATAATCCACGGTGCAATGCACCTGCACGACCGACCCTACGATACGATGACAAGCACCGAATTCCACATCGCGCTGGAAGCCAAAATCCACGGAACATGGAACCTGCACAACGTGGCGATGGAGAAGGGGCTCTCGCTGGATTTCTTCCTCCTCTTATCGAGCATATCCAGCGTGGTGGGGAGTAAAGGACAAGCGAACTATGCGGCGGCGAATTGTTTCATGGATGCGTTTGCGGGGTATAGACGGGGACTGGGGGAACGGTGTATGAGTGTGGCGCTGGGGGTGGTGGAGGATGTGGGCGTCGTGGCCGGGTCGGAGGATCTGACGAGTCGACATGGGGGGTCGGTGGAGGTGGTGGGCATTACGGAGGGGGGGTTGTTGGGGATTGTGGATGTCGCGGTGGGGTATCAGATACAGCACCAGGCTCGGGGGAAGGCGCAGGAACGCAATGGTGATGATGATATATCCCAGCTCATCACAGGCCTCCGTGTCCCGCAAGACGCAGAACAATCCGGCCTGCGTTTCGACCTGCGCTTCAGCCGACTCTTTGTGGGCGATACCCCCGCCGCAGCGAAAAGCGACCCGCTCACCACCGCAATACAAACCTTCAAGAACATCCTCCACTCAGAAACGCGGCAAGGCCTACTCGAATCCTGTCTCTCGGCACTGAGTCTCCGGCTGGCGCAGATGCTCCGCTGGGACGAAGACCAGGTGGAGCCCGGACAGCCGCTGTCGGTGTACGGGTTGGATTCGCTGGCGGCAGTGGAGCTGAGGAATTGGATCCGGGCGGAGATGGGGGCGGTGCTGAAGACGAAGGAGATTGTGATGGCGGCGAGTCTGATTGCATTGGGGGAGGGGGTGGTGAGTCGATTGGGGAGTAGATCTGGGGGGGGGGGTGAGGAGTTGTGATTATGACTTATGATTATGATTGTGATTCTGATAGATTGAGGATTCAGTTAGCTGTTATTCATATCGCGTGGTTTCATTGAGTCGCAGGAATATATACAGTAGACCGACGATCAAGAATCATTGCATCGCACAAATCATCACCTCCATGTTCACCGTGATATCCATCCATCATGACTCATCGGGTATCTTCGGCATAAAAGCAAAGCAACGCATCGATAGACAGGAACACCCTTCACCCCAATCCCCTGCCCAGCAAGCTCCCTCTTCAAACCCCAATACCAACACCACCCAGACAATGTCACCCTCAAACCCCCGGCCAAGCATCAAACCCCGTATCAAACCCAAGCGACCAGTTCTGGTCAAGAAACGGCCACTGCAACATCTCCGCCTCGAGATCATGCAGATGCAGCTCCGGCGGCTCCGTCAACTCGGCCACAGACACGCGACGCAGCCCGGCGTCTCCCTCCGCCAGGGCGGCGGTGGTGGTCGGGCGCGAGACGCGGATGTCGCCGTACTCGTCGAGGGTGCCGGCGAGGGTGAGGTGGTCGGCGGAGGGGCCGTGGGAGGCTGTGGAGCGGGCGGTTTCGTAGAAGCGGTTTGCTTCTTGGAGGGTTCGCCACTAGTTTGATTATTCGTATCTCAGCATGATGATTCGTGCAATGGAAACAGGACACACGAGACGAGGGAAAGAAATCTGTAGAGAGGAGTGCGAAAGACGAATGGGACAGGAACAAAGATAAAACAAGAAAGGGAGGGAGGGCTACCCAACTCTCCCCCACATCCCAAAACCGACACAACCGCTCTAGATACTCGAAATTCAACTTCTTCTCGTACTCCGCGCGGCCCAACCCCCCGGGGTATCGTGCCGGACAGACGGTGCCATACATATTGATATGGGCGGCCACGAACACACTAAACCCCGCGTAGGGCGTGATGACCGGGGTGGCGGAGGCCTCGAGGGCGGCCAGGATGGCGCCGATGTGCTGGGCCATGGCGAAGAGGTGGTCCATGGCGTCTTCCTCTCCGTCGGCGACGTCGGGGGCGGATTTGGGGGTGGAGAGGAAGCGGTCGCGGTGGAGGAACAGGATACTATCCGATATGAACCGTTAGGTAAAAACAGGAAAAAAAAAAATCAAGGGGAGGGATGAGGGGGAGAGGAGGGGAGAATCAGGAGGGATAGATACCTCATAAAATACACCAGATTAATATAGGCAAACAACTCGCCATACCCCAACGCAACATGCGCCTGGGCACTCGTCTCCGGATAGCGGACAGTAACATCCTGCAACCCGCGCCACTCATCCAACTCACTCTTCAACGTCTCCCACGTCCTGAGGGACGCAGGCTCCTCGCCCTCCCCCTGGCCTCTCGCACTCGCTCTCCCCCGGCGACTCTCGTTCGCGAACCTCAGTATCCTCACAAAGATATCAAACCCGCGAGTCACGATCGTCAGCCCGCGATCGATAGTCAAATTCCTCGCGACCGGCGAGCCGCGACTCATATCCGAGGGCATCAGACGCGGAGAGGCCTTGCCAAAGGTGAAGTCGGCGTCGCTGCTGGGGAGAGGCACGGAGATGTGGCGGAAGGAGAGGGCGAAGTGTTGGCGCGCGCCGGAGCTGAGCTCGCAGTCTTGCGCAAAGCAGCACCAGTAGGTGCGCACGAGCTGCTCGTAGGTGATTTGGTCGAGGGGTTGGGGTTGTTCCATGGTGTCGTCGGCGGTTTTGAGGAGGGATTGGATCATGTAGGTTGCCATTCCTGCATTGTCATTGTCATTAGCCTGGAGTATTAATTTTTGATAGAGGGTATTGTTTGGGAGGTGGGGTTGAGGGTGGAGTAGAGATAGAAAACAAAAAGGTAGAATTGAGAGGAAGTAGAGTAAAGGGTTAGGAAGAGCAAAGGAAAAACACACCACTATACATCCAAGCGCGATACGGCCTGCCAGATCCCCATTCATACAACGCAATCATAACCAGCGACTGCGCCAGATAGAGCGACGGGGCCTCAAAAGCCCGATGGGCCAGCTGGGCGCGGGCATACTCGGCGTAGGTCTCGGACGGGGCCAGCAGGGGATCATCCAAGAAGCGCACACACAGCGACAGCAGCGCGGCGAGGAAGACGGGCTCGACGGCGACGGGGTGGGGGTCGGACAGGTCGGCGATCAGCGAGGGGTAGTGCAGGAAGTTGACGACGGGGAATTTCTTGCGGTAGACGTCACAGGCGGCGATGAGGGTGGCGGGGGGCAGGGGGGTGATGGGGTTAGCTGGGGATGGAGTGGCAGTGGCTGCAGCTGGAGCTGGAGCTGTAGGGGTGGGAGGGATCGTGATGGTGGTGTTGGGAGAGGATTGGGTGCATCGCGATCGGGGCGTGTCGAGGGGACGCGATGGTCGGGATGGTCGGGATCGGGATAGAGATGGAGATGATGCAGCGGCGTGGGATGGGCGTCGCGGGGTGCGAGGGCGAGTGCGCGGGTCGGTCAAGACACACTCGTCGCGCTGCAGTCGGTGGCAGCGGCGACACGGCGGGCGGCCCTCGTGGATGCACTTGACCTTGGATTGTCTGGCAAGTTAGGGCTGGACTGGAGGGACAGCCAGAGGGGACTCGTACCGGCAACTCTCGCAGGAGATGGACAGGCGCATGGTGGGGGGAGAGCTGTGCGGAGAACGAGGGAATGAAATGAAATGAGGAGAACGAGTGAGGGGAGTTTGCTCGGGAATGGCCAGAATGGCTCGGGAATGTGATGAAGATTTCAAAAAGAGTGGATCCCATAACGTTATCCCCCTTCTGGCCCGTTCCATTCTTTGTTTTTATGACACCAACATTGCAGTATCTATCTCATGACTCACGGCATATTCTCGGTCGTCTCCAATACTTGATTCTCCTTGTCAGCAGAGGTCAGATCATGTCATGTTGAGTCACATTCTCATCAGGTCATTATTCATATTAAAATTAAGGTAGTAAGTAGTACTAGTACTAGTACTACTAGTAGTAGTAGTTGTCTTCGTCTATACAAGCGTCTCCAGCCACTGGCAGAAACGGTCCACTTCGACCTCATCCGTCGCCCAGGAGGTGACCAGCCGAATCACCGTCGCCCCATCGTCGCGGTGCTCCCACTCGTAGAAGCGGATGCGCTCCTCCAAGATCCCAACCAGCCCCTCGGGCACCACCACAAACACCTGGTTCGTCTCCGTCGTCGCCGCCAGCCCCCACCCGATGCGCTCGACCTGCTTGGAGATGCGCGCGGCCATGGCATTGGCATGGCGAGCCAGCTCGAACCACAGCCCGTCGCGGAACAGCTCGGCGAACTGCACGCCCATCACCCGCGACTTCCCCAGCAACGCCCCGCGCTGCTTGATGTGAAACTCGAAGCCCTCGGCCAGGCTCTTCCGCACCACGATGGCCTCGCCCAGCAAGGCCCCCATCTTGGTCCCGCCAATCCAGAAGATGTCCGCGCTGTCGACCAGATCCCGCAGCGTCAGGTCATTGGTCTCGGCGCTCAGCGCGACGCCCAGCCGCGCGCCATCGACCAGCATCAGGAGATCCCGCCGTCGACACGTCTCGGACAGGGCGGCGAGTTCTCGTCTCGAGTAGATCGTGCCCACCTCGGTGGCGTTGGAGATGTAGACGAGCCGGGGCTTGGCCATGTGCGGGAAGAAGGTGTTGCGGTCGAGGACGGCCTCGAGACTGGAGGGGGTCATCTTGCCCTGGACGGCGGGCACGGGGATGACCTTGTGGCCGGTGGCCTCGATGGCCCCGGCCTCCTTGTCGAGGATGTGGCCGGTCTGGACGGCCAGGACGGCCTCGTAGGGGCGCAGGCAGCTGGCGATGGAGATCAGGTTGGCGGCAGTACCGCTGGGGACGAAGTGGATGGCGACCTCGTCGTCGGAGGCATGCATGTGGGAGAGCAGCAGCTCGCGGGCCTCGTGCGAGTATTCATCGGTGCCATAGCCAGTTTGTTGGCTGGTGTTGGTGCGCAGCAGCGACTGCAGCAGCCGGGGGTGGGCGCCCTCGCTGTAGTCGTCGAGGAAGCTGTAGGGGGCGGTGAGTTTGGTAATCATTGCGATTTGTTTGCTATATGTGTCTGGAGAAAGAAGAAAGGGAAAAGGGAAAAAGGCTGGCGATTGAGTTTGGGATTTATTTGGATTTCTGGTGTTTGAGGGGGGGGGAAATGGGGGGAATGAGGGCTGGATTTCCCGTCGGGAATAAAGACGTCGGGAATGTGAGTCAGAGCCTATCGAGCCCGCCCGGTTGGGCTCGGCTCATTTCGAAGCTTCTGGTCGTACGGTCGGTCCCGGTCGGGTGTTTCACCACGCGGTCGGGAGGGAAATTATTGGGCTGGCATGGGATGTGGTGGTGATGCTCCGAATTGTGATAGAAGATGGATGGCACATAGGCAGGGTCGGTGGGCAAGTACCTGACTGAGTAGGGACAAATCTGGTCTATTTTCAGCCTGTCTGAATTCTGCATGTCAACAAAACAATCCCTGCTCCCATCTCGCACTACTACTACCTTATCGATATAATTTTCCTTCGGTCAATCATAAGCCTCTGATAGGGTGTGTCGGGTGGTTTCCGCGCCTCGCATATCCGGCCCAAACCCGAGCCATTCTTGCTTCTTCCCACCCGCGCTATTTATACACCTGCATTAACTCTCTGGCAAAACTGACAACCCAAACAAAGGTTTGTCTGTGTGCGGATGGATGGCCTGCAAGGGAGAACCCGCAGGACCTATTTTAGTACTTACATACGTCTCCCATTCTACTCCGTACACCATCGGGTTATTCCGATCCCCGAGATAGAGATAGGATGATCCTTAGCCCGTCCCCTTCCAATTCCAATCCCATAGTCAAAGCAAGAACACACTGCACAAAGCCGGCCATGGCTCGGATAAGCCGTTCCAGCCGCCAACCAGGAACTGCCAACGACTTCAAACGCCCGGGGTTCGCATCCGGTTCGTATCCGGCTCCCGTCCGTCCAGTCCAGTTTAGTCTAGTTTAGTCCGGTCCATTCCCGTCCTAGAATAGTCCAGAATGCAGATAATCCAGATAGTGCTCCGTAGATAGATAGGATAGTCTCAGCCACAAACCGCAGTGGGTCGGTGTCAGCCTCTCAATCGCAGATAGCCCAAAAGCAGGGAACTGCGCGCGCTCATTATGATTGCATATTAGGCAGCAACTATTCATGTGGCGTCGAGCCCTGGTTTTCCTTTCCTCCTCACTGGACTTTTCTGGGGGGTGGGGGGGTTGCATCGGGCGAATAAAAGATATTTTGCAGTACTGACAACTTCACTTACCCACACCCCATATTTGTGATATCACTATGCAGAACTGTCATCTATCTATTCTAGTATCTACTTAGTCTAGTCTAGTCTAGCTATGGACCATCTCCCTGCCCTGCCCTGCCCTGCCCGAACTACTCCGTGCAAATCATGCTTATATTATAATTTGTCACCGCTGTGGGGATTGCACGCTAAAGCACCTGGCCACAGTAGGAAAGGGTGGCAGGTGAGAGCTGACTGGTGGATCCTAAGATATTACGGAGTACTAATGATCCTTCGGGCTAGTAATCCTTCCCTGAGAAGGATTGCTTTGGTCCGGACACTCAGTGCGATCTATCTAGTATCTATCTGCTACGGCGGGGGAGGGGGGTGGGGGTATTCTACAATCTACTGAAGGCACAATCAAATCCAAGTATAGCCATCATATTGCCATCGTTATCTAACTATCTCATTCTCACCACAATCCCTAATCCTGTCGGGTAGACAGTCTCACTCCACATTGCCGAATTCCATGTGCATTGATACTGCTTAAGCGGAGGCAGTGGTGGTGGGAAGGCCACCGTTGACAGCATCCGGGTCACCGTCGCAAGTTCCGCAGACAGACTCGCCACCGGTGGCAGTGTAGACGTTGGTCCAGTAGGGGTACTGGATGGCAGAGGTGTTGACGGCGACAGTCAACCAGGCGAACAGACCATCCTCGAGGGAGTCACCGAGGTAGACGTAGTTGAGGAAGGGGTCGGTGTCGGCGTTGTTGGTCTCGACATTGACGACGCGGTCCTCCTCGTTCAGGGTGATGGGGATGGAGTTGGTGTTGTAGGGGTAGGTCGACTCGACCTTGGAGATCATGTCCTGGTCCCAGAAGATCTGGCCGATGTGGGGGATGGAGCCACCGGCGAGGGTGTTGTTGGGGAGGAGGGTGGCGTTCCAGTGGACGATGTTGTGGTAGTGGGTGGTGCGGTCAGCGTAGTGGCCGGGGAAGAGGGTGCTGTAGTGGACCACACCGTCCTCGTCGGTCTGCTGCACACCGCGCAGGAAGGTGCGCTGGTAGTTGGCGAGGTCGCTGGGGTTGCCGTTGCCGTCGGCGACGAGGCCAGAGTAGACGCCGGTGGCGTTGCAGGACCAGATCTCGTTGTAGATGCCGCGGATGGGCTCGCAGGTCTCGACGTCGATGAACTGCTCCTCGATGATGACGGGGACACCGGGCTCGCTCTCGCGGATGTTGCCGCGGATGTGCTCGCCGGGGATCCAGTAGGGGCCGGTCTCGCCCTCGGCGGAGGGGCCGAGGAGGCAGATCTTGCTGTCGTCGTCGAAGAGCTCGGTCTCGGCGGTGTTGGGCGAGACGGGGCGGTCCGACAGATGCGACTTGTTCAGCACCTCCCAGGTGTCGCCGCGGGTCTGCAGCTGGCGGCGGTGCACGTCGACCAGGGCCCGGCGACGGGCCTCAGCGCGGGCGTGCAGACCGCTGGCCTCCAGCTTGGCCTCGCACTTCTGCAGGCCGTGCGACAGCGAGCGCTTGAAGGAGCGCTGCGCGAGGGCCTCGCGCTCCTCGTGGTGGCCGCCACCGGGGTGGGCACTGGCCAGGAGGGCGCCGCCGACGACGGAGAGGTTGAGGACGTTCTTGAGCTGCATGGTGGAGCGGAGAGAGATTGTCACGGAGAAGTGAAGAGGAGAGAGAGAGAGGCTGGATGGATGAGGATGAGAGTGATGGAGGAGAGTGTTGGAGGCGTGTCAACGGGGTTTATATAGCTTTTCGACGACCATTCTTCTCCGCGATGCGGTCCCGGGAGATTCCATCTCGCTGTGATGGGTAAGCCTTTACTCGGTCCCTTGGCTGGAAAGTGCCTGACAGAGGGCGTTCTCGTGGTGATGCTGCCGATCCGGTGCAGGTACGACGACCACGTTAGGGTGTGATCGTCTGGATGCATGGGATCCTTTGGCATCAGTGTTTGGACTGATGGCGAGCGGTCGACGATCCCCAGGCGTCTGTCACATCTGGCCAATGGCCCTCCGACGGACGTGGCTGACGGAGGAGTGAGTTGTCGTCCAATGAGAGGCAGCTGGGGGCGATGCCCAGCCAGCTATCTGGCGATGGTGTCGAAGCTCCGACCTGAAGATGGTCCAGCCGCCGGCGGTCATCCTGATTGAGGCCCAGATGAATGGCCGTGATGTAACCTCCCACGGCGGAGTCAGGTCCCCACAGTCCCCACAGGCTGGGCATTGTGGGAGAGTGGACCGGACTGTTCGCTATCGCCGAGGAGGGTGAAGGAATAATAGTCGATGATAATGAGGATGATAATAATAATAATGTGAAGCCGGTGGGAGAGGCAGATTGGAGACGCCCAGGATGCAGCGCGCATGCCAAGGCGCGATGGAGATGCCAAGAGGCGGCGATGGGCTTCACGATGGCTCGGATTCGACGAGAGGGGCGCGGAAGGATGGGCGGCGCCGGACTAGGCCGTCGGGGAGGACGATCCCCGACGATCGGCCTGGCCAGGGTGTAATACCTGCCCTGCCACTGGCCGGTGGGCTGTCTCGGCAGGGAACTGGAAGAGTAATCCAGTGGAATGGACTGGCCGATCGGGGCGATATTCACTCGGTTCGGTCCACCGTCAGCAGTCCTAGAAGAAATAACTATAGGACTGGAGATTAGGGCAACAATCTATCCACTCACTACCCGGCCCAGTTAGTGTCAGCGCGTTGGAACGAGGGGCGGTCATGTCCCCGGATCTGCTTACCGACTCAGCGACACATCCCTCCTCCTCCTCCTCCCCTTCCTCCTCTTAGGGTTTGCAGGACTTGCGGAAAAGAAAGGGGTCGATAGGCACTAATCTCTGCATCTCTGCAGCGGAAAACCCCCGAATGCTCCCGCACAGCCAGACAGGGCTGCGTCGCCCTGCATCCGACGGAATTCTGCAACCTGCAGCTGGCAGCTCGACATTCAAAACTAGCAACGAGCTGCAGCACCAGGCATCTTGGCAGCGCTGCAGGATAGATTGAAGTCGGATTAGAATTTAACCCCAGACGGAGTTCCTTCGGGACGAGCGCAGATCCCCCCATTCGACCTTCTGCTTCGGGGCGGACGCGTCGTCAGCCCTCACCTTTCCGGTCGACCCCATCGTCGTGATCCCATTTCCAGTGGAAGGCCAACACGGCCGACCTGGCCTATTCTGGACCTCTGGGGCAGGGTCTCGCTTGGGGGAAGATGATATTGCAGCCGTGCCGCTACGGGAGCGCCGGCAAAAATCGCACCCTGACGGCCGGCCGGCCGTGCAGAACCCGCAGCGTCCGTCATGGATGATGATGCCCTAGCCGGATCAGGCAGGTGAAGCCGTATCGGGCATTGCGAGATGTCTCGGATTTCCCAGTGTCCGCCGGGGGCGCATCCTGCAGGCCCTGAAGGTCCCTGAGGGGTAAGGGACGGGCGAGGGCCGAGAGGGGTGGTGGCGAAGCCGACCCGTTCCTGGCCCGCAGGATCCTGCACCCTCGTCCTTGACAGGATAGTCTGATTGATAATCCAGCATGCGTGAATGCTGGGCGATGGGAGGCCGGTTCCGGACCGCGGATGATGATTCTCCCCGAGTCGGGGTGTCAGATAAGGGAGAATGCCATCTCAGCTGGCAGGTTGGCAGGTCGGAATGAGGTTGAAGGGCTTTCCGTCCGTGTCTATTCCACTTCCTTGTTCTGAGAACTTCCAAGGCGGTTGCCCGGGTTTGCCCTAGACCTCGGTCCTTATCACATGCCAGCAGCAGGCAGCAGGCAGCAGGCAGCAGCAGGGCCCTCGGGAGGCACCTCAGGATGAGGGTCTGGTCTCTGTGTCTGGTCTATAAAGGCCGGCTCCCCGTGCAACAGATGCGATCACCCGCGACATGAGGACGTTGGGAGGGAGGCGTGTCTTATGTCGGACCGCGACCATGGCATGATGCGATGGCCTGATCGTGGGTGAGTCTCGGCCGGCTCCGTCACGGCTCCCGGGATCCCGTCAGCATGTCAGCATGTCGGCATGAGGCCGATGGGGTTCAACTGGGGTTCATTCCCGAAGTCTGCGTGTATACAGTAAATAGGTGCAGACAGGCTGTGGCATAAAATATAATTCTCCTGGAAAAGTTCCTCGAAAGTAAATTGCCCTTCTGTCTGTGAGAGAGTTGCCGCCACTGGATGGGAACAAAGAGATTAAGAAAAGCCAGTCTTGGCAGTGAGTTCTTATCAGATCAAAGGTTTTCCTAGGACCTGGGTAATCTCTTATTGTAATGACCAAGTATGGATTTCCCTGTGCTCTGTGTAAACCCAGATTCAAGCCGTATACAAGACCGGGTAGATGAGACAGTTAGTTCGGAGAGGATTGAATCGAGGAACTATGGTAAAGTCTGAGAAAAGAAAATAAAAATCTAGAGTGATTGTACTGGCAGGTGAGAAGTAGAAGCAGAAAATGTAAAAAGAGAATAAACGGCCCATTTTGATTGTATAATCAAATTCCAAAAGGAGTGAATGCGACAATATGATTAAGAACAGTTGACCAGTCTGTGAGTATAGCATCTGACGCCTACTATTCTTTCATTCGGTCTGATATATAGAGAACAAAGGCGATGTATGTGCTGTAATTGAACCTATTAATACTACTCTACTTACCTATGGCCAGAATCAAATATATATATATTTGCTCCCGCGGCCCGCAGAACAACTAGCAACTATAAACTGAACTACAGGGTATAACTCCAGAACACTTTGAATGCTACTGTTTGATGTTAGAAACCCAGTCTTAATTGATGGATATAACGATATTGCACTCTTTTTTGAAAGGTGGAAGAGAAAGACTTGCCAGGCAGGCAAACATCCGGACCAAACCAGGAAATATTCATTAGTCCTTGTCAGTATAAATCTGCATAAAAAGTGACCCACAAACACGAACACGTGCCATCATTCACCGCCTGCGATGCAAAAATATCTCCAGTATTTTCATTACCAGAGCAACTCCACCATCCACCCCGCCATAATGTTCTCCTCATAAAGTTGGCCACCCCATCTCAATCAAGTCCAGATCCCCCGGCCCCAAAAACACCTCCAAGATATCCGCCTGCTCACTCAACAAGACCCGATCAGCCTGACTCTCCCCGACCTTCGCCAAGTCTCTCCATCTCGCTAGATCCTCCGGATTCCGCTTATCACCCCGCGCCGCGACATTTTGCGTCCAATGGCCATTGGAGAAGCCCAACAACGTGGTGAACGTGCGGTTTGGAATATCATACACAAGCGAGCAGATGGTGCCCGTCTCCTCGAGCCAATTGCACTGCCAGAGCTCCCCAGGCCGGATACACTGGTACGTGGCAGCCTGGAAGTTCCTGCGGCCGGCCATGGGCCCGCCGTGGATGGCGTAGACGATGCGGTCCTCGTTGAAGAACCACATCTCATAGCGCCATTTCTCGGGATTGCCGTGCGCGTCGCGCGCGTTGTAGTCGTAGATGACGTGGCGGTCGCGGAGGTCGGCGTCGAAGGTGGAGTTGTGCAGGGAGGGGAGGACAGGCATGCTGATTTGATTCTGGTGTGGATTGGCTGACTGACTGACTGACTGACTGACCGATGAGGATGTACTTTTCTGAACGGAAGTAAGAATAAGGACCTCTTGCGCTGGACGGTAAGTTCTTGGCCTAAAGGTAGGTAGGTATATGTCAGCTTCCCGACAACAGGGCAGGTATGTCACGATGGATGAAGTAAGAATCAGGGGAGGGAACCTCTCTGGCCCGGGAAAGGCAAACGCTGTTAAATATGTTCCGAAGCAGCGTGAAGGCCATCGTATCATCCTGGCCACGGAAGAGACTTCCGGTGACACAGGCATTCCCCAGCCATCAGAGGGACGAATGGTAGGGATAGACCGTGGAGAGCGTAGCTCGGCAACCCCACATGGGTATCAAGAATGCCGAGAAGTTGGAAACCTAGACAGACCGTGGGATGGGCAGTTATCGCGTGAGGCTGTACCGTCCGGTGGTGAGTGGTGATGGCCAGGCCCGGGTAGTGCGAGGATCATACAACCCGTCTACTGGCTGGCTGCGATTCTCCAGGTGACGGGTCGAGGACCAGAGCTCGATCCGACCATGCATACTTACGGGTATTCACCGGTCGCAGGAACGCAGGGACATTCCAACATACAGTTCTGCGCGGAGGCAACTTGAGATGCCTGTCAGTATGCGGGGGCTGCTCAGTTCGGGGCTCGGCACCCCAGGCTGAGCCCTGGGACAAGCCAGCAGATGATGTCGGCCTCGGTGCCCACCAATTGCATTTCCTCTCGGCTTGCCGGACAGCCTGATAGAAGAAACACTTCCGAGAGCTTAATGGAGACATGAGACATTGCGTGGATGTCCGAGGAGAGGTGATGGACCAAAGTAGCCAGGTGCATGCTTAGTGCGCAATGACCTTCCGACTGGCGTCATGGTGGCTTTATCTATAATAACCCCGCCATCCTCGCTTACCACCCAAGGCCTCAACATTACCCTCTTCAGGTCTTCAGTGTCTGCAATTCCGAGTATGACTATGAGTGGCTCATCAACCCCCGGCCTGGTCTTCGGAGCCTCCGGCATCAACGGATAGGCATTTGTCAACGAGCTGCTGCACGACTACCCCGTCCCGGCCTTCGACCACAGCACAGCCCTAACTCACCGACCCCTGGCGCTGGAACAGACCCTGTGGCCTGCGTCGCCCAAGCTGCAACTTGTTTCGGGTTTAGACCTGCTCACCGACAACCAAGAAACCTTCCAACAGACCCTCCTCGCGCACGTCCCGCACCTGGCGGACGTCACAACAGTCTACTTCTGCGCGTACACTACAACGCGAACCCTGCCGTGGAAACGGACCTGAATGTGTCCATCGTGCGAAATACTGTCCTCGCGTTGCAGGCCTTGTGTCCGCGATTCCAAGTGCTGGTCCTCCCTACTGGCGTCAAGGTACCTACCTCTCCCCCCCTGTCCCCGTACCCCTCTACCCCCAATCACCACTAACCAGCCAAACCCAACCACAGTTCTACGGCTTGAACCTCCTAACTGCCTTCCCCTTCGCCTCCGACCTCCCACTAACCGAATCCCACCCCCCCCTCCCCGAACCCCACCACAGCGCCCTCTTCTACACGCACCAACTCACCCTCCTACACACCCCGCCAAAAATGGACATACATCGAACTCCACCCGGACATAATCCCGGGCTTCGTGCCGCACAACAACCAATACAATCTCGCGCACGGGATATCCCTCTCCCTCTCACTAAAGCGGCACGTCAACGGAAAGGGAAGCGTGGTGGTGTTCCCGGGCAGGCGACGAAGCTGGAACTGCCTGACTGACGAAAGTAATCAGAATGGAGGGCTATGGAGGGACTGTTAGAGTTGAAAGGGGTGAGAGCGTGGTGGCGGGGAAGATGCGGTGGATCGGTTCCTCGTCGGCTGTGGCGGTGCACGCGCCCGGAAGGGGACAACTAAAAACAGGGTTACCCAGACAGGGGGAATCAGGATGGGTTTCCAACAGATGGGTACAGAAATGGGTACGTATACTGCAGATTTGGCAGGCTCGCCAATATATCCTGCGTGAGCGACACCAACGGGTTCTAACTATCCTATCCCTCAGTGAGGGTATGCCCTGGGAGTATACAATTTACACTTAGGAATTTAAAGGTTCCCTGAATATATTTTGAACCATACAAACCAGAAAACCCAAATAATAATAATAAGAACGAAAGATTGGGTTCTGTTTCGCAAATAACAGCCATCAAAACCCTCGATATCCCATCGTCCCATCAACCAATAGGCCCCGCCCCCAAATGACCATCCACCACGACGGGCCCTAACAACAGAACAGCGTCAGCAAGATCTCCCCAACAAAGATTGTCAGAACATACCAAACTTCGGATGAACCAACCAGCCCTCCTGCGTCAAATCCCTCGAATTGGGCTCCACCCACTCCATCAAACGATCCCAGTTCACACACTCATGCGGGGAAGTCAGGTTCCCGATCGGCCGAAGCCGATAGTCCGCCCACATCATGGTCAGGACGGTGGTGTCGCCCTGACACATCACGGCCTCTTTCAGCATGTGCAGGCAGTGCGCTAGAGAGTCATCAGCAAAGGGCCATGCGATCGGTGACGAAATGTGTAGCGTGGACGTACTCGTATGATCCTTCCACGAAGCCTGCCCCTCCGCAGTCATGTTATCCAGGCCATAGTATTCGGGGTTGAGGGCATGGTAGACCATTTTCTGACGGGTTAGCAAACCTGTCCACCGATTCGAAGCACGCTGTACATACGAGACAATGCAAGTGATGGAAGACCATAATTGACCCGTAGTACGTTCCATCCGGGAGTTTGATGCCCTCGTCTTCGCGGCCCATCTCTTTCATGAGCTCCGGGTCGACGCCGATGTTTTGATCTGCCACAACTCCCATGTAAGCTTTGCTGAACCTGGAGACACATAGGTTGTAGACAACACTCACATAGAAACAGATCATGCCAGTTCTTATCCACCTGTTCATTGGGCTGATTGCTGAAGTACGTAACCGGCTCGCCATGGCGATCCTCCCACTGTTCCATCACCCGTGGCTCATACACGATCGCCTGGGGATCGACCGGGGTTTTCAAGAATCGCTGGCCGATTCGGCGGTTTTGGTCAGTTACATGGACCGTCGCGGTGATGATGATGGTTGAGTATAAGAGCAAGAGTCCTCCGATGATGGCAGAGTACTTGAGGTATGCCTTCCAGTGATGACTTCTCTGTCTCTGGCGGTAGAGAAGGGATTCATTGTCCTCGGAGGCTTCAGCCGTGGAGTCCCCGTCGTGTTGAGAGACCGGCTTGTAAATCAGAGGTTTCTCTAAACTGAAGTCGGATTGGTTATCCATGGTGCATTATAATCATAGACAGAATGGACGGAGGATGTACAGATCCAACGGGATGGGAGTGGGAAGCATAAGAGGGAATAGTAATCGATTCAGTCGGTGGCTATTGCCCGTCCGATGGATTTTCAGGCGTCCCGATGTAACCCTACAAGTACTTTGTCGTAATGATTGCGATTATCACATATATCACGAGAGTTAATCCCTCATGCTTGCGTGGAGAGTCCTGCACGTCCTTACCCATCGGGAAAAGGTATCTCGTGGGGATGTATATCATCGCGGCTGAGTCGGGGAAGGAGGAATCCATTTCCAAGGTCAAGAATCGGTGGTATTGGCTAGCATTGGCTCAGGAATATCGGAGGCACCGAACTGGTGTGTATCACGACAGGAATGCTGATGCGAGCTGAGGGGTACGCTTGCTGTGGCTGAGGAGGCAACCCGCGGAGGGATACTATAGACAGCGAAGTCAGCAAGGAATAGCAATGTCGAGCCAGTGATTGAGCCATCTTAAAGCCAAACCAGTCAATGGCCACTGAAGCGGGGTGATGACGGACGCAAGGCAAAACGGAAGCAAGGGCTGACAAGTAGGTTGTTGCACAACGACGGCGAGGCTACGGGGAATGATGATAAATTCCTGTAGAAACCCCGCAGATAGTCGTCAGGAAGTCCAAGGAGGTTCAAGATAGCGAGCTGTCATTGGGTATCGTCCATGAGGCTATACTTTGGTGTGCCAACATTCTTGCGATGCAATGCACCTAATCTAGTGCTGTCGGACATCGACCATTCTGCCTAACACAAGCACGACATCGCGATCTGTGAGGGGTCTGTCTCATCCCACAAACCCCGCGTCGCACCGGACATAGCTCGGTTGTGGGCGTTGCGGAAGTAGACTGGCGGAACGAAAGGGTAAGGATGCCTGGTCGAGGACAATGGCTTAGCAGTCATGGAAGTATATAAAGAATGACAAACATCTCAAATGAAGATTGTTGTTTCTCCATTCAATCACAGCTACATCAAATCAACCATTGGAACCCCAAGTATAAAGAAACAACTGCCAACATGAAGCTCAGCGCACTGTCTATCCTTGCCTTGCTAGGATCAATGGTCGTTGCCGTTCCCATCTCCAACGAAGGTAGTGTTAGATCCCCTCAACCCCGCTCACTGCCTACTGATTTCACTGTTTAGGAGCAGGCGTGGCAAGAAGAGCCCCCTTGGATGCCGATGAGCTGTATGACAAGCCTGTGAAGCGTGATCCTCTTGATGCAGACGAACTGTATGATAAGCCCGTCAAGAGAACCCCGCTTGACGCGGACGAGCTCTATGATAAGCCCGTCAAAAGAACACCTCTCGACGCGGATGAACTCTACGACAAGCCCGTCAAGAGAGCTCCTCTCGATGCCGATGAGCTCTACGACAAGCCCGTCAAAAGAACACCTCTCGACGCGGACGAGCTCTACGACAAACCGGTCAAGAGAGCCCCGCTTGACGCGGACGAGCTCTATGATAAACCCGTCAAAAGAACACCTCTCGACGCGGATGAGCTCTATGATAAGCCGGTCAAGAGAGCTCCTCTCGATGCGGACGAGCTCTACGACAAGCCAGTGTAAGAGACCCGAGAGATGAGGGCTATTGATCCGTCCGCAAAGAGCGACAATAGTAGGCAAGCAAGGAAGGGAGGAATCATTCACAAGACACAAGGGGGAATATGGGTTAAGTTTGAGCTTATTTATCGAAAGGGCCTCGTTATAGGTAGAATGAATGATGCAAGATAAGCGATCCAATCCCAGCCCCTTCAAGCCTAGAAGCCTAGGATAGGCATAGCGCGTAGTGCCCCCAGGCCCGGCCCCAGGGCCCAACGGGGTATAAAGGCGGGGGGGCATCCCCATCTTATCCCATCCCATCCCCATCCCATCCCATCCATCAGATCACTCGGTGTCAGATCAGTATATCCTCCCCACCTCCACCCGGTATCTTCTCCAGTCAACAATCCACTCCACGCCACTACCCTACCATGCCTCCCCCACCCCCATCCCCATCCCCCTTCCAAATCCGAGACGCCAGCACCAACACCAACCCCTCCGACACCCCCTTCATCATCTCCACCTTCGACTCCTCCCTCACCTACCTCTCCTCCATCGGCAGCATCGACCAATGGGGCCTCACCCCCTTCTCGGAACGGGGCGACTTCCCCACCGAAACACGAAAAGAGATCCAACAGTCGGAGACAAACCAGCGCACAGGAAGTAACATCTCCAACGGACTACGCATATTCATCGTCGAGCGGGAATATACCCACACCCATCCCGAAGCCGGCGACACTCCCCCGCATCTGCGCCTGACAGCCGACGGGAAACGCGTTCTACCTGTTGGATTCGCGTATGTTCGGGAGAATTGGGTTCCGGGGTATGTGGCTTCGCAGACGCAACTGGCTGTTCCGGTTCCTGTACCTGTTCCGGTTCCGGGGACAGAGGGGGAAGGGGAAGGGGAAGGGTTTCTCTATCTTGAGGTGATCGTGACGGATACGCGAGTGGGAGAGCTTCGTCGCGGGGCGGGGGCGGCGCTGATACGAGGGATTCGGGAGTATGGGCGGGAGAGAGGGATGAGGGCGCTGTGGGTGGATAGTTGGGCGGGGAATGGGAGGAAATTGGTCAGGTGAGTGAGTCTGGATCGGATGTGGGGGTTGGGAGTTGTTGACATGGTTGTTGACATGCTTGCAGGTACTATGAGGAGCAGGGCTTTGAGGCAGTGGGGGACTGGAGTCATGAGAGGGCGAATAAGAGCCCGTGGTTGGGGACGCTGATGAGGATGGAGATTTAGGTGCGCAGGAGACTTGGTTAGGATGATTGTAAATTTGATGCTGGTGGGCTGTGTGAAAAGTTCAATCCTGTCATGCACTTCAAGGGTGTATTCGTTCTGCGACCTGGATCTGACCTGGATGGGCAATGGTATTTCTAACTCGGGACTACAACTTCTCACCCAATCCAACTCCGCCGAAATAGCCGCATTACGCGTCATCCTAGCTCTCCTAAGGACGGTAGGTGGGAGGAGAGGCCTAGACGGACGGTTCCCCCCCGGGGGGAGGATTGGGATGAGGGCATCCGCGCGGGCGAGAGGGCGCATTAGGATGTGGTGGCTGTCTGGGGCAAGTCTTTCTCGGTCCTCGTAGTGGCGATGCCGGCTAGAGGACCGGTTTGTTTGGAGGCGGCTGCGGAGGGGGTAAAGGGCGCGTGTTGAGCCTTGACGAGACCAGCCCAGCAGTGGGGGCGGTTACTATTGGTACTGACTTTAATGAAGAGCTCTTTGCTCGTCGTTAAGAAAGCTCTGGCTCGTACAATGCTCCAACACGAGCGATGTTTTCACATCCCACATAGACCCCAACCAGCCTCGACTTACTCGGGGCCTTGTATACCCCTCTGTTGCACTCAAGGAGCCGCTGGTAGCTTTCCGCAGATATATCCTCCTTACACCACACATCCCGCCAGTCATACTTGACGGGATGGACCGCGTCATCGATCGAGAGTGTCAGCTTTGTATGCCGAGTCTCTTCATTCCCTGCGACCTCGAACTCGACCGCCACTAGTTCGCGCGCGGTGACAGCAGCCGATAAGCCAATGACACCAGCATCTGGCTCAAAGTGAATCCTTTGGCTGGCGTCCGTATTGACATCGCCAATGCTGGCCCGTGTACCAGAAGTGTAGACAAAAGCAAGCCCGACGATAGTCTGATTGTGGAAGTAGGCCTCGGCGGTGACGATGGTCTCTCTACGGTCATTGTCACTCTGTGCCTCGAAGTACAGTTTCTGTACCTGATCAAAAGGAGCTTGTTGTTCTGGGACCAAGATCGAACGACGCTGGCGTGGGTTTGCATTCGCAGACCTTGCTCCTCGGATAAGATCGGAGGATTCATTTAGTATCCAGGAAATGGCCGTCAGCTTCTCATCGGAGGTGCTATGGTACTGGTATTGCTGCCTTCGGGGTGGAAGGGAGTGAAACTCCGGGGAGCGAAATGTCACACTGCGGGAGTGCGTCGTCTTGATATGGATCGCGACGGCTTGCCCGACTTCCATCCCGGGGCACTCATTGGAGAAGCCTATCGGAGTGAGCCAGATGATCAATGATTGGACTTCCTCATCTGGGGAGAGCTCAAATCTATCATCGAGTTCTTCCATCCATTGGCCCACTACGCCGGGGCTTGCATGGCCATGATACTCCAGCTTCAATCCGGATATGCAATTGGAGGCTCTGGACCGGCCTCGAACGCCCCGGGATGCCCAAATCTGCCGGACGTTCCTGAGTGATGCGTATGTCTGATAGTTGCCCTGATTCGAGCGGTTGATGAAATGTGCGAACCTTTCGTCGTAAAGTCATGATCCAGATGATTGGGTGTCATCGGGTGCTCGTCACACGGTTGAGACTGAACACCAAATCGGATAAACCGGCCCTGATTTCCCTGAGACTAATTAGCTGCCGCAATTCCTGCTCAGGCATGAGTACATACTCTCCATACTTCCCAAAGTGCAACGAATCCAGTAACGATGTTGCTGGGCGGTGAAATTCGTACTGGCTCAATGGTGGCGTTAAGGCAATAATGGAGAGGGGCGAAAGTGGCGGCTCGTTCATAGTTTGTCGAGACCTTGGTCCAAATTAACATCGCACACTAAGACTTGAGGGGGGGGGCATGTGGGAAAAGACCTGCAGGCCACCGAGACCACTTGCTCGGTGGGATCTCCGATTATATTCTAGAATGTCGATTCGATTCACACGCTCTCCCTTCGCACCATCAACAAAAAGAGAAATCTCGCAGCCACCATCAGACCCGAAAAGTGCCGACTTTCCATCCGAGTAGAATATCTCTATTCCAATGAGCGGGTGAGGGCCGGATGCCATGTGAAACGCAAGCCTCGTTAGAGACCCTAAGAGGAGACCTCTTGGACCACCAAAGTCAATATTGGTTAGCGGTTCAAAATGACGGGGAGGTAGAGATGGTAAAAGAGTAGTAAGTGTCAACTCCTCGTGCCTTGGGGGATGCGGTGTCCACAGATGTGACTGTACACGACCCGAATCTGATATATATTGAGAGGGGCCCAGAGAAGCGCTGGAATCCTCGGTCGATGCGCCGACGCCAAGTGAAACGATCTTGAATCGATCTAACCCTGCAAGCAGGCAGTACCGGTTGGGTAGTTCCGGTATTTCAAGGATACCTTGAGCGATTCCCGATCCGCTAGCATCACCAACCCAGTCCGATGAACAGAACTCTGTGAAGAGGAACTTGATTCCTGTGAGACCTTCCGAGCAAAACGCCACACAGAGAGCTTTTATGTGGAGAGTGGATGGCATCTCTATCGAGGTTTCGGAAGTTGGCGTGCAATATCCGACTGGGCCCGAAAGTACGTTTATCTCAGATACAAATCGTCGCGCACCAATCTGAACGATTGAGACCCCTATTCGCTGCGACGGCTGTGGATATGGAGGCATCAATGATTGTGACCTATGGTAAAGCACGCGACATCCTTCATTCAAGGGGCTGTCCATGCCAACAGAGGATATCTGACCGGAAAAAGAGCCAGCCATCTCCATGGAGCGAGGCTGTTTTCCGGCGCTCTGGCCATCCTCTAGTAGAGGATGGCTGCCTTGAATTTGCCTCGAATCCATGACAGAACCGTGTGGACCGGTCCGCGATACAGTGGCTAGCTCTACAAGGGCGGCAATGGGTTCCAGAAGCTGCCGGGTTCTTCTTCGGTTGACTAAAGGCGGCAATTTGGCCCTGAGGGATGCCCGAGTTGCGAAGAAAAGGCGAGACCAGTCTCGTGCAGACGTAAGTCTCGGGAAAAGGAAGTCGGCTTCCTGACCAAGCAAAAACCTACTGCGCCAGTAAGACTGCGGGAGGTTGGTGATGAGAGCTAGACCTCGACACACGAGTCTCGTTCTGAGGACATCAGGAAAGGATAGATATGTAAATATCTCCAAACGCAGCTCAGGCGAGAGCCTGTCGAAGACATGGCGCTGGGGCGGTCCGAGCTTGCCGCGTGTTCCTGTTCTCACACCCTCGGGATACGGGACTGGATGCCGCTTTTCATTGCGTCCAGCGCCCGTCGCACTGGCTTCTAAGTCATCCGCGGAAGGAATCGCGTTGGGGTCCGCATAGAAAGGTGAGCCCAGACCCACTGGCTTTATCCGACCCGACGATACGTGGGTTTGCGCAGCGCCCTGATAGTAGTGGCCGAATTGGAACCAGGAGGCATCGATGCAAGGGGTGCAATAAAGCTGGTGGAAGACCGACGTTGCGATGGTGAGCTCATTCGGGATATAATCCTTCTGCCCATGGCCGAGCCGAAGGAGGAGCACTTTCCAGCATGAGTTGTGAAAACCGAAGCACCAGCGGGATCCCGATGGTCCACACAGTCTCCATTCCTCCAACGCCTCAATCCCCACATCGACATAGGATCGATCGTCGTCCAGCGGCGCGTAGAGCCTGTTCCGACAGCGGACTATCCCTAACCCAGTCATGCTGATCTGGTCAAGCGCGGGATCTGTTGAGTAGACGCCTCGTACTTCTGCGTACCAAGGGCGAACCCGGGTCGGGGGGGACGCTGCGTCGTCATCGTCGTCATCGTCGTCACGGTAGGGATCGGGTAGCAGGATGACCCCGCAGAAAGGGCAGTAAATGTTGGACATCGACTGGATACCGGGCTCGTTCGATAACCAGGGCTAGGGGGGCTCTGAGCGGAGCCTGGCGGTTAAATGGTGATATGGGCGAGGGGAGGGTTGAGGTGAGGATTGATTGTTGATCGTTGGGGGAGAGCCCGACCCAGGACTGACAGACCAAAAAGACCACTCGGCTAAAAAGGTGTCCAGACACCCAAGTAGGCGTGATACTGAATGATACTGGGTTTTGACAGGAACATGGTTTAGTACGGGCGCTTGGCCCTAATCTACCACAACGGAGCCCAGGTTCGAGTCCGCTGCGGCAAGGTGATTGATCCATTGGCCATCGAAGGACAGCCTTCGCCCTCGGCCCTCTACGCATGCGCAGAGTGGAACTCCCACTGGTGCGGGGAGTATTTCAGACGCGATGTGCTACGTGGTTCTGTTTGGACAGGACTGGCTGGCTGCCCCCTTGAACCCGGCGGTTGCATTAGAGGCCGAGGGTAGGCTTCGCCGCTTGGTCGCTCGGTGCCTGCGTGGCAGTGGGCTAGCTACGGTGTTTCGAGTACCCGGTGTTTCGAGTGCGCTGTGTGATTGATTGTCCGTCTTATTATGCAAGAGTCTGATTAAGACTGGCTAGGGATAAGAGGCTCTTCCGCTGAATGTCGATGTTTTAGTTTTACATAGAGGCACTCTTTAGCAGGGCAAGGACTGCAGGAGCCATATCCTATCCAGGTTTGCCGGACTCCAGACGTACAAGGATAAACTGGTTGATCTTACTTTCTCTATATTTTCCCTTGTGGATGTGTAATGCCATATTTTTTGAATGATGGTGCCCCCCTCCTTTCCCCCTTTGTAGAGCATTTACTTCTTCCTCAGGGAAGGCGCAGACCACCAGAAGATTGGCCTGCTAAATAGCTTCCACAGATTCCAGACTACTTTCTTCGCAGTTTTAATTATATCTCCCGGACGCACACCCAACCCGCACGCATTAACAATGACAGACTCTATCCGGAATGTGGATTGGTTTCGCGGGGCTCAGCGGCTCGGGGAGCTCCCACTCGACCACGTGGCTGACACGACGCATGCGATATTTTGTTGGTGCTGACGGATCCCGACCGTGTTGCAAGGAATCATTGGGGCGGAAGCATCGGTGCGATGCTCGAGAGGTGAAGTGGATTTCTCAGGGGGGTAGGGGCTTCCGGACGCTTCACCTGTACACGGCCTAAGACACAGAAGCACGACGCTAGTAGACAATAGATAAGATAGTTCTTGAAGTTATGATATTAATATACTTAAGTGCTAGAGTGCTTAATCTCTTCTAACTAGTAGCCATCTGACAGATTCTTTTGATAATTGCCAGAATATATACTTACTAAGCCAGAGATAGAATAATTATATTACTCTTCTTCATTCAACATATGATTAATCCTTTAAATCAAATTTCAAAATGATCGAAATAATCAAATCAAGCAATAAAAATAGAGCTGTATGAAATATCTAATAAATTCAAATATATCGGTATATTAGAGCTGATTCTATTACTTATCTATATGAGTAAATGTGTGTGTCTATACCCTGAGAGGGTGAAATGTTGAATGAAGGATGCGTGTCTTCTGAAAGAGACACGAATTAGGGCCCCTCGGCCTTCACCCCGGGTCGCACGCCCGCTGTATCTATCGCCCGGAAGCCCGCCTCGACGTGGCAATACCCCTGAACAGTGAGATGGTCTACATGGACAATGTTTGTGCTTCAAATGCGAATGCAAACATCCGCCAACATAACCTGCCAGGAGGTAATCGGTACTGCAGCCTGGAAGGCGCCCAGGGGTGGCACACATCAACGGCCGCCTTGTCCGCCATGTCCGCGACCGTGCGAGGAAGCAATCGCCGCGTCGGAGAAAATGCCACGAGCCAGGTGCAGTAACGCTGCAAATCCTGCCCTTCCTATGCGATATTGGCATCCCGACCGGTAAACGACCATCGCACAGCAAGGTCTAGGTCTTGGCCCTGGCCCTGACGACTGACGAGACTAAAGAAGTTTCATGTGGATTGCGGAGAAGTCGGGGATAGAGTCGGCCATCGAGGCGTAGGCCGAGTGGGCCGGGAAGACCCGGGGGGGAAAAGAGGATCCGCATTCGGTGAGACTTGAGAGGAACTATGGCCTGCCCGCATGACACCCTGGACAGCAGCAGCGATGCAATGTGACCCGGCATCCTCTAGGCAATAATGCATGCTGGAGTCCGTCAGTCCTCGGAGTACGCCGTTCAACTTCACTCAGCATCGTATTCCTGTGGTGAAGCCCAATATGACCCGCGATCAATCCCCGGTCCATGCCCAATGCTGATTGCTAAGGGTATACTCCGTAGTACCAACGGGCTGATCACCGCCTTTCAGGGCAGGCATCGCGTCGTTCGGACAGGCGAACGGCCGAAGGCCGACCAGGGCCAGTCCAGTCGACCTCCACCAGCTTTAGCGCGATCGTCCTGATTCGGCGACAATCGGATTTGGGGGTTCGTAAGCCGAGCGGCTGCTGTTGAGACCCTCAGGGCCAAGCCCCGTCCCAGCGCATGCATACTAGTTATATATTGCAGCCAGCCCCCGCTGCTGGTTCTTGGGGTATCAATCAACCATGTCTGAATCCAAGGAACAGTCGGTCTCTGAGCCAGTCATCCCCCCTGAAGGGGGTGTCAGGGGTTGGATGACCGTGGCGGGTGCTTTTTGCGCCTTGTTTTCGTCTTTCGGCTTCCTAAATGCGTATGCTCAACCCGTCTATCGTTTTTTCGCTTAACCGACTGAGTATTGATCTCACCCAGCATCGGCGTGTTCCAAGCCATATACCAAGAAACCTCCCTAAAGGACTATGACGCCTCCGACATCTCGTGGATTTTTGCCCTCCAGCTGGCCCTCATGTGGGCTCCAGGGCCGCTCTGGGGCCGTGTCATCGACACCTACGGCCCCGTGCCCGTCCTATGGCCGAGCAGCGTTCTCTGCGTGCTGGGGCTCTGCATGACGAGTCTGGCCACCAAGTACTATGAGATTCTGCTAGCTCAAGGGCTCTGCTTTGGCATCGGGGCGGGCGGCGTGTTCACCTCCGCCATGATCTGTGTCGGACAGTGGTTTGTGCGCCAGCGCGGACTGGCCACCGGGATTGCGGTCTCGGGGAGCTCGCTCGGCGGTGTCATCTTCCCGATCTTCCTGAACCGTGTCATCGAGGACGTGGGGTTCTACGGCGCGGTGCGGTATACGGCCTTGCTTGTCGGGGTCATGCTGGTGTTCGCATGCGCCCTGGTCCGGAGCCGCTTGCCGAGGAAGGAATGGGACGGAAAAGCAGCCTGGGTCGACCTGGCCTTGCTGAAGGACAGTGCGTTTGGGCTGTACACAGCCGGGGCATTTTTCATCATGTTAGCCCCCCACCACAATGTGTCCAAATTCCGAACCGCACTGACAACAACAACAACAACAGGTGGGGAATCTGGGCTCCATTCGACTACCTGACCAGCATGGCCGAGAACGCGGGATTCTCATCCACGCTCGCCCTCTACCTCATCTCAATCATCAAGTAGGACAAACCCCCTTCCATCATCATCATCATCATCATCAACCCTTACTGACAGATCTAGCGGCGCTTCTGTCTTCGGACGTACCATCCCCCCTCAAATAGCCGACGTGTTCGGTCACTTCAACGTGCTAACAGTCTGCTGCACCCTCACCGGCGCCTCGATGCTCTGCCTGTGGCTACCCTTCAACTACCACCCCTCGCACGCGGGCATCATCGTCTTCGCCGCCGTCTACGGCTTCGTCAGCGGCTCGGTGGTCTCCCTCCTGATGCCCTGCGTGGCCAAAGTGGGCGACCTGCAGACATTGGGCCAGCGATTCGGGACCTTCCAGCTGGTGATGTCTGTTGCGTAAGTATTCCAACCCTTGTGGGGTTTCTTTTCTGACGACGAACAGGTGTTTGACCGGATTACCCATCATGGGCGCTATCCTGCAAAAGCAGAACTACACCGATTACTCGGGGCTGCAGCTGTTCGGGGGGTGCTGTGGGTTGCTGGGGGCGGCGTTGATCGGGGGGTCCACGCTGATGATTAGGAAGAGGAGGGGGTCGAAGAAGGTGTGATTGTGCATGCATGGAAAGCGTAGATTTCTCCTGGGAGACATATATTAGAATGCTTGGTGTGATATGAATCGTTTAATAAAGTTTCTGCTTGTGGCTGTCTCCTCGGCAGCGTTCTTGAACAATGGTTGCCTCAAGACATAGATAGTTGTGTATAATAACTGCAGTGTTTGCTAGAAGTCCCGCCCACTGGACATTTCAACCCAATCCGCTCAGTATCAACCACCTGTAAATCCTCCCGGCAGTTGACCACATGGCAACCGGACCGGGGGTTTGGGCTTGATCCGTGACTCAGACCAGACATGCAACCTGCAATTGCTCTCTGATATCCTGGGAGAGGAATACAATAGCTTCCCTCCCGTCGGGAACACAAATCTGTACGCGAAGGACGCTACTGTATCCTCCCTCCCTGGAAGATGGTGAGTCTTGGCTGGGTGCACCTGAGGGGAATAATAACAACTTAATAGTAAGTTGCAAAACAAGGCAAACGAAAGATCTGTAAAGCGGGAAAATCCAGGTTTGACAGATCTGATGCATACTGATGAGCGCCTGCCAGGTAACTCGTCTTCCCCTCTGGTTGTTCCATAGCGAACACACCATGTCCCACCTGCTTCTAGCTAATTGAGATGCATACATCATCCATCATGACAGTGTAACAAGACATGCCACCAGGTCGAAGTCCCTCGTATCGCATGACGTCAGGCCTCAATCATGTTCAACCTCGAGCATGGCGGGACCGGGATGGTTCATTGGTTAGTATATAAGTATAAGTACGAACCCCGCCTTCCCTACACACGCAATCCCCATTATCTCCCACCAGCGCAATAACGCTGCCACCAACTCAGTGAACCCAACTAAGATGAAGACCATTCTAGTCATCGGCGGCACCGGTGCCCAAGGCATCCCAGTCGTCAAAGGTAGGCACTCCAGCCCCCATCCCATCCCAACTCCAACTCCAACTCCAACTCCATACTAACCTCCACCCACCCTTAGCCCTAGCCACCAACCCAGAATACACCATCAAAATCATCACCCGCGACACCACCTCCCCCTCAGCGCAGTACCTCACGACCCTCCCCTCCGTAACCCTCATCCCCGGCACCCCGTACTCCGAACCCACCCTCCACTCTGCCCTCAGCAACACGGACATCGTCTTCGCAAACACCAACGGCTTCGCACTGGGCGAAAAAGCCGAGATATACTGGGGCATCCGACTATACGAACTATGCCGGCAACACGCCATCTCCCACTTCATCTACGCGGGGCTGGAATACGGGTCCAAACTGGGCAACTTCCTCCCGAAATACCGATGCGGACATCTAGACGGAAAGGGGAAGGTGGTGCAGTTTCTCTCGGCGCAGCCGACCGAGCCGATGAAGTGGTCTGTGATCACGTCGTGCATGTACATGGAGGCGCTGTGGGAGTTTCTGCGCCCGTATCCGGATCCAGATGCAGACGAGCCCGGGAGGTTGGTATTCGCTGCGCCGCTGGGCGAGGCGCGGTGTCCGCTGATTTGCCTCGAGGATTATGGGCGATATGTCCGGTGGATGGTGGAGAATGCGGAGCAAAGCAATGGGTTGGAACTGCACGTGGCAACAGAGGATGTCAGTTGGGAGGAACTCGCGGCCACATTCAGCGAAGTGACCGGCAAGCGGGCGGTGTATAAAGACGTCACTCTGGACGAGTATTTCAGCAGCGGGATCTTCCCGGATCCCGAGGCGAAGATTGGAGGGAAGGAGGCCGGGAGGGATGATGCGACGTTGATGAGCTATCGGGACAATTTCTCGGGGTTTTGGAATACCTGGAAGGATCAACTGACGCAGAGGGATTATTTGATCATGGATCGGGTTCTCCCGGATAGGGTGAGGAGTGTGAGGGAGTGGATGGGGTTGGTGGGGTATGATGGGGGTATAGGGGGGTGTTGAAGGATTATCAGGGGAAGGGGAGGAGGCCGGTGGAGTAGGGTTCTGGGAGATCTCTTGTGGGGAGGATGTATTTTCTTGATATTGCTCGATCATTCTCGCATTTGGATCGGACGACGGAAGACCAGGATAAATTGAGTATTATGGGACTACCCGCTATGTATGAATTCTGCAAGCATCCCCATCCTGACCTGTATTCATCACGGCCAAAGTACAAGCTAAGGTAGCTTTGCGAATTGGCATTCAAACGACCCGCTACAGCATCGCCAACCAGCCGACCACCAACCTCCTCCCCAAGGGAACCCTCATCTTCCCCTCCGTCTCCAAACTCCGGCCCCTCCTCACCCTCAGCACCCGTCCAATATCCATATAACTCTCCACCGTCGCCCTCACCGGCTCCCTCACCCCTGCAGGAAGCCACTCCACCGCTCCCCGACTCTCCCAATAGAGCCCCTCCGCCTTATCCAGCAACCTCTCCTGCAAACCATACACAGCCGGAGAATGCGGACAGCTCAAAATATCCCCCGGGGATAGCCCTGCCTCCTCCAACCAGGAGGTAGGAACATAAACCCTGCCGATGACAGCATCGCGATGGATATCCCGCGCGATATTGAGGCACTGTAGTGCCTTGCCCATGACCTCGCCCGCGTGTCTGATTTCCGCGGCGCGGTGTGGGGGATTCTCGTGACAATGCGAGAAGATGATGTCGAGGACGAGTGTGGCGACGGTGCTGGCTACGTAGGAGGAGTAGCGGTCCAGGTCTGTTTCTGTGGCGATGGGGAAGGTATCTTGCTTGGAGGTGAAGGCGAGGTCCATTTCGAAGCCTTTGAGGAGGTCGTGCAGGGGGGGGTAGCTCATTCGAGACAAGGGGACGAGGTGGATTGCGCGACGGAGGGTGGTGAGCTTGGTTTGTGCGGCTGGGTCGTCAGCTTGACTCTTGCATGCTCCAGCTTCCCCTTGCGCGGTTTCTCCTCTGTTGCGTCGGGAACAGTTCACCTCCCCGTCGAGGAGACTCCTGCACTGCATGATCCAGTACTGCGCTTGACTCTCATCCGCCGCTTCATCGATAAGATCATCCATGACCCGACAGAAAGAGTACCTATCACCATCCAATCAGACCGTGCCGACCATGCAAAGAGGAGAGAGATACAAGAAGATGAGATCCATCCGCAGCTGTCCCCGGAACAGCGCGCTGCCCAGAAACATACTCTGGCTTCTGTCCTTCAGTCGGGCCACGGCCTGGCTGAGATCCGATATCAGACCGCGGTCAAAAGTGACTGGTTGAATCAGGCCGAGGACTGTCCGTTTCAGCGAGCTCTCTGCAGAAGGGGTAGAAAGAACCCGATACTCTTCGAGCGCGAAGGCGTAGTCGAATCCGACCAAGCCACCCACAATCATCAGATTCGTCGCGAGGAAGAAGATAGCTTCTCTGTGGCTGTTAGATATCACAGACCCTTTGAAACAAGATGTTGTGGCAACGCACTCCACATCCAATCCATACGCCTGATACCCCAACTTCGTGCCGGACTCAATCTTCCACGTCCCAGCAGCCAGTGCGCGCGCGTCCGCAATCCATAAAAGCGCCGTCGGCAAGCAGACCGACACAGCGATAGGCCTCCAGGGCAGAGCAACAAGAAACGCATACGAAAGGATCCTGCGACCATCAGCCACGCTCAAACCCAACACCAGACGACAATACCATTGAAACAGCAACATCGGAGACACCCAAGTGAGAATCAATCCCAGATAAGTCCCTCTTCCTCCCGCCAGCAGACACGCCGTTCCCGCGCCCAGCACCCCCAGTAAGACCAGCGCCCCCAGATCCCGGACGCGTTTCGTCTCCGCGCATGGCCGCAGGTAAATGGGTCGCACGAGCGCTTTCGTAAGGATACAGTATCCCACACTTGTCGTATAACTGTGCACGACGAAGAAAAAGACCTCCTCGACCGGAATGCCGAGGAGGGTGGGTCCGAGCACGGCGGTGGGCGGATAGGTCCAGATATTCGCGTCGATGAGGTGCGAGTCCCATGGCGCTGTTGCGAGGACGGCTATCTTTTTGACCCCGTCAGATTGCCGCCATAGTCGTTCGTCATCACAGAGGGAAATGTCATGGAGAGAGGAAGATACAGTAACCAAACTTGCAATCTTGAAGACATCCTCCCTCGTGAAGAAGGGGTAGTATACCACCGACAGCGCCGTCACTAGAGGGATGGTGTAGGTGCAGTGACTGGCCACACACAAACATATTAGCCTTGCCTTCACTCTGTTGATGGATGACTCTAGATTCAAGTGATTAGCTGGGGGTGCGGGTGGTCTCACAACAAACAATAATCCAACCCCATCGTGTCTGTCTTCCCTCAGGATGCCCGGGAGATCTAGGGTTTTATGTCATGTCACCTCAGAGTGATGTCGGCGTGTGGTGTGGGTCTGCGCATCATCGCTGCAGGACATCCGTCATGTGAAGGTCTGCGGGGTGGGTGGTCTGATCGATAATCAAGGAAGGGTTGGTTTGGGGGGAAATAGGAGGAAAGGTACAATGGAATGATGTCTGGGCTGGAAGTGTTGGATTTAGAGTCCGCCAATGGAATGTCGGGGTTGTGCATCTATTCACTTATTGCTTACAGCAAAGAAATTACCTGCACCTGGGAGTTGCTGAGTATGATAGGTTACCTTCATCCTCAAATTATTAATGCCGTTCAGAGAGATTAGAGATTAGATACTATATAAGAGATTAGATATTAGACACCTCAAAAGCTGTGCGCTCTGCTCCATCATAGTCCAGTCAAAGGACTCGAAGACACCACACCACATCCAAACAAATCCCACCCCCAAACGCCCACCAGAGCCAACAGCCCAGCAAAACAACAACAACCCACCCATAAACCCGCAAATATCTACTCCCTCCCACATCTTCCTCCCTTGTCGCCAAAATCTCCTGACAAACAATCCCACTCCCCGCCAAACAAACCGGCACCCCGGTCCCAGGATGCGTACTCGCGCCCACAAAAAACAAGTCCCGAATCCACGGATGACAGATCCTGGGCCGAAAGCTCAGAACATTGAAAAAGGAATGCGAGAGGCCGAGAATCGCCCCCCGATCAAGATTGTACTTGGCTTGCCAGGTCCGCGGGGTCTCGATTTGCTCGTTGACGAGATGGTCGCGCAGGGATGCGCCGGTTCGGGCTTCGATGGTGTCGAGGATGAGAGTGCGGGTTTGGGAGATTGTATTGTCCCAGGAGGGTTCCGGTGTTTTGGGACTTTCCTTGTTGGAGGCGGGGGGATCTCCTAGATGTCCGACGGGGACTAGCACGACCACCGCGTCTTTTCCTGCTGGTGCGGCGGACGGATCTAGTCGACTGGGAACGTGGACGTAGAAGGATGGATGGTCGGGGATATGGTTGTCTTTGAAGATGGCGTCGAAGCTTTCGCGGTATTCATCTGCCAGGAAGACGTTGTGGCTCTTCAACTCCGGGAAAGTGGTGTCGAGCGACCAGTAGAAGGAGATGCTGCTGCAGGATGTCTGTCTCTTCTTGAGGGTTTCCGCGTATACTGATTTCGGGAGGAGATGGTTGTACGCGTATGTCAGGTCGGCGTTGACGACGACGACATCGGAGTGTAGAAGTTCCCCAGACTGAAGACACACTCCACTGGCCGACTTCCCATCCGGGGAGAGATGTATCGACGAAACGGGGGAATTGAGTCGATAGTCAACTCCCAGTCTTGTACCCACTCGGGCGAGGGCATCTAGCACCTACACCACGTTAACATCATCCATCAAACAGAAAGCAAGACCAACCCCGTAAAACCCCCCAGCCGGATACCAAATCCCATCCGCAAACTCGGTATACTGCAGCAGCGAATACGTCCCGGGGGCCTCAAAGGGATTCATCCCCAAATACATACTCGCAAACGTCAACGCCTGCCGCATCTTCTCCGAGCGAAAGTACCGAGCAACACGCGAGCAGATACTCTCGAACGGATGCAAGCTCCACAGCACTCTCAGCAAACCCGGCCTGAGCATGCTCCAGAGACTCGGGAAATTCCTCTGCAGGACATGCTCGCACGAGAGATTATAATGTCGTCCGGACTCCACCATAAATCGCAGGAACCCTTCAAACCCAGCCCGCCCCTCATGTTCTTCAATCTGAGCCTTCATCTTCGCCAGATCAGTCGTGAGATCGAGGGTATCGTGATCAGCGAACCAGATGCGGTAGTTAGGCTCGCATTTCAGCAGGTCGATGCCTTCGGCTGCCAGAGACGTGTCGAGGTCGTGGAATATCCCGTGGAAGTATTCGGGCATCAGGAGGAGGGAGGGACCTTGGTCGAAGCGCTGAATGGTTAGAATGCGTCGTGTGTTGGGAGTGGGAGAGACACACGTAGCCATTCTGATGCAGCAGGGAACATCGTCCGCCGATGTCCCCGTTCTTCTCCACGACTGTCACTTGGAAGCCGTTATTTGCGAGTCGCGCTGCGACGGCGACTCCGCCGGCTCCGGCGCCTGCCAGTGTCGGTGTCAGTATCAGGATCAGTGTCAGTGTTAGGGGTCATGGGGTGTGGAGGGGATGGTGGGGATTACCGACTACAATGGCGGTGGGGGAGGCCATCTGAGGAACCTGTTTGTTGGAAGGACACCGACGCAAACGAAGAACTCCCTCTCAGGGTTTCTTGGACAATTGTCAATTCAGGGAATCGATCCCGCGAGATGAATTCCGATGGAGGTTCCAGACGCATGACACTTACAATACACCACCTATGTCACGACGACGGTCTCGACCACCACAAAGCACACGCCACATACGCACAGCATAACACATAAATTCATCACCCAGCCAACCTATATCCACAGTGTACCATCCACTCTATATACATCCCCGTCTATTTCTTCCCAAACCTCCTCACCGACCTCTCCCCCACAGCCTTCTCATTATAAATCGCCTTCACACTCGGATGCTCCCTCGTGGCCTTGGACCAGCGCGCGAAATCCGCATTCTCATTCAACGACGCCGTCAAACTACCGTCGAAGAGCCCATACTCCGGCTTCGCCAGCGTCTCGAAGCGCAACAAGAACCCCCCCAGCAAGACCTCCGCAAAGGTCAAGGTCTCGCTGCCCCCGAAGAAGGGACCGGTGCCCTGGGCGTTGGCGTAGATCAGGGGGGCGACCTCCTTCTTGAGCGCGGCGGCGAGGGCCTCGGTGGCGGACTTGCGGTCGGCGTCGGAGGCGGCGCGGATGGGGACGTGGTACAGCGGGGCGACTTTGCTGTTGTAGGCGTCGAAGAAGAAGGCGATGCGGGCGCGTTGGAGGGCGCCTTCGGGGGTGTTGGACGGGGGGAGCAGGTGCGAGGGGTAGGCGTCGGCGAGGAATTGGGAGACGATGGCGGATTCGGTGAGGATGGTGCCGTTGTAGGAGAGGGAGGGGACCAGGCCGCGCTAGGAGGGAATGAATTAGTTAATTAGCTGGGGGATGAGATGGGAGGACAGGGGAGGACAGGGGAGGACAGGGGAGGACAGGGGAAGACATACAGGGTTGATCTCCAGATACCAGGGCTCGCGCGGCACGTCCAGGTCGATGGTGACCTCCTCGAAATCGAGGCCCAGCTCCTGCAGGGTGACGTGGGCGCGCTGGGCGTAGGGGCAGCCGCGGTTGGTGTAGAGGATGATCTTGGGGGCGGCCATGATGTATGTATGTATGTATGTATGTCTCTTGGAATTGGGAATGGGAATGTCAAGCAAGAGGGCCAAGCAGCGGGGTATCGGCGCAATATATAAGTTAGATAGATAGCATGACGCCCGCTCGGGTGTAAAAGTGGGGCGGGTCGGGATTTGGCGATTATTAATGCATCAGCTCAGTTCTCCGGATATGGCATCATCCACATCACCACATTTCGGGCGTGGATGAGGGATGAATGGAGTATTTGTCGCTTGTCGCTTGTTACTCGTTCCTCGTTCCTCCTTCCTCCTTCATGGATGCTATATGGCCTCCAGGATGATGATGATGATGGAGTCCGCCCTGGCAAGAACGCCCTCACATCCACATCCGCTCGACCGGACCCCCCACATCAGGGCTATCTCTCTCCGCCGCAATCACAATCACCATCCCATTTGCCGATGGCGACATCCGCCGCAGCGAATCCCCCCCGTTCGTATCGCAGACACTGTCCCATCCTCCTCCAGAACCCCCTCAACCACCATCTGTCCTCTACCTCCGCACGATCACTCAATTGATGTGCCATTAATATTATTAATACGATCCCTGGGTTATAATATAACAGGATGATCTTGTCTCAAAAGTCCACTTCCAGGATAGTCTTGGTGCCATGTACCTCTACCTCCTCCACACGGTGTTTATGGGTAGGTAAAGGAGTGCCCTAGTGAATGTTTGCGGCTGTACAGAAATCGAGTACTCCGTGGTGGCGATGCACGTAGGACATTCCGGGCATTCCGTGCGTGGTTTCTGCGGGAGCATCAGGTCAGTGAAGGAACTAAAGGAAGGATCATAACAAAGAACTCTGGCTCACCTGGTAGCAACATCATATATTCTTGAGGTTAGATTGACAATGACAATGCTCTACATGGTACTACGCTAGAATCGACAAGACATAAAGGCAACTGATCAATTCTAGACTCTGGGGTATATATAATCTGTCTAGGTCTGACATGTCCCCAACACAAAGGCTGAAGGGGGGGGGGGGGGGGGGGGGGGGCAGGCCATCAAACATAAAAGAGGGGTATTCTCGCGCTCAATGCATGGACGAATGCAAAGGAAAACTCTCATCCTAAACAGGGTACGGCATCGACTCCCGTCGAACCCGACTGGCCCTGCGACCCGCGTGTCTCTCGCGGTCCGCAGCGAGGGTCTGCGCGAACTTGCTGCGATGACGGATTTCAGGACCCTTCCAGTAGAAAACGTAGATCGGGATAGCCACGAGCGCGGCAATGCAGCCGAGCAGGGTGCTGCCCCACGCCAGGTGGAACTTGCCGCCGATGTTCTCGTACAGCGGGGTGGCATACATGGTGGCGATGCCCGCCAGGAAGTCTCGCGCGAAGCCGTTACCCCCGGTGGCCGAGGCGGAGTACTCGCCATACGCGGCGACCATGTAGTCGATCGTGGCCATGTAGATGGAGTAGTTGGCGATGGCGATCAGGCAGGCGAAGATGAGCGGGGCGATCCACGGGGCATAGGCGGGGCCGATGGAGGTCCATGCGAAGCCGAGCAGACCGATGGGCTCGAGAGGGGCCAGGAACAGGAGTAACAGGAGTCGACGCTCAGCCAGACGGGCGGCGTTGCCGTCGCGCTTGCGGATCTGGCGCTGGCGCCAGATATCAGGCAGGAAGATCAGGTATGCGAGGATGTAACCCAGGAGGATGGAGCAGAAGGCGAGGCCGTTGGTCAGGGTGTCGAAGCCCCACTGGTCGAACACGAGGGTGAAGGACTCGGTGAAAGTGAAGATCAGAGCATCGGAGAAGCCGGACAGCAGGGACAGGCACAGGACGATGGGCTCGCGGACGAACATCTCGAAGGGACGCTTCCAGATGCGCAGGATCTCTTTGACGCTCAACCGGTTCTCCTTCAACTCGTTGGGGCCGTAGATGTTGGGGTCTTCGCCGGACTTGCGACGACGCTTGGCTTCGCGATCCAGCAGGATGGTGGCGCGGGTTTCAGGGACTATCAGGAGGTGCAGGACTTGCGTGAAGCCGCCGAAAATCAGCTGCACCCAGAACACCCAAGGCCAGGAGAGGTACTGGCCGATGAAGCCACCGAAGACGGGTCCGATGGTGGAGCCGCCCACGGAGGAGAGGACGACGTATGCAACTGCGAAGCCCTGATCGTCGATCTCCCACATATCAGCGGTCATGCCCAGGGTGACGGACCCGCCGGCGGAACTGAGCCCGCCCAGGATGCGGCACACGACGATGGTGCCGAAGTTGGGTGCCAGGGCACAGGGGATCTGCCAGATGTTGACCAAGAACAGACTGAGCTGCATGATGGGCCAGCGCCCGAATTCCTCACTCCAGGGCGCCCACAGCTCACAGCCAAATGCATAGGCGATCAGGAAGACGGCCTGGCCAACGCGGGCGGCCTGGGCGCTGACGCCGAACTCGTCCTCGATGCCGGTGAGGGCATCCGAGTACACGCCCGTGTTGAAGTTCATGGACATCTGGACTATGAAGACGACAGTCAGGATGGTCCACTTCTTGTACCAGGGGAAGCAGAAGCCGAGCTTCTCGTAGCAGTCATCCTCGGTCAGCTCCCGCTTGCCGTCGGCGCGCGGCTTCTTCCTGGAGGAGACATCGCTGTCGCTGCCAGACGGGGAGTGGGCGTGTTCAGCCTGGAGGGCCGTTGGGGCATCGGATTCTGATTTGCGGGTGCGACCCCTGCTCTCGTCGGGGAAGTTGGACTTCTTCTCCTCGTATAGCTGGGGATCGGCAGTGGCGCCGTCCTGCGGTTGATTCTCAGAGGCCGCCATGATGGTGGTCGATCAAGTGATTGTCGGGGAAATGTCAGATTCTGGATACCCAGGCATGCGGGGGTGGAGATGCAAGAGGAGGAGGAGGAGTAGAGCTCAAGCACCAATCAATACCTGGAAGGGTAGACAGAAGACGAGGATGATTGGATTGCAGATGATGCTGGAGTGACGACTGACATCGAGGAGGGATGGGAGGCGTCTTTATAGATCGCTGATCCCTCCTGGCCTGCCTGATACTATCTTTGCACATCTTTTCTCTTGCAGTCTTCCGGCCGGCTGCTGGCTGGTTTGCGCACATGGCTGCCGTCAGTGGCGTGACGTGAGGGCATCCTGCGGGGGATGGCCATGGCGAATGACACGCCAGGGACGGTCGAACAGGGAAAGCAGGCAGGTTCCAGGATGATTCGCCATGTCTGGCCTCTGGCCCAACAACCGGGATGATAGTGAAGATGTCGGGGTTGGCGGAAGAGATCTTCTCCCGTTTGCGTCATAGTTCCGGCCCGTCAGCGAGGGCCTGGAATCGGACTCGGCTGTAGTCGCCGGAGGCACTTGCTATTGGCCACCATTGCAGCGGACGCGGACCATGGCTGGATCGAGGGCTGAGATACGCGGATGGCCTCTGATTTGCGATGGGAGTGGTACCGAGTCGAGGTCGGGTTGCCATACGGCCGGTGATCGGGACGGGGGATGCCCGAGCAAACCTTGTCGCGATGTCTCTTCGGCATGAGGGAGAGGAGAGAAGAGACAGTCAGGGCAGCCTGACGAACACACGGAACCGTGGTGGTTTCCGGGGTCAGCATGACGTCAGTCTTGCATTCACGCCTTTTGGGGCATTTTTCGCTGGCAGTCTGACTGTCTGACTGTCTGATAGGCAGGCTCTAACTACTAACTACTAGTCGGGTTACCCACTACTACTAACTCCTACTGCCTCCATGATTCATCCACCCTCCTTCCCCAGCCTGTTCTCCGCGTTCCCAACTACTCCGTATCAGCCTAGCACTTTCCCCCCTTCCCCATGACGCAGGGCTCTCCTTGCGCCTGTCAACTGCCCTCTTCGACGCCATGCCATCCTGCCCATATGCCGGTCCGATAACATACAACATACCCCTGATATCAACTCCCAGGCTTATCCCTTGGCTTCCGCCTAATTTCGGCCGGCCAATCCGCGCCGTGTCAGACCTGCACCCATTCCGTCCTCTGGCTTCATCCCGACTCCGATGCAACCCGACGCCACACCTAATATTGGCCCGACGGATCATCGGTCGGTCGATACATCGCACCCACAATATGGAGAGTGCATAGACCATAACAACCCAACGACAACACAACATAACTACCGTCAGGATCCCCCGTCTCCCGCGAGTCGGAACTCACAGTACTCCGTTCAGAGTACCCATCTCGCGCAATCATATCAATCCTTGGTGGCATCAGCATCAGCATCAGCATCAGCATCAGCACTGTTACCAGCATCACCCCCCCGCCCCCGATGCCCGCACTAACCCGGGAACCGCAGCCAGGATGTGCCGACGGCGGCCCTCATTGACCAACAGCGACCCACTCTGCATCATCGCGCCCTCATCCAATTCCACACAGGCCTGCAAAACCAGTTCTGCCCGGATCAGCCTCTGGACGGGCTTATCATATGATGGCCGACTGCTGTCTCAGCCGACTAACCTTCCTCCGTCGTCGTCCATCGCCCTCTCATTCGGCCCCTCAAGCCTACCGGACCGCGTATGCGCCGGTTTGCACACTGAGTAGCAGTGAATAGGGTTTGCATCCCTCTACCGTCAGGTCGCATTCATGCGACACTCTACTCCACTGGCAGAAAAGCCGCATCCCACGCGGCAGGAAGACCCATTTGCATCACCATGAACATACATAGCCCTGTGTATCGGGCAAGATTTGTTCTGTTGATTGACGGTGAACCTGACAGACCAAAAAGACCACTCGGCTAAAAAGGTGTCCTGACACCTAAGTAGGAGGCCTGATACTAAATGATACTGGGTTTGACAGAACCGTTCAGGTAATGATTCTCCCGATGGCAATCCGACTCCGATCCCAACAATAGTCTCGTCTCCGGATCATGCCAAACAGGATATCATCCCGTGCCCTGGGGTATACTACTTCCTGACCCTCGGAGATACTCACGTCCCAGTTTACCGATTATTTAGCCGAAGTAGCAGGTGAGTACGTCAACCACTTCTCATGATAAGCCTTTTCTCAGTAGAGCTCTCTATCCGACACTTTTCCTCCGTATGCCAACAGCAAACCCCAGCAGCCAATCCCCATCTCCGTGGCACAAACCGACAACCACACAACCACACCAGCCAACAGACATCAACCACCCGCATCTCCTCCGTAACGCACAAGCATTGCCCCATGCATCCCGTCAGATTATAGCCCCCCCTCTATCCCCCATCCCGGTCCTGGATGCCGATTCCCTCGGAGGAGGCCTCGGAATCACATCGACCAGCTGCCTGTTCCAGCCTAGTCGGGCAGCTCCGATTCTCCGCTTTTCTCCGGACTTCTACCCCGTGGAGGGCTGGCCGTACATGGGGATCGATCGTCTTACAGCGAGCATGCCTGTCTGGACCCCATCAAAGTTACTTTATAAAATTCCCCTCTCTGCCATGCACTCCTTTATCAAAAAACTATTTTACAACATATCCTAAAAACCGTCCAACACAACCCTTCCCTTCTCCATTGATTGGTCGGCTTTGGACATGGTTCTACTCCCCCCGTCCCACGGAATGATGCCCCCGGATAAACATAATTCGGCACCTCCCGACACCCTGCCCAAAAGCATGCACCTGCATGGTCACCACCCCCGGGTGGACAATGGCCTCGCCCCGCCTGTCCAGCTCTGTCCAGGTCTCGGGAGTTCAGATTGATCATTGTATGCAGTATCGGCCGATGTGGGATCTAGCGGGTCAGCAGTAACGGGTCTTCGGCTTTTAACTTTTTTTTTTTTTTTTTTAGTTTCTGTTCAGAGTTATGACCGAGTATATGGAATAAGAGGGTGTGTGGGAGAATGTCGGGATCTGAGGTTCTACTGCTTATTTCTTTAATAGTCATTTATTCCGCCGGGGTTCGGGCTGGTCTGCTGACTGACTGATTGTCATTAACTATGATTTGTTTCCGCGCGGTTGTTGCTGGTGACACTGACACGGCTAGGACGGGATAAAGGATGGGGGTGTTCTGATTTGGAGATATCTTCTATCATGGAGGGTCTTTTCGGCACTGGGAGAAGAATAGGAAGACAGGAATATTTGAACTGCCTCCTACCACACTAGACATGCGAAGAGAGCCCGATCACTGAGTCCGAAGGGAGGGTGAACACCCACCCGACTCCAATGATTTTATCTCTCCTTTCTGTACCAACTGATCACAGAGAGCAGATCCCCTTTAAAACCACCCTGATCATCTCACCAAGCCCGGAGATGACTCGGCGCGGACATCGCATGGAACTCCGCGTGTGTTTAGGCGACGGGGATCCACGCCCCCCTCTGGTCGGGGAAGGAGGACCGGGACCGGTCTCACTTGCCATTACATAGTGGCCAACAGTTTTTCTGCTCTGTTTGTGGTTTGTAGGTGGCGATATCTCGAGGAGCAAAACACCACTCATTAGAACCAAGAGAGCTATCTAGATCTGAAACATCATCCCATCCCATCCTCACAAATATCCCCCCACACCCCGTCTCCTGACCCTTCCGCTGCTCCCGCTCTACACACCACGCGACGGCAGACATGACAAAAGGCATTAACATTATTCTAAGAATATAATACACCATGGTGAATACATTGGCGCATGAGATCCGCGCACCAAGTCTGTAAAGTATATATACCGAACGAGAAGTAAACGAGACACAGTCCCCCGGGGAGGGAGGGGATGAGGGGATGTACATCCCAAGCCCTCACAGAGAGCTCAAAGCCACGACGGCAGCGACGGCGGCGACCAACGAGCCCTGCACCGCCCACTGACCGTGCGAAGCAGCGGCACTCTTACTCGAGCCGGAGCTGGAGCTGGAGCTTCCGGACGAAGAACTCGAGCCGGACGAACTATCCGACGAACTGTCCGACGCGGTGACCTTGCTACCGGCGGTCATGTTCAGACCCGTATCCTCGAGGTTGTTCAGCACGGTGGAGTTCCCAGACAGCTCGATGGTGCTGGACAGGCCGGAGTCGCTGGTGTAGACGTACGAGACGTCGCCGTCGTCGATGGTGCCGGCGGGCGCGGGATAGCACTCGATGGTGATGTTCTTGTACTGGGCGTAGAAGTAGCCGTACTCCTCGATGTCGGTGCTGTTCCAGTCGATCAGCCCGCCGGCCCATTCGATGGTGCCGAGACCCTCGGCCTCGGAGCCGCCGGGCCAGAGGGACATTTCCAGGCGCGACGGGGTTTGGGGGTACTGGTAGCGGCCGGCGGTGGCGTTGTAGGTCGAGTTGCGCGTCAGCGTGCGCATCGTCACGCCGTCAATCTGCCATTCCAGCGTCTCGGGCTTCCAGTCGATCGTGTATGTGTGCCAGTCGTCGAAGGTGTCGCCGTCCGAGACGGCGGCGGTGACTTCGTTGGTGTCTAGGGTTGTTGGTTAGATGAGTGGAGGTGATGGGGAGGGGGGAAAGGTGAGGGGACGTAAGGACGTACAGTTTTCAATTCCCTGGAAGTAAAAGTTGGTCTGGACACTGGTGAGGTTGTAGCCGACCCACTCGTAATCGATCTCGTCCTCGTCGTCGGACATCAGGATGAAGCCGGTGATGACACCCTTGGTGCGACTGCTCTTGATCGAGGCCGAGATCTTGCCGTACCAGATGTAGTGGTTGAGGGCGAACAGGCTGCCGGTGGTGCCGTTGGGCATGGTCAGCCACAGGCTGTCGTTCTGGATCTTGGGGTAGCCGCTGTACACCCAGTCGTATTCGGTGGCGTTGCCGAGGTAGTGATCGTAGAGGATGGCGTTGTCCATGTTAGTGAAGGTGTAGGTCTGGTTCTTGCAGATGGGCTCGGGCGCGCAGGAGTCGAGCGAGTAGGAGTCGAGGGGGTTGCAGCCGCCCAGGCAGTAGGTGCCGACACCACACATTCCGCCTATTGTCAGGGTTAGATGGGGGTTTGTTCAGGTGAGGGGGCCGTTGGGATACCACTTAGGGCAACTCACTGTAGCAGCAGGGATAGTCCTCCGGGCACTTGTCGTCGGCGCTGCAGGTCGGGGCCGTGGCCTGGACGGTGGCCGCAGCCAGGGCGGCCAGAAAGAGGGTCGCGACGGGACGCATTGTGAGGTGTCTGGACTACTTGTATTTGTTGGACTGAACCTTCAATGCACTGCAGCCAGAACAATAGGGTTGAACAAGAACGTTCAAACCACCGTTAACGAGCGTGGTGGGCTACAGTGCAAAGATGAAACGGCAGCGGAGTTTCAGTTGTGAACAATGTTCCGGGGCGGGCTTATCATTATATTGGTATTGATTATTATGGGGGGGGGGGGGGAGGAAAATCACTCATGTCATCGATTCTCCATCGCGACCGGGGGGGGGGAGGGACAACCGGGAGCCGGAAAAGGGGAACGTGTGGGACAAGGCGACAGCCAAAGGGCAGTGGAGTGAGAACAAGCGAACGGCCGGAGACGGAGAAATCTAGAATACTAGATAGATACATAGATATCGGGCCAGGGCTTGCGACTAGGTAGGCCGGCTAGCCGAAGGGGGACCGACTGCAGACTGGTGGCAGTTCCTGGCGGCGCTAGAGGCGATGCTACTCCCATACTACTGAATCATGCTGCAGGTGAGCCAGATGATGCTGCCCGGGACGAGGGCTGTCCATTGGCCGTGGTGCAGGGCAGATAAGTGAGTGGGCAGGATGCGAGAGGGCCATTGGTGCGACCATCAGAGTTCACAGGTTGACGGATAAACAATCGACTCGCGCAGCTTGATAGGCAGCAGGATTTGCTGGGGACAATTGGATTGCTGCGGTCAAGCTTTGCTAGTGCCGCCACTGGGGCGCTCAATCCGAGCTATCTCAGGGGCATTGCGCGTCCTGTGTCATAAGGTGCCTGGCGGGCGCTGATCCCGATGATGATGCTCGAGGCGCAGCTGCTTGTTCCAGCATAACCAGGTGCATCGCTGACTCGGGACGTCGCCTCTTGACCCTGAACAGGGTTCTCGGGTATCTCCCCCTGATGGTGGTGTTGAATTGCTGCAGAGAGAGAGTGTGTGTGTGTGATGGCTGAGCACTGGGAGGAGGCCTCGGAGCGCTCCCGAGGGGCCGAGGATGACCAGAATCTTCCGCCGGTGGGTCGGTGGACAAAGGAAGTGACTAACGCCGTTACTAAAAGCCACCTACCAATCAGTTGCCTGACGCGAGAGTGGACTCAAGACAACAGTCTCGGTTGCCAGTTCCCTGTTCCTACCTCCCTAACTATCTAAGTACTTTCTATCAAAGTAGTACTTCCACACGTGACCCAATGCAGGGCTAATCTGATGGTCTAATCTGATGTTCAACTCGGATCAAGCCATCCATACGATATCCGATCCCCAAATTGCCCTCACGTCCGTGTCAACACTGTCATTGATTGACAGGAGCAATCCCACCATCTCGGCCGGTAGGTAGCCCATCCCCCCAATGCTCAAAATCCCAAGTTTTTCCGAGAGCTCGGATGGAATTCCAACCGCCATCACCAAAGCTTGGCTAAACCTTATCCGTGCTGTCCGTCCCCAATGCGTGTCTTACCCGATGATGTATTTATATATACACGCCCTAATCCACCGTCGCAGTTAAGCCCCAATACTCGACAGAGCAGAGATCTGCTAGAAAGACATCGTAGGCAGCGAAGCAGTCGAAAATAGTAGATAGTCCACCCCCTCTTTCCGCCGCTAAGGAACCCAACCGCAGCTACCCGCTGCCACACGGGGTGAGTATATCAATCGATCAAATCATCATAACCTGATCATACCCCGTACCTGCGCAAAGTTTTCCCGCTCGCGCAACCAGCCAAGGTAGAACGAATAACCGCACGCATCATGGTTCATGGCTGCCTCCGAGGCCCCCACTCGAACGGCACCCCGGGTAAAGTCATCCAATATCCAGCGCGAACTGGTGGTCGTTGGCGAATGCGGGGCTCCAAAGGATCAGGGTTTACTCCGGAGCATGTGCCGCTTCTCAAATCTCAAGGCTACATCATATCCTACTAATTTCCAAGACATGTGCTGGGAAATTGTGGGGAGTGTAGTTACTGGGTGTGTCAAATGTCAATGAGACAATGCCAAGGCTAGGGACTGCTGGACTACCGACACTACCGGGACTATTAATTTCAGGCGTATAAATAGCGTCGTAGGAGATTGCGGTGGTGAAGGTAATAAAACACAGGCCATATTCATAGCTACGCCAAAATATGACAATATCTTTATGCCAGGCAGGACGTAGTGTGAAGCCGGAGATAAAATTGCAGGATTTCGAAACAAAGACAATCAGTTCATCTGGTTATGCATGTCGACCACGTTCCTCGTTATCATCCAGATCAAATCATCAGCTATAATCCGTAGACAATGCTCACAAGGGCCAACCCCCTATTCGCACCCGCTAGACGCAGTCTCATTTCAATACCTCCGTCTTAGCGTCATGAGGCGGATATAGGGGCTCGTGACCTCCGCGGGGAACGTCAATTGAACATGGGTTAATATTAGCATAGATAGCCTCGGGACGGATGTTTTCGACTTCGTACTTCGAATACGGTAGAAAAGGACATTGTACCCCTTTACCCCTCAATGTCCCTCGATAGCCCGATCTTGGGGTAGCGGCGACTGCAGTTCATCAGCATCGGATATAGGGGAAGGGTGACTATCTGCAGTCTTGAACCGTGGATAGAATTCAGCCGCAGTTACGCCGTACTCCGTATATATCTATTTATTTTGCTCATGGCCTGTCTCCAGGAATCGCATCAGTACTGTTTTAGGCCGCAATGGTAAGCGGATAAGAGCATGGGTGAGCTTCCCACTCCCTTCGATTGTCCACCCCTTTGTGGTCAGGACATACGCCACCTAGATAACAATTGGTTATTTGCCACCGGCGACTCAATCTCCCAGAAAAAAGGCAGATATGGTGCTGGGAAGATGCCCTATCTCGTATGCCAGCTGTATGGACTTTGATGTCGCAGGTCACTCGTGTGAACCGACCGAGGGCATCCAGGCTAAATCCAACCCCCACGAAAGACTTGTTAAGCAGTCAGACCCATAGCTTCAGCTGAGTCTTGAATTCTCACACGAAATGCCAACAGCCAGTCTGACTGGGTGGGAAGGTTAGAAATCAGCGGAAAGTTATATCCGTGAATACACCAACGAAATCATGTCTGCGGTCCGCCCCGACGGACCTGCGTGAAATTTCTCTTTTTGTCGATCACTCTATAGTGAGTGGCAGATACCGGAGTCAGATAGATTAATAGGGTTTTTTTTTTTCAGATATTATGGTAAGGATCCATGAAACCTTGGTACCTTTTTAATAATTTTCCCTTTGAAACAGAAAATATATATCGCGGGGCTAGTATCTTGCCACAACCAACCCTTCACAAGCTATACTGTGTTACCTACAGAAGGGCATCCCAGAAACATTAAACCTCAAGATCACAATCAGACCAAATATTCTTTTTGCACTGATGGTAACAAAAAACATGCCATATCACAGTCCCATAAACACCAATATACCTCCTAGCTGCAAGTTGCAAGTTGCAAATTGCAACCATCCCCACCCTTCAAAAACCACTAAACATGTCCCTGCTCACCCTAGAATACCGCTCCTTCATCCATCACACACAAAGCACATCAGTCCAACCTTAACTCCGCCGGGTAATCATTTCCGAGGGCGGTTCGCCCTTCGCAAGGCACCCCCCGAAGCGGACACCTGAACCCGCCAAAGTCGGGATCAAGGACATTGTGCATGCCATCCATGCCGTGGCGCTGGAGAGATCGAGGGTTATTACATGGGAGGAGCCTGTACTCCGGAGGTCTGTTGAGAGTGATCTTTTAGGTGATATTGCGGGTGAAATGCCAGTTTGGGATCATGGGACTCGTACGGTGGTGGATTGTTGTGCTATGTGTCCGGCGGGGATTTGGGTCTACACAATATTATATTCGAGTGACTTATATAGCGCAATTCTGGGCTGCCGGAGTATGCGGGTCGGAATATTCTTGCATTGTGCTACGTGGTGAGGGCTGATTATTGGGTTGAACGATTTAGATGAATTTGGATGTCGGCTGGAATGAAGGTGAGGGCGGAAGTGAATACGAGGAGCTGGAGATATGGGTCGTGTCGTCTGTCAGAAGGCACAGTGCGTGTTACACATCCCTCACCAAGGATGGGGGAAGTATCATCACTCGCAAGGTGGAGCTGGAAGTAGAAGTAGAATGAAACCAGTTCCAAGCTGACAGAAGGATTCGCGTATAAAGTGACCAGACTCGCCCGCTTGATTTCGTGTTTTGGACACCAACGCTGGACATTCACTCACTCGCTGCGTCTCCTCTCCTCCCCTCTCCTGTCGCTCCTTCGACTCCCATTCAACTCTACCAGTCCACTCCTTCAGGGTTGCTCAACCACCCAGCATGTACTTCAAACCCCTCTCCCTCTGCACCCTCCCCCTCCTTGCCCTATCGGCCTCACCCGCCACAGCCACATGCGACATATCCGCCACTCAACACCACGATAGGCAGACGCCATGCTCCCGCTGATCACCGGCGAAGGGCTCTGACAGTCCCTGTCAACCCTCCCCAGAATCCCCCTCACAAGCCCCACTACCTTCCAACAAGCAACATCAAACCCATCCTTTGCACCGCAAGATAAATCATACACCTCACTCCGACACACCTATCCACCCCACTGTCAGCCAACGTCCCCCCCTCCCTACCTAGACAAGACAAGCCAACTCACCCTCGACAAATTATCAATCTTCCACAACAGAAAACAGCACCCATCAGTCGAGATCCCATACACCACCGAATTATCCTCCTGCCGGTCCTTCAGGCTCGTATGGACAATAGCTGTACCCATCAGCACCATCCAACCAACCAACCCTCCCCATCTAGACACCCAGGCGAAGAGAAAACCCAAACTCACCCATATACGCCAGCACAGAAGAATTCATCACCCCAGCCCTACCCGTCCCATCCTTCTCTGCAACCCCAACAACCAGATAATCCCTCAATGTACCACTCTCATCCGAATACGCAACAACGTGGTGCGCGTTAGCGACTAAGTGCCACGCGTCGCCTTGGCTCAGGGTATACCGCTCCACCTTCACGTCTGTCCTCAGGACCAGATTTTTGGGGGGTTCGCTAGACGAGCACGAGCTTTTCTCGTCATCGTCATCATCCCGGAAAGATTCGAATGTGAGTTTAATGCAGGCGGTAAGTATGGCTTTGACGCGCTCATGACAGGGGGGTTTATCCCGGATGTGTTTCACAATGAGAGCTCGTTCTGGATGTGTTAGCAGTGGAAGGGGTATTATCTATCCTATTATCTATGGGTATGAGAGACGCACGGAATTCAGCCAACGTGTTTCGGCGCTCGACGAGGTCAGGGTCGCTCGAGTAGCACATTCTCAGCCTGAAAAGGCCGCAGATTCTGCCTGGATCGACCTCTTGTGGTGGAGTAAAATTTAGTGTTTTGACCTGGAGGGTTGGGACGGGAGCGTCGGGGTCGTTGATGGGGAGGGCGTTGGCTCCTTGGACGACAAGTTGGGGGGTTTGTTTGGTGCCTTTTGCAGTGGCTGTGGGTTTTGCTTTGGATGCGAGATTTCGGCGGATGGGTTTTAGCGGGCGCATGCTGGTGGATGTGGTTGTGGTCGGGAGGTTTAAGATGAGGGTTTCGAGGGGGTGCTCGTTGGAGGGTGGATATGTACATAATGGAGAAGAAGGATGGAGATGCCCCGAGGGGCTCATGTTGCAGCTGGCTTGAACATTATTGCAATCTTGCAACGATGATGAATATCGGATGTTAAAGTGATGAGTATCAAATTAGTTCCGTGGGACAGTGAGGCGGCGACCAACCCATATACCGCGTTTGTTGTGATGGTAGGTGAAGTATCAAAGCACTCTGGGCGCGTCAACAAGCACTATCGTCCGCTTTCACAGATCCTTCTGTGGCAGCTTGTGAAATGCTCCCTGGTAGAAGATGTTTGTGTTGAAATTCACGCGAACCCATATGCAATCTTACTGGTTTATAGCAACCAGCGTCCGATATTCCCTTCTAGAATTATCAGTCTCAGGCCGGTTCTAAATATCACTCCCGCACCATAGGCCAGGACAAGAACAAACATTGCACCAGGCCTATTTTATTCAATATCCAAGTGACACACCCAAGCGCCTCAGTCAGAGCATGGCCGGCCCTTGAAAACATCTCATCCTCCGCATCCTCCCTCCCCTCCCTCTCCTGCCATAAACTCCCAACCTCCTCAAATGCCTCCCCATCCAAGCAAGATGGATCCCTTCCTCCTCCATCCACTAAACGTCTTCAACGCGGCGTCCCAGCCCCAGGGCTATATCAAAACCGTCCAGAGACCGGGCAACGCGGGGCGCAGACTGACCGATGAGCCCACCGCGAAGAAGTATCCCAAGTCAACAATCATCAAAACCACCTTTGGCCTGACGATGAAGATTCTCTACGAGCCCGCGGACAACCAGTTCGCCGTGACTTTCAAAGTTGCCCCCACAGAACCACCCCTCGAGAGCATCGACGCCAACATTAAGAGCGCTACCACCACCACCACCAAGAACATCAACACGAAGAACGTCTCCACCAAAACAACCAACTCCCATTCCACCCCCAGTCTCACCCCCAGTCTCACCCCCAGTCTCACCCGCCACTACCTCATCTACCCCGAACCCTCCACATCATTCATCTTCCTCACGCACCCAGACCCCCTCTTCTCCCGCTCTCACAGCCCCACCCCCATCCCCCTGCACGACGCCCTCTCCACCGCCACCTTCCCCGCCAGCGTGCTCGAAAAATACACCATCTGGACGAACACGTACAACGCGTACGTGGCGGAGCGATGCGACGCGACAGACGACTACCTGGCGCCGGTGTTCCGGTCCGCGCTGGAGGAGGTCGTCTGGAATGTGGCGGGGTATTTGCTCGCGTGGCGGATCGCGATGGCGCCGCATGTGGGCAGTGTGGTGTTTGCGGTGGGGTTGGTGAGGTATCGTTTGGCGAAGGGGGGTGGGGGGAATGGGAATGAGAATGGGATGGGGGTGGTGACGAGGGGCTTTTTGGAGGATCAGTTGAGGATTTTGGATTCTGAGGTGGTGACGGGGTAGATTTGGTATATGGATGTTTCTCCTATAGCTCTTTGTTGGTGGATGATGGGGGTTGGGGGGGTGTGGATGTGGTTGGTATTTGCGGCAGTTGTTGTTCTTGTTGTTTGTTGTTGTTGGGGAAATGGTCGGTCTGATGTCTATGAGGTCTCCATGGTGTTATTACTGGCTGGTTGGCTGGTTGTTGGAAGGAGTCTCCAGGAAAGCGTCCACGTGGCTGTTTTGTTGAGGTTGGAAATTGACTGTTGTGTTTCGAAACCCTAAGGTAGTTACTTGCAAGTATACTCCCGTCCACGGTATTCACCACGTCTCCTTGAAGTACCAACGAATATACCCCGCTGTTGGATGATCGAGGGGCAGCCCCGATAACATGTCCCTGAATTTGACACAGTAATACCCCGGTCTCGATGAAAAGAGCCAGCTGGTATCTATCTCTCTCTGGTGACCCCCATCAGAGGCACCGAGCCACCAACCAACAACATAATCAACCAATACCCCGAACCATAGTACATCGCAGTAAGCAGAGGAAATTTCCCCCAAGAGCCAGTCATAATACGAGCACGTGGAAATAAACTTCTCACCAGGAACTGCAGGTGGCGGAGATTACTATCTATCTACATAAAGCATCACTGGTCGGCTTATTACTGCAGGATGCACAGGATACAGCACGGACCATCGGCATTCCCCCCGAGTCTGACCCCCGCTACAATCATGCGACCTCCCGGTAACATAGTACTATGTAGATAGATAGTAGATATTCGCCAGTTGCAATTATTAATCCATCATCCCAATCCCCCTGCAGTCCTCCCTGCCACCGTACATAGTATATTCCCCAGACCCTTCTCTCGGAGACTTCTGGGGCAAATTTCGCCCGACGGGGGACCCAAATACACGACCTGACTAATGACGAGGTGAAGGTCTCCACATTCCCGGCCACTGAGAGACCCCCAACGATCTCCAAGATGGGTCCGAGTCAGACCACGGCGATCGGAGACTTGGCTTGAAGGGGCAAAAATGGCGGCTTCTCCAATTCTTCACCCCGGGGTCGATTTCAAAGCAGGTTTCCACTGCTTTCGATGTGGGAAGGGGGGGGGGGGGGGATGGATGTATAAATATGGGACATCCAGCGGTTACCTCCTACTCTATTCACTGCACTGTTTGTTCACCGGCTCTTCTTTCTCTTGTATATAATACTGCATCAGATCATATAACTCACATCTAACCTAATAATTAGCCCATCATGACCGTCTCCAGCCTCGTCAATCACCCCGCGCCGGGCATCTCCTACTTCACTCCCGCGCAGGACATCCCGGCCGGCAGTGCTGCCAACCCACAGACAAGCGGCAAGCCGGTGCCGAAGCTGTTCCACCCGCTGACTATCCGCGGCGTCACCTTCCAGAACCGCTTGGGTGTATGTTCCCTCTATCCCTCCCCTTCAACCCTCATCCCCACCCACTAACAATCCCAGTTGGCCCCCCTCTGCCAATACAGCGCCCAAGACGGCCACATGACGCCCTACCACATCGCACACCTGGGCGGGATCGCCCAACGCGGCCCGGGCCTGATGATCATCGAAGCGACAGCCGTGCAACCCGAAGGACGAATCACCCCGCAAGACGTCGGCCTGTGGAAAGACAGCCAAATCGCGCCCATGCAAGCCGTGATCGAATTCGCGCACAGCCAGAACCAGAAGATCGGCGTGCAACTCGCGCACGCCGGCCGGAAGGCCAGCACCGTGGCGCCGTGGATCTCGTTCACGGCGAAAGCGACCGCCGAACTCGACGGCTGGCCCGACCGGGTCCTCGGGCCCAGCGACGTCCCGTTCGCGGCGAGTTTCCCGACCCCGCGGGCCATGACGGCGGCCGATATCGCGCAGTTCAAGGCCGACTGGGCGGATGCGACGAAGCGGGCCATTGCGGCCGGGGCGGATTTCGTGGAGATCCACGCGGCGCATGGGTACCTGCTGTCGTCGTTCTTGTCGCCCGCTGCCAATAACCGGACGGATCAGTACGGCGGGTCGTTTGAGAATCGGATTCGTCTGCCGTTGGAGGTGGCGCAGATCACCCGGGACGCTGTCGGGCCGGATGTTCCTGTGTTCCTCCGCGTCTCGGCGTCGGATTGGCTCGAGGAGACGCTTCCGGACATGAGCTGGCGCGTGGAGGATACGGTTCGCTTCGCCGAGGAGTTGGCCAGGCAGGGCGCGGTCGATCTGATCGATATCAGCAGTGGGGGCGTGCACGCCGCGCAGAAGGTCAAGTCCGGCCCGCTCTTCCAGGCGCCGTTCGCGGTGGCCGTGAAGCAGGCTGTCGGGGATAGGTTGCTTGTGTCGGCGGTGGGAGCCATCACGGATGGGAGACAGGCCAACGATCTGCTCGAGAAGGAGGGGCTGGATGTTGCCCTGGTGGGCCGTGGCTTCCAGAAGGATCCGGCGTTGACGTGGACGTTTGCGCAGCATTTGGGCGTCGAGATCTCCATGGCCAGCCAGATTCGTTGGGGGTTCACGAGACGTGGGGGGCCGAGCTATATCGACCCTGCCGTGTATAAGCCGTCGATTTTCGATGCGTAGATCGGACGCGATAGAGGGATGTACCAGTGATGATTCATAGACTTAATTGATCTGAATGTCGAGTGGAGTGGATTCATCGTTTCTTTTCCATTGGATTTGGTCATGCATTCTGGACCATCAATTCGGTATACCCCCATTCCCCTCATAATACCAACAACTAGCATGTACGTGTCGCGTAGTATACAATTATCCCGACAACCCCGGGGTCTCCCCCACCCGAAACACAAACTTGACCGCACTGGCCCTGCCCTCTTTCAGATCCTCCATCGCACCCTGCACGCCCTCCAACCCCCCCGGCTTCACCTGCACCGGATGGCCACTAAACCGCCCACTGCCCAACGCCCCCGTAAACCACGAACAAAACGCCCCACACAGCTCCCGGCAGTCATCCGCCCCGCCGACCTGATGCGCAGAACTGACATATGTCACGGACGGCACACCGGGAGAAACATCCGGTGCGCTCGGCAGAACGGAATTGATGTTCCCGCCGGGGGCAATGACACCTCTCAGGACGGCGGTGCTGTCCTCGCTGACGATGGTGTCGAGGGCGTGGCGAACAGCCAGTCCTCCGGGCTGGAGGGCCGATTTGACAGCGGCGATGGTGGCGTCGGCTCCGTGGCGGTAGTCGATGACTTTATCGCCGAGCGATCCGTCGAGGAGGGTTTCCACGTAGGTGGATCCTTTCCCGGCGATCGCGATGATCGGGTGGATGTTGCTATGTGCCGCGAATTTGATGGCGAAGGCGCCGACGGCTGTGCTGGCGCCGTAGATCACGAGGGGCGTTTGGCGGGTTGTGGCCGCGGTGGGGGACCAGGGGAGGGGCAGGGAGAGATGGTGGTGCAGCGAGATGGCGGAGGTGAGCGCCGCGAGGGGGATCGTTGCGGCTTCTGTTGGGTGTTAGTTGTGGTTGTAATTATAACTGTAATTGTAGTTGTGGTTGTGGTTGAGGTTGTGGTTGTGGTTGCGATTGTGATTAAGATCGGGTTGAGGGGGTTCGTCTGGGAATTGGGGATATTGGGGGGGGGGGGCATGGGGTTGGTTTATACCCTCGAAGGAAGTCGACTCCGGCAGGTGAAAGGTCGTGTGGCCCCATGCGACGGCGTATTCAGCAAAGGAGCCGCCGGGGGTGAGCATTTGGTGGAATGCGCCGACACGGTCGCCTTGCTGTATGGATATCAGCCGCGGCCCAGATGTCCATGCAGAATTGCAGATCCTGCATGCTGGATGTAGGGTTATCTGGTGGCGTAGTTGATACATGCGGGATGCACCGGGAGAAGTACCTTAAACCCCACCACATTCTTCCCAACCTCCACAACCACACCCGCAATATCATCGCCCTGGTTAAATCCCTGAGCCATCTGCTCGTTCACCGCCCCAAACGGCTTCTCAGGGCGGCTGGCCATCTCCGGCACTTTCCAGTCCTTGGGGTTCGAGCCAGATACAATCACCTTGATGAGGACCTGGTCATCGTTGAAGGTGGGGATGGGGACGTCAACGATCTTGGTGCGCGCACCGGTGAGGTTGATGACTTCTTTCATTGTGGTGGCTTCTTTCGTTGGGATGGTGATGGGGAGGGTAGCTCCTAGGTCAGGGAATCTTGATTCTGCGTAAAAGCTGGAATGTTATGTGATTCTCTCGCAAATCTCGCAGCACCTGCAGGACCTCTATATAGCTGCAGCACCAGGGACGGATAAGGCAGACGCGAACCAGGTCCAGATATCAGATAGCAAATATCGGCCTCGGTGTTATAGCAAACCGAAGTCCGACAGACAGTGAAGATATAAGGTAAGCAGTCGAGTCCTTCAAGACTTGAGTATAGGGAGAAGCTGATGGACCAGGATGTTACCTTGTTATATTGGTAGTTAATGATGTCTCTGATTACCAATCATTATTAAGCAGTGTGGGTCTGATGTCATGAGTGGGGAATTTGAGTTTCTTCAAGTTGCAGATTACATCGCGACGAAGCTATTCCAGCTTCTGAGGGCCGATGTTTCGGGAATCCAAAAAAGATAGTACTGGGTGGGGGCGGGCCGACGGCGGGCTCGATTCTTCAGAGGACAAGGGAACATCCGGCTCCCGAGACCCGTGTTTTGCAGAAACCGTGTGGATGAAACACTGCTGGATACAAATACCACCGATAATCTGTATGAATACCTCTCCAGTTAAGCCCCCCTCACTGCCAGCGCTTTCCGCAATGTCTTATAGAAAGCCTGCACATTCTGCGGCCCCAACGCACTAGCATGCTCGCCCTGCACGGCGAAATACAGTGTCTCCTCTCTCGAGAAGTCCTGCCAGGCCGATAGTTTTTCCAGCCATTGCTCTCTAGTCACGCCCAGAAACTCCAACGGGTCGCAGTAAAAGACATCCAGATGCGCCACCGATCCTTTAGGCTCATAGCTGCGGCCGATCTCTTGTAGGCTGAAAGCCACGTTGATCCACTGTTCCAGCTTCTTTCCGTCCAGCCCGAGGGCGAGGAGCTGCGATTGATCGGCCATGTTTATCAAGCGGGTGATCGCTTCGGGATTGGAGATGTCTCGCATTTCCCCGAGAAGCTTGCGGAAGGAGTCTTGGGATAGAAGACCTAGGAAGTATGAGATGTTCACTAAGCACTCCGTCCACGTTACCTGTCGCAAGCGTGGGCTGACGTATGGGGGTCGGTTGAGACTCGCTAGGAATTTAACGCTTTCGCCTTCTGCTTCGAGGAGTTTGGAGAGCTCGAACGCTAGCATTCCTCCGTATGAGTAGCCCAGGATCGCGTAGGGTCCTCGCGGTTGCAGCTTCTTCATAGCGCTGTGGTAGGTCCGGACGCACTCTTCAATGCTGGTGAAGTACGGCTCTCCATCCCCGAATCCGCGAGCCCTGAATGCGTACACGGGTCGGTCTGGCATGAGCTTGGCCAGGTTGATGAAAACCAGTGCTTCTCCGGCAGCCGGGTGCACGAGCCATAGCGGAGTCTTGCTGCCGTGCGGTCGGAGAGTGACAACGGGGTTGTATTCGCGACAGTCATGACAGGCCTTGGCTAGTTCTCTGATTGTATGATGGGACATGCAGGTGGAGACTGTAAAGGCATCGTCGAGTGACAGTCTTTCTTGCAGCCGCCGATGTAGTTGCACGAGGCCGATTGAGGTGACGCCCATCTCGAACAAATCGCTTTCGACACCCAGAGTGTGCGTCGGCTGTTGGAGCAAACCAGCCAGCTCTTCGACCATGACCTGTTCCGTTGGTGTTGCTGGGGCTTCAAACATACTTTGTTGGTAGTGGCGGATCTGCTCCTCGTTTTGTGACTGCTCTTGACAGAGCTTTCCCGACTCCAGATCGGCTTTGAGCTGGGACCGTGAGATCTTACCCAGCGAGGTGCGTTCCACCGCTGGCAACGGTAGGATGTAAGGACTCCCGTTTGTAATCAGCATTATGCGATGAGTAATGGCTGCCATTACCCTCGACCGAGCAGCATAATCATCCGAAGGGTAGCTGTGTTGGTACACGGCACACGCCTGCTCAGTATCTGCGCCTGGCGGACGGTGTGCAAAGCACACCACACTCTCAGGAGCAATACCGGAAATTTCTGCTTCCTCCAAAGCTACCTCCAACTCATGAGGCAGGTACTTGACGCCATTTATGCAAATCACTTCCTTTGTTCTTCCAGATAGGTTCAACTTCCCGGCCCCGTCTATGAAGCCCGTGTCTCCGGTTCGAAACCAGCCATCTGACCGGAAGGCTTGATCTGTAGATGTGGGATCATTGTAGTAAGAGTCAAAGACAACCGGACCTCTGACTTCCAGGTCTCCCACTTCACCAGGCGGGATACGTATGCTCCCAGCCGACGAGGAGATGCGGAATTCAATTCCAGGGATGCATGTCCCCATCGAGGCAAACTCATACCCCTGGTCCATCTCATATCTCGGACAGGTCCGGTTGTATATACATCCTGCACAGGTCTCTGTCATTCCGAATCCAGGCACAATCACATTATCAGGTGCCCCGTATCGAGCTAGCAGCGTCGATAACCGCGAGCAAGTAGCAACCACATTCGCCTCACCCCCGGAGACAATATAGCGCAGACAGCTGATGTCAAGGTCGAGCTTGACTGTCTTCAAAGGATCAAGACAGCGATTCAGTTCGGCGAGAAAGAAGTTCGGCGCGAAGGTGCTCGCGACACGCTGTTCCTGGATGACTTGCAGGAATTTGAGCGGATGAGAGATGATGTCCTCGGGCTGAACATGGACTTGGCTGCACCCAGAATATAGTGCATGGAGGTGGATTTCAATGAGGCTGCCAACGTGATCGAGACGAATCCAGTTGAGAAACGTGTAATCAGGGTCCACGGGCAAGGCTGCGCATTTACCAGCCAGTGATGCTATGATCTGGCGAGCTTTGAGAGGCACAGCCTTGCAAGGTCCTGTACTGCCCGACGTCAGCATTAGGAGTGCGGGAATGTCCTCTCTGGTGTCGCTGATGTCTGGTACAGATCCTGAATCAGAACGAGCTTGCAGGTGTTCAATCTCAACAATCCGCAGGGGCACTGTCTCGGGAAACTGCCCTCGCAGAGATTCACGAGTCAGGCATACAGGGTGCTCCAAAAGGCTATCCAGGTGCTCCAAATGCTTGATGCACTGCCCAGGGCTTCGGGGAAGGGGCGTAGACATGACGGGAGTGAAGCCGGCATAGATCGTGGACCAAAGCCAGATGATGTTGTCGACATGATCTCCGAAATGGAGAAGAACATTGCTCTTCGAGGGATGCAGGTCACGAATGAGACTGATGTTAGATATAGCGAGTCTGTGAAGCTCGGTGTAAGACAGTCGCGCACAAGAGTCTTTATCTGGATCCCCGGTAAAGTAGGACACAACCTCGCGAGCTCCATGGCTTTTCGCTGCATCGTGAAGGAGGTCCGAGAGGTTTCTCACTGACATATTTGAAGTGGTCATGACATCTAAGAATACACAATTGAAAAGGACCAGAATAGCAACTAAATGAGTAGCTGGGGTTCAAAAAATCCTGCTGTTTAAATATTCGGAAATCCGCGGCAAGACGGGAATGAGAAGACCGAATCCTCTGTTTCATAACCACAACTTTCTCCACGGAATAAGGCGGCAACATTTGGTGACGTGTCATGATGATTAGATGCAGGATTCTCCTTCCTGAATGGTACATTGCTCCTATCGCATAGATTTACTCGTGACATCTTAGATGGCGTCAATTGGCGCCACTGACATGGGTCCGGGGCATCGAAAATATCTTCCAGTTTCCTTTCTAGTCCAGGGGCAGAATGGTCGCAGTAAGCTCAAGGAATGTATCCGGACTCAGAGGAATGAGAAAGTCTGACAAGAATAGCTTCCATAAGGCCACTCAAATCAATGCGGGTGTTTAATCCTAGTGAATAGAATGGAAGGACGAACGCAAGGTTTCAATTTAAAGTATATGTCCAGACGCACTCAGCAGGGTCATTCCCAGTTGGGTATCACAAGTACGGTTGCATGGCTTGTCAGCCATCTCCATTTGCTTGCACCAGCATAAATGATGTCACGAGGTAAAGATGGAGAACTCAAACAGTCTCGTCCACTCATGTAAGGGGCTTACCCCCGGATACTCTATCAGGTAGTCGGCAGGGATGAGGTATGTCCCACACAAGGCCTTTTGTGAGAGCGATTCCTCTCTGAAGGGTGTCTCAGCTTATTGACCATGACATCCCCAAGCAAGATGTACTACCCCTCAAAAGAGACGGGGCGGATATTTGACTTTCTTTGGCAGAATAGCACTAGTCTCGATCTGCCTTCTCAAATATGCATCGAGAACGTGCGGTTCAGCACCGGATCTGAGCAGATATACTATCCGGTCCCCTTCAAGGTAACAGAGACTCTAGCGGCCTTGAAGGGAACGGAGGGCGCTCTGGCTGCAGCCTTTGCGGACCTTCGGTTCGGGCGCGGCTGTGGCTCAAGGGAAGTCCGGATCAATCTAGAACGGGCAACGCTTTTTGGCTTCCAGGCTTTGGTGACTAAAGTCAATGGACATGGAAGAACAGACCCGGAGGTTAACGGCCACTTAAAAGGTGAGTGTGATGTTGAACACTTTCGGAGTCGTTCTGATGAAGTAGACACCGATATTCATGCCGCCCAGTCGAATCCTTATCGACGACTGGCAGCCAGCATGTACCAAACTAAGAACGAGAATGAGTTCTTCCATCTTCATGGCTCTCTAAATCCCACACCTACACTCAACATGATTGGCTTGGACGGATACAGTGATGACCTGACTGAGTATGAAGATATCCGGCGGGCGATTGAGAGTCAGGTCCAGAAATTCGACGCAGCTGAATTGGAAACCCTGAACGGTTCAGTCAAACACGCTGGTTTGACAGTCTATACCCACGAGGAGTTCAAGAATACTCCACATGTAAGATCCACACGTTTTCTTGATGAATTTCGCTGATATACAGGGACAGGGGCGCGCCAACGTCCACCAGCCATGGTGGAAATGCTCGCGTCTGCCGGGAAACACACCTCCAACGAGATTCCCAGTGACAAAGACGCAGAGAATCCTCGAAGGTGTCAAAGTCCTGGAGCTCACTTGCGTCATAGCAGGGCCCGTCATCGGCCGTATCCTTGCTGAATACGGAGCAGATGTGGTGAGAATCACCTGCCCATCAGTGCCAGATGTGCCCTTCTTCCAAGTCGACGGTAATATGGGCAAGCGGACCGTTGATATCGATCTAAAGACCACTACTGGACGACGGCAGTTCGAGGACCTGTTAGCCGATGCAGATGTTCTCATCGACGGCTACCGCCCAGGCGTGCTCGAGAGACTGGGATACGGACCTGCCACGGTAGCCAAAATAGCAGAATCGCGAGGGAAAGGTATCATATACGTCGACGAGAACTGCTTCGGACACGAAGGCGAATGGCGTGACCGTCCAGGATGGCAGCAAATCGCAGACTGTGTATGTGTCCCGATCCCTGCTCCTAGCCATGGTGTCTAATCGATTCCCACAGCTGACCGGCTTTGCGAGATCATACGGGGAATTCCTCGGCCGTTCAGAACCGATCGTATCTCCACTTCCAATCGCCGACTACGGCGCGGGATGTATGGGCGCGATCGTCGCGTTGACGGGTCTGTATAATCGGGCTCGATACGGTGGCTCGTACCACGGCAAGGTGTCGCTCATGCAATTCAACCTGCTTCTCTTCGCTGTTGGTCAGTATCCGGAGCCTGTCAAGAACCAGCTTCGGAAAGCCTTACCGTCCGCTTTCTTTGAGGTGCAATATTCCGACAGTGTGGACCGTAGCTCGAGACTGGCCGTGGCGATGATGCAGGAGCGATTTCCGCACCTTTTTGTGCCGCCATCCACCTCGCCGGAAGAGGCGCATACTGAGACATGGTATTCGCGTCATTTCAACGGCGAGGTCGAAGTTGTGCGACCGGTTGCGGATGTGGATGGAGTCGATAACAGTTTTCTTCGCGGGAGTCGACCGAATGGCGCCGATTCGGTGACGTCGTGGGAGAATCGGTTTGGATGATGGGGGCGAAGGTGAAGGAAGAGTACGCGCCAGAGTCACCTGACCGTAGGATGGACTCACACACTTACCACTTACACTTGAACACCCATCAATTGGCGACAGTGGCAATTCTGCCGGTAGCGTATAGCCTTTCTTGAGTACCAACATGCTATGGAAGCTTTACGAGTCCATTCTCGTCTATAGATAGTCTACATATATATTCCAACATAGCCAGAGATGAAGAAGCCCAAGATCTAAGTAGATGCTAAAAGAAAACGCTGAGACCATGACACATTAGAGCTTGCTCTTCAGGGGGCTGTTCTTGAGGACAGCCGCGTTCCACGGGTACGGGTCGAACACCAAGTCATTGACCGGGTTCTCCTGGCTGGCCCGGCGGAACAGATCCGGGTACACTTCGCCGTCATACTTGCCCAGGCTGCTGTCCAGCTGCCAGTCAGGAATCTTCCAGGAGTCAACCAGGCGCACGGCATGGGGCCGGATTTCATCGAGGAGCTTCATGACGGCGGTGTTCTGGGTCAGGCCGATCTGGCGGACGGTCACGGCGCTGGATGAGAAGAACTCCGAGGCCTCACGCTCCAGTGTGTGCAGGGCATACAGCCGGAAGAGGCTCTGCATGATGGTAGTGGTCTCGGGGTCCAAGGCAGACTTCAGTTGCGGCGATGTGACCGCTTCGTAGAAGTTCTTCACGACCAGGTACTGCGAGTGGGCGGTGGACAAGCGCCAGAAGTCGACCAGAAGGCTGTTCCAGGAGCGCTTCTCCACGTCGCGGTGCTTGAGCGCCTCAAACGTGAGGTGAGCTGTCCGCCAAGCAAAAGCGTCAACAATGTCACTGTCGTTTCCGAGGATGTCGAATGAGGCACCGATGTCACGGCGGGACAGGTAAGCCTGGAGGATGCGAGAGGTGTCGTTGTTCGCGCCCTTGCCAGAAAGAACGGCACGAGCGGATTTGAGGAGCTAGACCTGTCAGTCGGGATATGAAAAATGGCCTAGTGTACACTTACATATCTAGCGACCTGCTGCGTCAACATGTAGTTGTCACCTTCCCAGGTGAGAGTGGGGAGGTAGTCGGAGTACCACGGTCCAATACCGCTGTAGCTGCTGTATCCGTGACCACCGCAGGCACGGCGACAGATCTCGAGACCTTCACCAGCAGTCGTACTCGCCAGCGCCTTCAGGCCGCAGGAGGTGGCGTGAAGATCCGCCAGCAAGTCAGCACCAGCCCTGAGCTCCTCGGGCCCAGCGCCCCGCTTCTCCTGTGCCGCCTGCGCGGCAGCCTTCATGCGGTCCTGGTTCTCCTGGTAAAGCCGCATCATGCCCCGGCCGGTGAAGTGCAAAGCATACATCGACGCAAGCAGCGGCAGCAGGCGGACCTGAACCATCTTGTAGTTCAGGACCTGGTTCTCGCCCACATTTCCAGTAGCATCACGGTCCTGGAACTGCTTCCGCACAGCGCAATAGCGGGTGGCAATAGTCACACCACGAGCCAAGACACCACCCGCTGAAAGGACAATGTTAGACCGCACCCACGTCAAGGTACCGTAAACGAGGGAAGGCGAGGCCGGGCGCATGTACTCGTTGGTATCTTTGTCGATGCGCGAGAAACGAGCCAGCATGTTGATGTGGGGAATCTTGACTTGGTTGAAGAGAAGGAAACCGTTGTCCATGGTGCTGGGCAAGTCAGCGGAGATTCTGATAAAGAACGAATGCAACACTCACTTGTAGCCAAACTTGGGCCCAATATCCCCAACGTAGACATTCTCCAGCGGCTCGTGAGAGCTCATATCGCGGATCTGAACGAGGAACGGATGGGGACCGTAGTTCTTGCCCTTGATGTAAAGCTGCGCCATCACGACCGCATGGTTGGCAGTGCGCCCCAACGAACCGATCCACCACTTGGAGGCGGTTAGGGTGGGAGAGTGGATGGTGAAGGTCTTATCATCCGGGTTCCAGGTGGCAGTGGTCTCCAGTCCGCGCACGTTCGACCCGTGCCCCAGTTCCGTCTGCGCATAGCACCCCAGTATCTGATAATTTTGCGCCGGCTCGAGGAAGAGTTTATGCTGTTCGGGGGTTCCTTGTTCCCGCAAGGTGACCTATGGAAACATGCATTAGTTTTCAAGTCTGAAACGGTGGCAAGATTGAAACGTACCAAAAACATCGAGGCATGCAGACCATAGGGAGTAGGCTCTCCCAGCAGTTCGTTCGCGGCATGGTACTCCTCCTGCGACCACTTGTGCTGAACCGACAACTGCTGCAGCCGCTTCCCCTTGGCCAGGGAACTCTGGATGCGCTCCGTCCGGCCCTGTGTGTGGTTTTGTGATTTATCGAAGATCTTCTCGGCCTGGAGGATGGAGAGGAGGTGCTGCTGGCGGTCGAGGGCTTCCTTTGTGTGAAGTAACTCGGCAAGCCGGTCAACCGCGACGTTGGACTGGGCGCGCTCCTGGTCGAGCAATTGCGAGCCCTGGGGGTTTGCGGGGGTCAAAGCCTTGACCCAGTCGGGAGGGGGGGACGGCATGATGATTCCGGGGTGTAATCAGAGTGGAGAGTTCAATTGATGGGGAAACGAGGGGGAAACGGGGGGTGAGGCCACGAGGACGGGGGGAGGCGGAGTTATAAGCGGCGGTCCTCCGGGGACGATTATTCGGTCGAGACGCCGCCGAGGAGATAGGCGCCGGACCTGCCCTATCCGGTAACAGCCGAGGCTCGTGGGATGGCAGCCTGGGGCCCTGCGCCTGGTGTTGGCTGACCGACCCAAATCCGGGGGAATGTATGGGAAGGGTGCCAATGACCGGGTCATCCGTACCTGCAGCATTGCACAAGCTGTTCCTCGGGGCTGGTCCGGCTGCCCCTGCGCCAACTGGATCGCGATCTGATAACGAATTATCGGCTATCACAGGACAACACAGAACGAACACAGTCGGATGGCCCGAGGTACGAGGATGGCCACGACTCCCCGCCTGCCGGATTCGGACTACCACCGGCAGAATGCCGGGTCTACCGCCTGATCATGTGAAATGTCTGGTCTGCCTGTATATTCAGGCCGCCAGTCGCTGCCAGTCGGCTGGATTGTCGAAGTATATGTCGAGTCGTGGTGGTGAGACTTTGGATACGCGGATATTTCTTCAGGATCAACTTGCGCTTTTTGGTGAAGGGAGAGGTATATAGCTGGATAGGCGCGTGGAGGAGTTGGGACTGTGGCTGGGTTTGTTTTGATGTGAAGGTTGTATTCATCGAGGCTTTCTGGCTATCAGTCGCAGTGATCTCATGTTGTCTTCGTCCTGTCACAATGGCCGCTCTCGTTTTATAGTACCGCCACAAGTTCCTTATAGATTTCTTCACTTGATCCTTCGCATGAACCACCAGCTTCTGGGTCCGATCACCTGAAACCCCCACTCCCAACTACACGAATCCTCACCCATCCACCGCACGACCCACATCCCTCGACAACTCCCCCTCGCCCTCCTGCCCATACGTATCCGCATACCGCTTCTCCATCCACTCCTGCACCGTAATGGGCGGATATTTCGCCTCCTCCGTCTCAGCCCTGCACCCCGGGATACACTCCACGGTATAATCCAGATTCCCCGTACAAAAGAACGGCACACTATATCGTTCCCGCCCACTAGTATTGATCACCCGATGCAAATTCGACAGATATCGATCATTAGTCCACCGCATCAACAGATTCCCGAGATTCACGACCAACGCGCCCGGGAAGGGCACGACAGACGCCCACTGCGAAGACTCGCGGTCCCAGACCTGCAGCCCGCCTGTGTCGTCTTGTAGGAGAATGGTGATGCCGCCGAAGTCGGTGTGGGCGCCGATGCCTGGGTATTTCTGTCAGTTTATATGATGAGAGGATAGTGGGAGGGACAGTGGACAGTGGACAGTGGACAGTGGACAGAACCAGGGCCATACCTCGCTCAACCCCCGTCTCATCCACTTCCTGGGGCGGATACCGCAACAGACGCAGAATATTCGCCGAGTCGGCACAGAAGTCGTCGAACCAATGCTCCTCCAAATCCAAGCTCTGCGCTATGACTCGCATGATATTCCGGGCTAGTTCTCCCATCGCGGCCTGATACTCACCCACCACCCTTCTGAAAGCTGCAAGATCGTGAAGCTCCGTGGGATATTTGTTCACGCCGTGCAAGAACCTCCCGATGGAGGGGTGGTCGGGAGGTAGGTCCCGACAGAAGTAGAATCCTTCTTTGAGGTCGCCGAGGCCGCGCTTCTCGAAGTTTTGGGCGCGGAGACGCTCGTAGCCGAGTTTACGTGGTTCGATATCTATTTGGTAGTTAGCTGACTTCTGGCAGGTGATTCTTTGGAAGTTGTGTGTGGTTGGACTGACCTATGCTGTACTTCTCCTTGGCCTCTAGGGGTAAGCCGAACACTTCGCGAGATTGGTGAAGAATGGCTTGGAGGAGATCGGATGGTATCTGGTGGTTGATGAGCTGGAAGAAGCCATGTCTCTCGCAGGCGTGGCGGATCTGCTGGATTAACAGGTCCTTGTTGTTGGGATCGGTGGAGTAGAAGGCTGTTGCCGTTATTAGACCGACCAGTATGGATGGATCGGGGTTCCAAGTGAGAGTCAGAGACGTACGCTCAAAGTCGATGATGGGGGGTGCTGTGACCATCCTGTCACGATTATGACCGAACCGGTGGATGAAGGGGTGTGGGTGTGTTTGATGAGGGAGGAATTGTGGACAGCATGGAGAGTGACTGTGTTTGATCGAGAGTGCGGGGTATCCGCCGCGCCAAAGGACCATCACCTGCATGAGACCGAACCATGCATCTTGCATCTAGAGACCAGGTGCAATTATACCATTCCATGAGGAGCAGCCATCGAATCAAACCATCACCAGGACTACTGGATGTCAAAACCAGCTACCTCGCTTGGAAACAGAAACCGAATACATATCAGGCGTGAATCCAAATATCACGCCTCGCATAGGAGAGGGATATCTTACTTCGTCTTCAATATTTCCCCCCCAGACAACTCAGATATACAACGTAAAGATGTCCCCAAATACCCACCCACAGACAATATACCAAGCAACAGTCCAGATAGTAAATGATAAAGCCTAAAGCCTACTCCCCAAATTAACATGCACCGCCTTCAGCGACGAATACGCCTCCAGCCCCGCCTCCCCCAGCTCCCTCCCAATACCACTCTGCTTCACGCCCCCAAAAGGAATCCGTGGATCACAGTCTTGACTACTATTGATCCAGACCATGCCGGCCTCAATATCCGCGGCGACGCGATGCGCGCGCTCCAGATCCTTCGTGAAGACCGCCGCGCCAAGGCCATAGGTGGAATCATTCGCGCGACGGACGGACTCGTCTTCCGAGTCGAAGGGGAGGATGACGACCACGGGCCCGAAGACTTCTTCCTGGCAAATGCGCATGTTGTCCGTGACGTTTGTGAAGACGGTGGGCTCGATGAAGTACCCCTTTGCGTTTTTGGGGTCGGTGGGCGTGTGGGACTTTCCGCCGGTGAGGACTGTCGCACCCTCTTTCTTCGCGATGTCGATGTATTCGAGGACTCGCTCGTATTGGGTCCGGGTGACCTGTGGGCCCTGGAAGGTGGTTGAGTCCCATTGGTCGCCGATCTTGGAGGTCGTTTCGATGGTTTCTTTGAATTTGGCGAGGAAAGAGTCGAGGATGCTCCGGTGCACGAAGATCCGGGACGTCGCGGTGCAGATTTGCCCCTGGTTCGACATGATTCCGAAATGAGACCATTTGACCGCTTGCTCCAGGTCCGCGTCCGGGAAAATGATCAGGGGTGATTTACCGCCCGTCTCGAGGGTGATATTCTTCAACGTCCCAGCCGCCATTTTCATGATCTCCCTGGCGGTGGCGGTGGATCCGGTGAACGCAACCTTATCGACCAGCGGGTGCTGCACCAACGCAGCGCCAGCTTCCCTTCCATACCCATTGATGATATTCACTACTCCCGCCGGGAACCCGGCTTCCTTGATCAGCGTCGCGAGAACAAGGATACTTAGTGGCGTTTGCTCCGCAGCCTTGATAACGACTGTGTTTCCGCAGGCAAGCGCAGGCCCAAGCTTCCACGTCGCCATGGAAAGCGGGTAATTCCAGGGGATGATCTGTCCGACGACTCCGATGGGCTGGCGGAGTGTATACGCGAATTTCTGGGGCGTAGTGCTGATGGTCTGTCCGAAGGACTTGTCTGCCCAGCCGCTGTAGTAGCGGATGGTGGTGATGGCTTCCGTGAGGTCTTCCTCGTAGGCCACGTGGTAAGGCTTTCCTGTTGGACATCAGTCGTGTCCGTTGCCTTTGTGTATACGGTGGGCGGGTAGACGAACCGTTATCCCACGCGTCGATTGACGCGAATAGCTCCCTGTTCTGCTCCATCAGATCGGCTAGCCGGCCCATCATCTGGCCTCGTTCTGTACCGGGAAGCAGTTTCCATGACGGGTGTGAGAGGGCCGCCTTTGCGGCTTGCACGGCAGCGTCGACGTCTTCGGCTGTAGCGGCGTGGACGGTGGCGATGGGCTCGTCGGTGCTGCACATGTTAACGACGACGAGGGGCGCAAGCGAGGGACTGGCGACTCACGCAGGATCAAGCGAAGTGATTGTCTGTCCGCCTGACGACGGACGGAACTTGTTGTTGATGAAAAGACCGGTCGGCTGCTGATACCGCCGGCCATTGGGGGTGGTGATGTCGATGAAGAGAGCGTCTGCCATGGTGCTTAGTTTCCCGTTATTTGAAAAATCCAGTGGACAGTTGCGAAGAATAGCGGCGTGAAGGCGTAGAGGTCTTGTTATAGGGTCCTTGGCTAGAACTTCCTATTCTGGAGGGTTTGCAATTGGCATTTGTCAGTGTCCGAGGGATCTTGAGGATGCGATAAGACGATAGGACGCATCAGATAGTGGCATTTACCCCTCACCTCTGATCGTCTTTCTGTTGGAAACAGGGCTAGTCGTGCTAGTAGGGCGCCGGTGGATGCGCTAAAGGGCCTCCCGCAGCCGGGCGGAACGGCCTTCCGAATGGACGGATAGGGAAGGGCGTTCCGAGGGATGTGCCTCTTCGACTTGGGCAAGTAGGGTTGTGATGCCAAACAACACGATGGTGATGATGAGGTTGTGTAGAGCACGCAACATCTGGTCTGTGCAAATGGAAGGCAGAAGTCGGTGACGCTGGTAGAAGAACCTTGGAATCTCAAACTCATCCTTCACCACGCTGTTAAGAATCATTCTCTGGCTGAAAGCCTGAACCCATCCTCACATCCCACAGGATGACTGTCTCCGACAAACTACCAGCCCTCCACGGCATCATGGTCGCCCTGATCACCCCCTTCACAGACGATAAGACTCAGATCGACGCACCGAGACTCAAAGCCCACGTCGACTGATTGATCGCTGCGGGCGTGCAAGGCCTCGTCCCCGAAGGAAGCACTGGAGAATTCACGACCCTGACGCGCGAAGAGCGCAACACACTCACGGAGCTCTGCGTGGAATGCGCCGCAGGCCGTGTCCCCGTCGTGTCAGGGACTGGGAGTCCTTCGAGCGACGAGGCCGTGGATCTGGCTCGTCATGCAGCACAAGTGGGTGCCGCCGCCGTGATGGTCGTTCCGCCGTTCTATGACCCATTGAATGTGGAAGAGTTGACGGAGCTGATGGCTGAAATTCGCGACGCGAGTCAACCGCCTATCCCTGCTGCCAGTGGCTTGACGCTCTCCCCGCGACGGATTGCGGAGCTCAGCAAGGTGGGAGTGAAATATCTCAAAGACACTTCGGGGGATGTGACAACCGCGGAAGGCACATTGAATATCTTCCATGGCGATTTCGGATCCAGGGGTATCGCCATCATCCGGGAGATCACATGGTCTTGACAATGCCGTAGTAGATATTGGGCGTCTGTCAGCATATCCGACGGGGATAAATTGAGGGCCATCGGGGTGTCCTGGGGTGTTATCATCGGAGGGACACCAGTTTCGATCGGTGGAAGCCATGTGGGTGGCGGATGGTTCATCACTTGCGTCCAGCGCTCCGTCCTTGGCGTTGTTGTCACCAGGTATCTGGGGATCGAAGCTTAGCAGGTTGGACCATTGCAGCAGATCATTCATGTAAGCGATCGACTCTTGCGAGAGGCACGGGCTGACTGCTGGACTAGTTCCGTTCTGTAGGCTGTCTAGCTTGGTGATCTCCGCCTCTGCACCCCCAGCTCCAGATGATTGATCCATAGATGGATAGGAGATGCGGAGGAAGGAAGCGGCGGAGGAGGAGCAGAGCGGGAGTCTCGATCGGGAACCCCCGCGGAATCGCCTTCCTTTTGGGCGCAGGGGAAGGACCTGCCGCGGCGGGCTTAGCGCGGGAAGCCAACCGAGAGCCTGCCTGGACAACTGGCTGAAGCTGCTGAACGGCAAAAAAAATATAAAGATCAATGAAAAAAAGATGGAAGGAGACATACTAACAGGAGGGATTCGCTGGTGGTCACCCACCCAACTACTAACCTCCCGGCGTGTGGCTTAAGTACGGCTGAGCGGACGGGAAGCCCTGTTCTCCACACCCTATGGTCGTATGTACTTGGTTTGTATAGGATGGAGGTGATGTAGACAAGCGGGCTGGCTCTGGAATGAAATAGTGATGAGAGGCGTGATGGTGGAGGTGGGCGACTGCCCATCACCGTTTAAACATGGCTACCTCCAATCGATCAACAGTCCCTGTTCTCCACCGATCCCTTGGATAAAGGCGTCGCTGCGGCTTGCACGGAACCGGGTATTTCTCTCGTCGCGTATTCGCCCCCGTCTCGGGGCTAGCTAACCGGCCAGCTGCGCTCTCTTGATGATATCCCGGCTGATGACTCTCGTCGTAGCTACCCTTGCTTCCAACCGGATGTCTTCCACCTCAACCTGGAGCTCGTCGAGCAGCTCGAGCAGATCGCCACGGAGAAGAGCGTCACTCAGCCCCAGACAGTTGTTGCCTAGGTGTGTGCCCAGAACAGTCTTCCTAGCACACCCCTAATCATCCCCATTCCCGGCTGCACCCCCGTATCCCTTATGGAGGAGATTCTCGTCCATGGAGATCGTTATGGTGGAGTCTATGCGTCGTCCATGAATCTGTAGGCGGAAGTGGGATATACTGAGAATTGGAATACACGGGCTCTGCTGATATAGATGACGTGCAGGAGATGAAAGGCCCTGAATGACCCGTAGGGGTTAAATGTGACTTCTTCATATGGTAAGAATCCTCAGTATCTGTACAAAGCGGACAGTATACACCTTACGTCATAATGGTAGTATAAATGCAGCGTCTTCGGACCCTTTGCTTTCTGAAGCTTCTTCTTACCTTCAGCACCTTCTCTCCTGCACGCATAAACCACCCTCCTTTCAGAAGACAGAGGCATACACTCTTTCAAAAGCTGCCTCGACAACCTTCTCGCTACGAAGGTATCCATTTTCAGTGGATACCTGCATCTTCTCTTTCAACACCAGCCCATCTTTTTCCAAAACACATTCATTTCTCCCAGACTCAGCCTCAGACTCAAGAAACCCTCTCACCCCTACTGTTCCTTCGAGCCAAGATGCCCATCGAGCTAGGAGACGCCTATCTCGCGCGAGTCCGGTACGGGGACTCAGCCTCCAACTGCAACTCCAACTCCAACTCCAAAAACCACGACCCATGGACCCAACCAAACCAGCGCCTCAATAGACCCCTCTTCATCACGCGGGCGTGTGAATACGAGAAAATCCAACACCCCACTAGCACGATCCTCTCCGGTGCACCATGCCAGAACGTGGAGACCGAACACATGCGGTCGGAGCTATTGTCCGAGCATATCCTTGCTCAAACCCGAGGGAGCACAGGGGCAGCAGAACCCGCGCACAAGAACATGTTTACCTGGGACGGGAACCCATTCATCCATTGCACCAGCCGGCCATTCGAAGTGCGCTGTCGTGTGCGTGACTGGTCCCAGAAGACCGTTACCGTCATTAATCCGAATGTTCGGAGAGCTGTTCAGTTGCCCACGCTTTCCCTCGGGGATGAACTTGAAAGCCGTTCCCTTGGCCGACCGGCCAGCAATTATGAGTTCGTGGGGGAGTATCTCTGTCTGTGGGAGGTCACCCCGGATGAGATCGTGGGACATTGGAGGGCGACGGACCTGGTTGGTCTTCATGCGTGGTATACGCGGGCTGTGATGCCTGCGTTTCGGGAGCATGATGAGAGGTATTTTGCTGCTCATCCCGAGAGACAGGAATCGCGTGTTGCTCGTGTCTCCTCTTGGAGAAGGGCAGTGAGAAGGAATGCTGCCTATTTAGGGGGGGAGGGATCGGGCGTTGCTCTTGTCTTGCCTAGCGAGCAAGTAAGTGATGATGCTGCCCATCCAGATTCAGGGGGACAGGAATCGGGTGTTGCCCGTGTCTTGCTTCGGGAAGACGAAAGGAGTATTTTCGACTATTTGCTTTCTGGATGATCTGAGGTTTTTCCGGTTCTTCTTTTTGGGTTGGATGTGTCTAGGCACTGTGACTTGGACAGGACAGGACAGCCCTAGCGATGTGCTGGAGAGGCCCAAGTATGGGGATTCTGACACAGAAGGAAAGGTCTCAGATTAAGGCCATAGACGATCAACTGATATGTGGATGGTTTGTGTATGATTTGATTTTCTTTATGTAGTACCGTCAAGGACAAGATGATATGGCCTCTCTGAATGATGCCCTTGCTCGAGATAAACCAAGTGTTGAATTATTCAACAATGCTGTCATGATGATGCTCCTAATACTTCCTCAATGACAACCGAAGATCACCGGGGCAAAGGAGAACTCCCCCCGCTTCTCAATTAGGCCTGACAACTGGATACACGTCTATAATATGTTTCTCGAGCCCGATCTATCCATCTTCTTCCTCCCTCCACCCCTCGCCCCAGTAGAACCCCCCTCCCCATCACCAACCCCATATCCTCCACTCCACGCCCGCCAGCCCTTAACCGCCCTACTCCCCCCTCCGCATCAACGGCCCCAAAAACGCAAGCACACAATCCTGCACGCCCGGCGAAAAATGCGCGACCCCCTCCACAACATCAAATCGAGTCTGAATCCCCATCTCCTCCCACCCCTTCTTCAACGCCAACAAACTCTCCATCCTGCCATGATCCATCTTCTTCTGCACCTTCACCCCCTTCCCCCCCTTTCCAGTTTCACTCACCCCCTTCTTCGCAAGCATCTCCCCCACCCACACCCAGAACTCATCTCCGCCGTGGACCTTCACGTCCTCACTTCCAATGACGAGTTGGATTGCTCCAGCCCTTCCTAGATCTCTGAGAGCGTCACGGTCAACCCCCCGTCCAAACAGCTCATCTACATCCTTGATCCCAGCAGGCCACTCGACCCCGCTATCCAGCATCGTCGCCCGTCCCGGCGCGCCGACACTCGCAGCCGCGATTCGCTCGGGGTGGAGATACAAGAAGCGGTGCGCGAATTGTCCGCCGGCCGAGAACCCCATCAGATAGATCTTGGTGGTGTCGATGCCCGGCCAGACGTGGGCGATCTCGGAGAGGATGGAGAGGAGGGCCAGGTCGGAGCGGAGGGTTGGGGCTGTGACCTGGGCGTAGGAGTCTAGGTCGTTGGGGTGGGCGAGGTTCGCTGGGAAGAGGGGGGAGAGGATGGCGCAGGGGGTGCGGTTGGCGAAGGCCGGGAGGGTGGTGTGGATGGGGGTCAGGTTGCGGGATGTGCCGTGGACGTGGACCAGGAGGGGGAGGGGGGGTTTGTTGTTCTTTGTGGTGGTGGGAGGGATCTGGTTGGGGTCGGGGATAGCCTGCGGATTAGGGTTGTAGTGTTCTGGCGGGACGTAGAGAGCGTAGGAGATGCGCGGGTCGGAGGCCAGGGCGCGTTGAGGGATGTGGCCGACTAGGAAGGCGGATCGTAGGAATTGAGGGGGCACTTCGGCCGTGGTGATGGGTTTGTCCATGGTGGGTGTGTGGGTGGATGGATTGGATCGGGTGTTGGTGGGAAGGTGAATGTGAGATTATTGAGAATATTTGGGAATGTAGTTGGGATTATTGGGTTATCTTTTGTACGATCGTAGGGTCGGAGGTACGGAGTACGGGATGCCGATATACCGATCGATTGCTGGGGTTCAACGGTCGCGATGCTCGACCGTTTGTGTCAGGAGTTGGTTGAGCTTGTATGTTTAAGCGGTGGAGAGGGGCTGTGTAGTATATCTGGTGACTACTAGAGCCCAAAATAATCAGATCGATGTCCTGGAATGGTGAAAGTGAAACAATCATGGTGATGAATAATCCCTCCGAGAGTCATGGCGACCAGTTCGAGCCGTAAGCCCTAACCGATCTGAGCTTGGCCGCGGGACAGTGGTGCAAGGTGGACTCAGGTACGAGGAGCAGCTCAACATTCGGTTCAAGGCATGAGAAACGTGGCTTCGGAAGTTTAGTGGATATAGAAGACTAAGGTCTTTTGTTTGTTAAGCTGACTTATCTCACTGCATCCCGCACTCTGGCATTCCGGATATATCACGATCTTTGGTGGACCAAATGGTCATCTTTCATCCGAAAGAAATATATTGTCCAAACCTCAAAGAAAGAAATGGTTGGGGCATCCGTTGGAGCGATTCCATTGGAAGGGACCAGATATCCGCACAGGGCATCAAACGCGTAACTTGTATGTATGCCGGAATAGATAGAATGGCTCAGGGCGGGGTAACCTCCGTTGTCCTTCAAGATAAAAAGCGGCCATCTAGTCGAGGCTTCCTTCCTTTCACCTCCTCTGTCGTAAACCAAGGCTATGACAAATCCTGTAACAATAATCCACAATGGCAGGCATATTACAACTGGAAATGGATCAAGCATCCGCAGATCTGATCATTCAACTGCAACTCGAGGATGCCAGCGAGTTCTTTCGAGCGTCGAAAGGGAAGTCTCGGGACCAGACGGACGAAGAGCTCGCATTTCGATTGCAAACTGAAGAGTTGGAAGACACCGACCGGTTATTCTACGATCGACGGATGGCCACGAGCATGGCAGCCGCCGTTCGAGCCGATGGAAAGATCCTGGCCGAGGTCAGCGAAGAAGATCAGGGCACTGCTGGTAATGGAATGGCATCCCATGGCCAGTCGAGCTTGGAAAGAACAATCCTGGACGAGGAGACCTTGTGGAAACTTCAGATTCAGTATATTTCCGGTTGGGAAGAGGGCTATAACGATGCCAGCGATATCGAAGATGAAGATTCAAATATTGGCCTAGCCGAATCGTCCAATATGGCGGCACGCCGGCACACCAGGTCATCGACGCTAATGCGTCGCTGTATAGCCTGTGGAGAGGAGACGGAGCTATGGAATGTTGCTCGCGCACCTTGCCGCCATGAATATTGCCGTTCCTGCCTGAAAGCTCTCTTCGAAACCTCCATGGCAGATGAGTCTCTGTTCCCTCCGCGCTGCTGCAAGCAGACCATTGACATCAACATGGCTCGGATATTTCTCAAACCCGACGTTATTCAGCAGTACGAGAGAAAGAAGGTTGAGTTTGAGACTCATGATAGAACATATTGTCACTCATCCCAGTGCTCTGCATTTATCGGCCCCTCGTATATCTCGGGAGCGGTAGCCACATGCCCTGATTGCGGGCACACGACCTGCACGGAATGCAAGAAACCAGCGCATACTGGTGATTGTCCAAGTGATACTGAAATGCAGCAGCTCCTAGCTACAGCTGAACAGAAAGGGTGGCAGCGATGCCTAGTCTGTTGGCGAGTTGTGGAGCGAATGTATGGTTGCAACCATGTAAGGTTTGTCTTATCCTGGCCCTTCATTCTGTTGTCATGGAAACATTAACGAAAGGCCACAATAGTTGTTCCTGCGGTGCCGAATTCTGCTATGTCTGTGGAAGGCCCTGGACAGAACGTTGCGGATGTGGACAATGGAGTGGAGGTCATCTTCTGCAACGTGAATATCGGGCACTTGACCAAGATATAGGCATCCCGAGTACTCTCGCTCCACCGCATAATCAGATCAGTGGAAAGCAGGCAAACAGAAGAAGATACCGGCCGCGTAAATGAAAGGGTCAACTTTCATCAAACGAGTGATTCTCGATGACCGATTCAGAGAATATGTCCCCTGATAACTAAGGGTAATTTAAAATGATAATGAAGAATATGTGAGCAGCAGGGAGACCTGGAGGACGTATAGAACCTGTCACGTGACTTGTGGCTGCTTGGTCACCAGGCTATTGCAGGGGTATCAACCCCCCCTTTTCTCTACATACCATCATCAACCCATTGAATCAAGAGGAAGTAAGTATATTCAATAAACTCCTATTTTAATGTAACTTCATCATCACACATCAAGCCATTCCCGACCCATCTAAGCCAGTCCCATATCCTTGTAGAAGGCATCGGTCTTGGGCGGACGGCCCAAGAACTCCGTCAACGTGGTCATCTCATCCTGGCTGCCGCCCTTCTCGAGCACCTGGTAGCGGTAACGACGGCCGGCCGCGGGGTTCATGGGGTCGTCCTTGAAGACGGTGTAGAACATGTCGGTGGAGTAGACTTGGGAGCTGTGAGGTGTTAGTAATGTATTTCGGGTTCGAGAGTAGTGGCTGGTATTTCAGGTGAAGAGGGAGAACATACCTCAGGTAGCCGTAGTATCCGGCATCATACCCGCCTATCAGATGGCCGAAGGTGGCCTCGCCGTGGCCCCACTCGTCGCCCAGGCCCAGGCTCTCCGGGCCCTCCATCTGGGTGATCTGCTTGCGCAGGCTGTTGTAGGTGGCCGAGATGGGCAGCTCCTTGATCTTCTCGTGGCTCTCGGGCTGGTGCACGGTCATATCGAAGATACCGAAGTGCAGCTGGCGCAGGTTGAAGAGGGCGTCGTTGACGTGCTTGGTGCGGATCAGGTTCTCGATCACGGCGTCGGGGATGTGCTCCGAGGGCGCTTCCGCGGTGCCGGCGCTCTCCTTCCACGCGGTGAGGTAGTCCGGCGACAGGGTCGAGTAGTGCCGGCTGAGGGATTTCAGCTGCGACGGGGTCCAGCACCAGTTCTCCAGCATCTGGCTGGGGGCTTCGACGAAATCGCGCACCGTGTTGGTGCCGTGGAACCGGGAGTAGATCGTCTTGGCGACCAGGTCGTGGATACCGTGGCCCAGCTCGTGGAAGAGCGTGACCACCTCGTCGTGCTTCAGCAGGCTGGGCTTCTTCGGCGTCGGCTTGGTGAAGTTGCACACCAGGGCCGTGGCAGGGTAGCGGCGGTTGCCGTTGGCATCAATGAAGCCCTGCAGTTGCTAGTCAGTGAAGATCAATCAAGAACGCAATGTGGTCAGACGTACCGGCTGCAGGTTGAAGTTGGCCGCGTGGCCGTACTTGCCGGTCCGGGGGAACAGATCCAGGTACAGGTACCCGACGAATCCGCTGCCCTCGCCCTCATCGTTCCAGACGCTGAAGATCTGGACGTCCTCGTGCCAGACAATGTCGCTGCCCTTGCCGGACGTCGCCAGCACATTCCGGTCCTCGCCGGTGATCTCCACGAAGACGAGGCCGAAGAGCTCCTCGAAGATCTTCAGCATGCCCTCGATGGTGGTCTGGAGAGGGAAGTACTCGGCGATGAGCTGCTGGTCCAAGGAGTAGTCCTTCTCCAGCATCAGGCGGTCGTAGAACCGGTGGTCCCACAGGTAGTAGTGGCCATCGAACGTCTCCCCGCGGGACTCCACATCGTTCTTCTTGAACTCCAGCAGGCTCTGGACCTCCTTCTGTCCGCCAGCCGTCAGCCGGGAGCGCAGGTCACCCAGGAAGGTGTTGACCGTCTCGGGCGTCTTGGCCATTTTATCCTCGATGCGGAACGCCGCGTGGTTGGGGTATCCGAGCAGACGGGCAGCCTCGTCACGCAGGATGATAGCCTCGCGGAACAGGGGGGCGTTCTGGTTGCACTTGTTCTCGTTCTGAATCATCACCTGCTTGCGGGTCTCGGGGTTCTTGGCGTACTTCATGGTCGGGAAGAGGTCGGGGTACTTGAAGGTCAGCCACAGCTTACCCTCGTTCTCGCCTTCGCCCTTCTTCAAGCCGGCCAGGACATCCTCCAGGACGCCGTCCAGCTCCTCACGCGTGAACCAGAGTCCCTCGTTCTCCTCGTTCAGGTTCTTCTGGAACTCGATGCTGATCTGACTGAGACGCTTCTTGATCTCCTTGAAGCGGTCCCGCTTGGGGCCGGCGGGCAGACCCAGACCATTCCGAATGAAGCTCTTGTGTTCCTTCTCCAGCAGACGGCTGGACTCCGGGTCGAGCGATTCCTTCTTGTTCAGGGCGGCCTCGACAAGCTTGTAGACGTCCTCACGCATGGCGGCTTCGATGAAGAACTCATCCATCAGCTCCTCGGCCTTGGACGAGGCGTCGCGCAGCTCCTGCTGGGTCGAGACGGCCTGGTAAAAGCTGAGGATGTGGGATTCCAGGCCCATGTTGTTCTCATCGTGGGCGAGGGGTTTCAGGACGGCGTCGAAGGTGGCCGACTCGGGGGTGACGGTGGCGACGACGTGGTCCTGCACGTTGCGGGAGGTCTCGATGAGGCGCTTCGCATCCTCGACGATGGACTGGGCGGTAGCGGTGAAGAGGGGAGGGGCCTGGGGAGGGCGACGGAGGTTCTCGGGGGCCATGCTGGCGGTGGTGAGGGACTGGCGGAGGTTGGTCAATGCCGGATGGGAGGTGGCAGGCAGTCTGGAGCCACGGATATGGCTCAGGACGGAGGACAGTCTAAAGGCGGGGGAGGAGAGGCGAAGCGGAGGAGCCACGGTGACGAGGAGAACGCCCAGGAGGAGGACGAGGAGGGCGGGTAGATAAAAGGGGGACGGCGAGGGGAGGTAATGGTGGCGGGGATGGAGGGGCAGGAGGGCAGGAGGGTGTTTCGAGGCAATGGGAGGAGAGATCAAGGCGGGGGGGGGTTGAGATACGTGGCTCTTGTTGGCTTTGGTGGTGATGCGATGCAGCTGCGGGTGAGCTGCCCGAGGCGGTAGCTCCGGCTGCCTGGGGCGGACACCGCCGGGACCGAGCTCTTCGTCTCCACCTGCTGTTGCTGCTGCTGCTGCTCACTCCTCTCCCATCCGGATTCTTGATCCTCCCCATCATGACAGTACCGAATATACCACTTTTTTGGTTCTACGCACAAATCTTACTTTGGCTATATGTTCTACATGTTCTACATGTTCTACATGTTCTACATGAAGCAAAAGCCCATCATGACAAAGATTGGATATCTTGTTATGTATTCTATCTGATTCAACAATCAATGTTCTCGTCTCGTCACATCTCATCGCTTTTTTTTCAGGGAATGCGTAAACCCGGCGTCGACTCAGTCACGCTCCGTCAACTAGAAATAGGCCAACTCCCGAACTCCAAACACTAACAAACATGTTCAAACGCCCCGAGTGCTAAATTAGATATGATGGTGGCTCATCGCACGAGCATGGGAAAAGGGCGACAGTCGCAAATAATACAAGAGAATGCAAAGGAAGGGGGGGCATGGCGGGGTCCGGGGCCAACACCTCACGCGGCATCCGCCGTGGGGATGGGCTCGGGGATCTTGGTGACCTGCTCGCCCGCCCGGATCACCCGCTGGCCGGTGCCGTCCCGCACGTACTCGGCCCCCTCCTTCTGCGCCCGCTTCCAGATCTCAACCTCGCAGCCACCGCGGATGACACCCACGCGCATGGTCGACAGCAGGTTGTGCGCCGCGTTCGAGTGGTAGTACACACCGCCGTTGAACATGGCCGTGGCGTCCTTGCCCAGCGCGGAGCTGATCATGGCCTTGCCACCGGGGTGGTCCTTGATGAAGTCGGTCACGTCGTGCACCACACCGGCGATGGCCACCAGGCCGCGGCCGTTCTTGGCCTGCTCGACGTAGTCCTCCCAGTCCATGACGGGCAGCTGGTCCAGAGGAGTACCCCAGTCGAGGCGGGAGCGCTTCTGGTCGAGCTTCTTCTGGAGCTGCTGGAGACGGCCCTTCTCGATCTCGTTGGCACGGAACTTCTTCAGGTCGTAGGCGAGGCCGAGGGTCTTCCAGGCCCAGATGCTCCACTTGGTGGGGTCGTACTGGTGCCACTCGATGGCGTTGCGGTAGTCGGAGGGGAACTCGTGGTGGAAGTTGTGGTATCCCTCACCCAGGGTGACGATGGCAGTGATGACGTGGTCACGGGGAGAGTTGCGGTCGTCGAAGGGCTGGTCACCAAGCCAGTGGGCCAGGGAGTTGACGCAGAAAGTGGCCTGCTGGACGAAGAAGATACGCAGGATACCAGCGTAGACGAAACCGCCCCACCAGTCACCCCAGCCGAGACCAGCCACGAGCATGGGCATAGCCAGACCCATGCCGAAAACAACCTTCAGGTAGTTGCGGTGCTGCCAGACGACGACGGGGTCCTCGTTCAGGTCGGAGATGTCGGTGCGGCCAATCCGCTTGGGGTTCTGCTTCATGACCATCCATCCCAGGTGCGAGTAGAGCAGACCCTTGCGGACGGAGTAGGGGTCCTTGTCGGTGTCGGTATAACGGTGGTGAGCACGGTGGTCACGAGCCCACCAGCGGATGGAGCCTTCGACGGCACCGCCACCGACGGCGGCGAGCCAGATGCGGAGAGGCAGACGAGCGGAGTAGGAGCAGTGAGCCCAGAGACGATGGTATCCTATACGATAGCTCCGTTAGTATCCTGCCCACGCTGCTGCCCATGCTACTCGTCGGACAACTCACCCGCAGTGATACCGAGGCCGGTGAAGAAGTAGTAGACGACGGCCCAGATGGCGGTCTTCAGCTGCAGGGGCACCCAGAAGGCCTGGATGCAGCCGTACATGGGGATGCCGAGAATGAGGAAGACGTTGAGCCAGTTGACATGCTTGTACCAGTTCTTTCCGGTGATGGCGGTGTCGGCGACGTGGACCTTCTTGGGGTCGGCGGCGGCGGCGCGAGGCCGGGCGTCTGCTGGCTTGGCCGACATGATGATTGGGGAGGGCGTCTTCGTGTCGTCTACCCCTGTGAGATGGATTGGGGGGGGGAAGGGACGGTGGACGGGGAGAGAGGGAGGGAGGGAGGTTAAAGTACGAAGGCGAAGGCGAGGGCCGAGGAATAAAAGGCAACGGAGAAAAACGGTGGGGAAGGCAATCGGGGCTGATCTGGGCCAGTTGAAGGGCAGAAAATTCGGAGGCAGTTGACTCTCGACCCAGGGTCCACACGGGCGGATGATGGTTGGGGAAAAGCAAGGCGGGAATAATGATGCGGTGATGAATAATATCAAAAAGGATGGGCTGACAGACCGCGACTGCTGACTGGGATCTGCCGACTATTGGGCGGCCGCAGAGGCCGCAGAGGCCGCAGAGGCAGCACAGGCAGCACAGGCAATCATGAGATCCCGAGGTCGCGGGCAGCCGGTGTTCACTCAACAGGGGAGACACGGGGATATCCCAGGCTTCTCGCCGGAATGTATGAAGCATCCGGATCAGAAGGAGTATGCCTTCTCTTGTTGGGCCGCCGCTGATTCGCCCGTGCGAAAAGCCTGTTGTGGTAAGGCTGGGTGCGGCCGGCCAATCAGGGGCCCGTCCCCATCTGTTGAATCCCCAACGTTTTCGCCCCTGGCAGCTCTGGGTGGCTGAGGCTGGGCCCGGGTGGCTGTCGTGGCGAATGTCGCGCACTTAGCCTTTTCGGTGGCTGCTTTCTCCGCTCGGTCTTGGAATTGTAGTCTGTAGATACGGAGTACTAGATAGACACTCCATACTCCGTAGCTGTATACACTCTATCTAGATAGTATCTGCCATTCATCAACCTTCAAGTCGTCAAACACCCCCTTTGACTCCGTGGTCCCCCACTAACGCATTCTAGCCTGCCATCCATGTCTTCTCCGACAGGAAGCGGGCAATTACCCACTCCAACCAGCAGGCAGCCCTATGAGTGGACAGGACCAGTCGCCACTGAATCAGCTTTAGAAGCTGCGCCGAACGTGAAACGCGTCGAAGGAGCCGCACGCGCCGCGCCTCGCCTCGGCTTCCGCCATTCCGGGTGCTCTGTTCGCTGCTGACAGCGCCTTCCTCCCGGATGATCGTCGCCTGATGGCCCAGGCAGTCAGGCAGGTCCCAACATTTCCGCACCACGTGACTGCATGTGACACGTGTTGTGCCTCAGGCAGACGTCCGACTGTTGGGATTCCGGGAAAGCTCGATGCTCACCGCCAGTCTCCTTGGTGTCTGTCTGCCAATGAAGACGGCGTTATTTCACTGACCCCCGCGTTATCAGATGGCCCCAGAAGCATTATTGGGATATGGACCCAGTCCAGACTCCAGATCATGGCAGCGTGGACCCGGATCGTGCCACTGCGCTGTTGGAGACGCGACACGGCCGTTGGGATTCCAGAAGTCCATGCACGGCCATGTAGATGGTCGACAGTCGATGATCCAACTCAAAACTCAACCGGACGGTCTGCAGTCTGACCCAACATCCCCATCTTAATTTCAAACATCTATGATGCATCGTACCATGATCAGACCATCGTGGTATCGGTCCCAACCGTGGTGGGCATCCACTCAGGGTCTAGCTATGCTTCTCGATGCCGATATATATCTGGTCAGACGCACGAACCATGGTCCTCTGGGCTCTCAATGATATACATCCGAATCGATGACTTAAGTTTCAGCTTGATATGTGTTGTTGGGCATCACATGTTCCCGAAAGCATGAACTCGGACATAGTATCAGGTGTTATCGTCATTTCCATGCCGAGTAAGCTGCTGTCCCATGAGCTGGCTTTATATAGAGATGCTAGCTCACAATGACGACCCCCCGGACACAGTGACGATACATTAAAGATGCTAACAACAGCCAAGACTACTCAACCCACCTCCAGTTTCAACCATAAGTTTAAGCATTTTTAATGGACAGCTACTAAATGACTTCAACCATCGAAACGGCAGCACGTCGTTCACTTTAAGTATACCACTACCCCATAGCGCACCACACCGACGACGGAGACCTCCGTTATCCAACCCAAGTACCCAACACACCTTAATGAATGCAGTTCCGAATTCCCCCGAACATATAGAGTGCGGCACATCATTGTAGATAGACAGCCTCGAGGCTCCGATTCTCGCCGACCCGAGGAGTCAGGGCGGTGGATGCCGGTTCGGCTCCACCACCCGTCGTCCATCCCCACGATGTCCGACTGGAGCTGGAGCTGGAGCTGGAGTTGGACATTTCCACTGATCGATAACGGGTCGGTGCATCAGCCATAGATCGCAGGTAGTAGTACCACTGGTGTTTTCATTGGGCGGGGACTTGATGCGGGCTCGGTTTCAGTTCTCTTCAGTATAGATACTCCATTCGACGTATACAATCGGTTAGTGTCCGATTGTCGGAATGGCTGCCGATGACCTGGTTTAGTTTAGTTTAGCCATTGGCTAGACTTAGATAGGGGGCAGGCATGGAACACTCGGGGAGAGGTTCCGAGCCTTCTATCAGCCAGACCAGCCGGACTTAGAAATGGGGGGTTGTCATTGGGGGGCTTGGCGTTGCTTTGTTATTCATTCATTTACATGACTACAATTACTACGTAGATTTGTGTCATGACACAGGTACTATATTCCGGAAGTATATATAGGCGGGTTTAGATTATTGTTTTCTCTACTCTGTATGAATTGGTGGATGCCTCCGGGTATGCAATTCACACTGCACCATACAATGAATTTGATTCTTTTGCGGTGGAGGAAGGCGCCCGTTTCGAAATATATATTTTCGACACATGCAGCAAGCAAACTGAAGCTAGTATCTGATGATGATAGTACTATACCCAGGGGGACTGGACTGAATTGGTTTGGATTTTGACAACTCAAGGTAGAAGACATGAAAACTTCATCTACTTCGCTATACTACTAGTATAGTACTAGTACGTATGTTCCTTGAAATCTCATAACTACTGTCTCCCCCACGAAGGATACCTGTGGTTATCCCTACTGTAGTATGCCGCCTGTCCCTTGCGCTCGCCACCACGAAGTGGATCAGGACTACGACAGGAGGCCGTTTGTCTTGATTGATCAAATCGATAGATGTTTGACGGGATGTTGTTGTTTGATGCCAAAGTAGCCAACCAGACGGCCAGAGTGATGATTGTTTTAGTCACGGCAATCCGTCAACGTCGCGATTAGGTTTGGGGTCAGTTGCAACTGCTCCAATCCTCGGTTTCCGTGACTAAGAGATTACCTGATCGGGGCTGGTGTTCCCCGGCGGTCTCCCCCGCCGGATTCCACAGATTCCAGCAGGTCTTCACCATCATCAACACCATCTTCTGCATCCTCAAGTCTCCGTATAACACGCTCAACTCCCTCGTCTGTCTACACTTCCATGCCAGCCGAAAGGCCCTCGCCGGATGGTCGGGTCCGCCAAGCATCGGCCATCAGCTACGCGGCCATCGCCAGCATCTGGCATGGACATCGGCGGACCCCGACTGGAGCTGATAAGAGACTTGCCAACTCCCCAACTTTACCAACTGCCATGACCTCCCTTATCGCCCCCGATCCACCGGCCCTCAGACTCCAGGCGAACCAGTCACCAACTTCCCCAGGCCCACTGCTGCCCGTGCTGGGGCGAGACCTGCAGCCGGCAGCTCGCTTGCACGGCTCGCGTGTCCCCAAAGATAACCGCATCGCAATTATTCGATTGATTCACGCACGTCGCCACTGATAGACATCTCGTATCTGCGACGCGCCCGATCCTCATCTCCGACCATCGCCTCCACCGTTCATGCTTATGTCTGCCAGATGGATGCTATATAGGCCCGTCCGCCAGGTTGGAGCAGTGAGTTCCCCAGATCCACCACTCCAACCAAAGCTTGTTCATTGACTTCGCTGTCGATATACCAACTTCGATCAGCCAGCCAGCCTCTTCAAATCACTCTTCCAGACACATCTACAGACAGAATCCATCACCGGCCCACTACGTCATGGATGGCCCTGATCAGATAGGCCCCGACTACCGGCCGAAGCGGTCTTGGGGGGACAAGGCCCATCGCCTCATCAAAACCTTCACCACCAGGTACGTGCCTCGACCTCTATTACCTGGCCTCTGCTAACCCTTGTCAGAGAGGGCCTCATCGGCGACTATGACTACGCCTACCTCTTCACCCCCAACATCCCCTTCATCACCAAGACACGCAGCTCGGCTCCGTTCTTCGGCCTCGAAGACCGAGTTCCCGTAGTTCTGGCCCTGCTTCTCGGACTGCAACATGCCCTCGCCATGCTGGGTGGCAGTAAGTCCATTTATCACCCCCCTCCTCACCACCTCTCACTGAACCCCCCCCAGTTATCTCCCCCCCCATCCTCATCGGCGGCACATCCGGCGCCAACTTCGCATCCGGAGACTACGAATACCTCGTCTCGACCTCGCTCATCGTCTCCGGCTTCCTCTCCCTCATCCAGATGACGCGCTTCCACATCTACAAAACCAAATACTACATCGGCACGGGGCTGATCTCCGTCGTGGGCATCTCCTTCGCCACCATCACCGTCGCCACCGGGTCCTTCGACCAGATGTACAGCACCGGCTACTGCCCCACGGACGCGGACGGCACCAAGCTGCCCTGCCCGAAAGGCTACGGCGCCCTCCTCGGCACCTCCTGTCTCTGCGCGCTCCTCGAAATCGGCCTGTCGTTCATGAGCCCCCGCATCCTGAAACGCGTCTTCCCGCCCCTGGTCACCGGCCCCACGGTGCTCCTCATCGGCGCCAGCCTCATCCAGTCCGCCTTTGAGGACTGGGCCGGCGGTTCTGGCACCTGCGCCGACGACCCGGGCAACGGCGCTCTCTGCCCCAGCGCCGACGCCCCGCACGCCCTGCCCTGGGGCTCCGCCGAATTCATCGGCCTCGGCTTCCTGGTATACGTCTCCATCATCATCTGCGAGCGCTTCGGCGCCCCGATCATGCGCTCCTGCGCCGTCGTCGTCGGCCTGCTCGTGGGCTGCATCGTCGCCGCAGCCTGCGGCTACTTCGACCGGTCCGGCATCGACGCCGCCCCCGTCGCCTCCTTCATCTGGGTCAAGACCTTCCCTCTCACCGTCTACCCCCCACTCATCCTCCCCCTACTAGCCGTCTACATCGTGGTCATGATGGAATCCATCGGCGACATCACCGCAACCTGCGACGTCTCGCAAGTCGAAGTCGAAGGGCCACTCTTCGATTCGCGAATCCAAGGCGGCGTCCTCGGCAACGGACTCACCTCCGTGCTGGCCGGCCTCTGCACCATGACGCCCATGTCGGTCTTCGCGCAGAACAACGGCGTCGTGGCGCTGACCAAATGCGCCAACCGCACGGCCGGCTTCTGCTGCTGCTTCTTCCTGGTCATCATGGGAATCTTCACCAAGTTCGCCGCCGCACTCGTCGCCATCCCGGACTCCGTGCTCGGCGGCATGACCACCTTCCTTTTCTCGTCCGTCGCTGTCTCCGGCATCCGCATCATCTCCACCGTGCCGTTTACCCGGCGGAACCGGTTCATTCTCACCGCTGCGTTCGCGGTCGGCATGGGCGCGACGCTGGTGTCCGACTGGTTCGACTACTTTTTCACCTACAGTGGAAATAACCGTGGCTTGACGGGGCTGATCGATGCCGTGGAGCTGATCATGGAGAATGGCTTCGCCATTACGGCGCTGTTGGGGTTGATTCTGAATTTGATTCTGCCCGAGGATCCGGAGGAGGAGACGGCCATTCTGGAGGCCAGGGGCGTGGTGAGGAGTGTTGCTGAGGAGCCGGCTGAGGGGGAGGGGGGACGGTTTGCGAAGGGGGAGCCGGCGCCTGAGGCGCTCGCTGTTTGATTGATTCATGAGATTGTAGATAGATTGTTTCCCATTTGGTTTGGTTACAGATCTGAGGATCTGGTTTCGTTGGATACCCGCTGGCTTGGTCAGTATGAGCGTTGAATATATTGGATTGGATTTTTTTATACAATTGACGGTGATTTATTATACATATACAGTAGTTTATTATACAAATGGCAGTAATAACCTCGAAGTTCAGCAATAGCCATATTTATAGCCACAGCCACAGCCATACATCCCGCTGTGTCTGTCTATCTTAGCCTTAGCCATAGCCATAGCCTTGGCCTTAACATTGGATCGGGACAGGAATGATAATGATGATAATACTAATTATGATAATGAGAAATTAAGAAAGAAAGAAAGAAAGAAAGGAAGAAATAGAAATCACACCCCCTCCACCTTCTCCCCAGGCGCCAGCATCTTGATATAGCAGTGTTCGCCCGTCTCCAGAACGGAGATGGGGTCGTTGACTCGTAGGGTGAATTCTGATAATATATGTTAGTATTAGTACCAGTCACTAACTTAGTTAATCACTCAAGAAACAAGAAAAGAGAAAAAAAAATGAAAAAAGACAGGGAGGGAGACAGAGGAAGGAGGGAAGGAGGGAGGGAACGAAGGAAGGAAGGAAGAAAAAAGAAAACTCACCCCTAACGCCCGGAACAAGCTGCATGCCCAAACACGCATTGGTCAAATCCCCCGGATCGATCCGTCGATAACTCTTCAGCGTGCGATCGGGCTCGGAGCGATGGCGGTCCCCCGTGTCTGGGTCGACGTTGGGGAGGCGACAGCGGATGGTGCGGCAGACGGTGTGGATCTCTACCCCGTTTCCTTCACCATTGTCTTCTTCATCTCCATTTTCATATCGGTTCTTTAGACTTAGATCCTCACCACCAACCCCAGAAGAAGAACCAGACCCCCTCCACCGATCCTGATGAACAAAAATCCTCTTCCACGCATCCTCCTCGAACCGCCCCGGTCCCGTAACCACCACATTCGCCCGAAACCGTCTCACGCTCAACCGGTCAATATCCCTCTTACACCTCTCTCCCACATCCCTGACGGACGCCAGATTGAGTAAGTGCAGGGGATACGCGTCCGCAAAGCCAGTCACCGGCTGGAACCCCAGTTCCGCTTTTCTGGGTGCAGAGCGGAAGATTTCCCTGTTATGGGTGGGATGCGATCTGAAGAGAGAGATGGTTCTTTTCTTGTGGGGGTCGGTGAGCTTTTCCGAGCCGGAGGAGAGGAAGGTCCAGAGAGAGGAGGGGATGTGGGTGCCGTAGTTGTATGCGAGGGGGGAGTCTTTCCAGATTTGGACGGGGGTTAGGGGGTAAGATTGTGATTTTTGAGCGGTGGGTGAGAGGGGGATGGAGAAGGAAAGGCGTGAGGGGAGGAGGTGGAGGGCGATGAGTAGTTTCGTGAGGAGGGAGGGCTGCACGCGTGGGTAAGTGATGACTAGCGCGCCTTGCGATTTCACTTCCGGGAGGGAAGGGGAGTAGGTCGGTGATGAAGAGTCGGGGATCCAGATCTCCGGCTGCAGGAGGGCGAGGGTGTTGAAGGTGCGGTTGCGGAGGGTGCGGGCGATCCAGTCTCCTTCCTTTTCTTTCTCTTGTTTGGGTTTGGTGGTGGTTGGTGGTGCTGTTTCTGTTGCTGCTGCTGTTGCTCTAGAAGGCTGGGGAGACCGCTCCACAAACTCCGCAAAACAGAACATGCGATCATACTTCAACCCCGTCTCGACGACCTCAGCGGTATCGAGTTCAACCCCCGCGCAGCTTTTGATCGGGTAGGTGAAGAGCGCCTTGATGCGGCAGCTGGGGCGGCCATCTTTATCTGCAGGCGATGCGTGGGCGTATTCCGGGGCAAATTCATCGTTGAGGTTGGATTTGGAGCGGGGGATGCCGAGTTTGCGGCAGCCCGGGGGTGCGTATGATGGAGGGGCCTTGAGGAGGGGCAGGAGGAGGATGGGGAGAAGGAGAGAGAAGAGGTAGGGCCAGAGGGATTGTAGAGGGAAAGTGGATGAGAGGAAGGTTAGGTCATGGTTGGGATTGGGGAGGGTGAGCAGGGGGAGGAGAGTGAGGTTTGGCATTGGAATTTGTGGTGGTGAGCATCGATGTATTGAAAAAGAATGGGATCAGCTGAGTATAATGAGGGTAAGAATGTTTTACTGAGTCATTCAACTGATTCTGACGCATTTCATGATTTTATCAGATCAAAACCGAACCGTCGGGCCGGCCTTCGGAGCGATCGGCGATCAGGTCGGTGGGGCCGAGCCTATCCGACCGGAAGTGTCAGGAGAGTGTTTTGGTGGGTTGTGTGATGAATTTGTATGGAGTGGAGATATCATGCTTCATTTCCAATGTTATAGAGTATGCAGCTGTGGAGAATCACTGCAGGGCCAGCATAGTAGCGCCTTAGTCCATAAAAAAGATCTCATTACATAAGGCTGAGGCAACATTCGCGCCCGAATTAAATTGCTTCCAGCTGTTGCTACCTGAGACTATACTGGCGCGAGACTGAATGGTGTGGTCGCTGCCATTTTCGAAAGGTCACCTGGATAAAATGGATATCACCGTTCGGTCGTTCCAGAGCTGTGGTAGATTCTGTGCGGCGCTGCGGCGAATCCCGAGATAGAAGGATCTGAAAGAGCATCGTTGTGTTGTTAGTGTATCACTGGAAATCTACCGTTTCCTGCATCGATAATGATCATGCGTAGTGTTTATCTTCTCCGGAGCAACATTTTATCTTTTCTTGCGAAATTGAACAGAGTGCGCCTCTTTCTGGAGCAAGACCAGGCTCGGGGGGGACTTGCGGAGAAGCCTGTGTTACGACGCCAGGAGAGGCGCGCAGAAGAGTGGGGAGATAGAAGAGGAAAGTGTTCGACAAGAAAATACGACATGGTCGATCTTTTAAAGTAAAGAAAGAACTACCGATTGGTCAGGATCTGCCAGCTGAAAGGGTGGAGTGCAGAGTGTCCGGGGGCAGCGATGAGGATGGAGGATGGAAGCGGGAAGAAGAAGAGTGGAGAAGCGGAGGAGGAGCGCAGGGAGAGAGTCGAGGACGATCCGATGGCGGAGATTCTCCCCTCAGGGACGGTGACCGCAACAGCAGCACCAGCACCAGCACCAGCACCAGCAGCCAGCCAGCCTCCACTCACACAAGCCCGACCATCAACACAACAACCCCCACTGCAGCCAATCCTCATCCAACCCACCATGAGAGATAACTGCCCTCGCCGTACCGAGTTCCATCCCTATCGCTGACGCGCCACGCGAATCATCATCTCCCCCCAGTCAACTGATCAGCCCAGCCACGATGCACAGACTGGAGATCCCCGGGCTATCCAGCCAGAACCCGGATGCTCGTGAGTGTATCCGTCTCCCAGATATATTCCCCTCGAAGCTAACCGCTCAGCCCGCGTCTTCTCGTTCCCGGCCTCGCAGGCGCTGCACGCGTCCACCGCGTTTGCTGCCTCAGGCACCACTGCCCTCTCGACGGGGCTGCCAGCCCTCGACCAGGCCTTCACGGACGGTCTGGATCTGGGGGATGGAGAGTCGAAGGGTCTCCCTCTTGGCCGGGTCACTGAGATCTTCGGTCCCCCGGGAGCGGGGAAGACCTCGTTGGCGTGCGTATATCAATCGCCGCCACCACCACGAACGAGACCTATACTAACACCTAACAGCCTCAGCGCAGCAGCCACGGCTCTCCGCAACGGTGATCAGGTCGTCTGGATTGGTACGTCCACGATCAGTCCCATCCATCCTGATACTCTCTAACTTCCTTGCCAGACACATCCTCACCCCTCCCCAAACCCCGTCTCCAAGCTCTCCTCTCCTCCGCATCCACATCCACATCCACATCCCAACCACACCTAACACCATCTCCATCTTCATCTCCATCTCCAGATCCCTCTCCAGCCCCCTCTGCCTCTCTCCAAAGCCTAACCTACCTCCGTACCCCGACCCTCCCACATCTCCTCTCCCTCATCCACCACCCTCCCCCGAATTTCCCACCCCCGGCCACAAAACTGCTAATCATCGATTCCATCTCCGCCCCCTTCGTGCCCTACTTTCCCAACCCATCCTCCACCTCTACCCCAAATACCAACACCAACCACAACCACCACCCCAATCCCAGCAACAATCCCAGCAACAATCCCAGCAACAATCCCAGCAACAATCCCAGCAACAATCCCAGCAACAATCCCAGCAACAATCCCAGCAACAATCCCCCAATAACCCCCCAATAACCCCCCCAAACCACCAGACAAATACCTCCTCACCCGCAAATGGAACGTGATCAGCGACCTCGCCACCAAGCTCGTCTCCCTAGCCCACGCAAACCACATCGCCGTGCTGGTCATCAACCAGACACATACCCGCATCCGGGGGCAAGTCCGCGCCACCCTGTGTCCGATCCTGGGGGCAGGGGGTGGGAGAGTGCCGTGTGGGGAAGGGTGGGGGTTTATGGGGATTTTGTCTATCCGGGGGAGGAGGGTGAGTGGGGATGTGGAGGTGAGAGTGGAAGTAGAAAGGTGAGGACGAGGATGAGAGTGGCGGAGGTTATGAAGAGGGGGGGAAGGGGGTGGGGGTGAGGGAGGGGAGGGGGTTGTGAGGTTTTGGGTTGGGGGGTGAGTTTTTCTCTTTTTTTTCTTCCTCTCTCTTCCCGTGATTATTTTAAAAATTTTATTATTATTAGTATTACTATTTATTTGAGTTTGGTTTGATTGGGTTGGATGGATGAAGCTGACTATCCGTTTCTTAGGATGGGTTGAAGGCGATTGAGAGGGGGGTGGAAGTGGGTGATGGGGGTGGACGGAGCCCTGAGGGACAGGTGCAGATACAGGTTCAAGAGGTGTTGGGGCAAGAAGAGGTACCACTGGGGGAGAAGGAGTTACAAGAACAAGACGACTTTCAAGAGCAGGGACAATTACAACAACAGGGGGACATCCAAGAGCAGGAGGGTTTGCAACAGCAGGAAGTGCCACAAGAGGATCTCCAGCAATACGCCCCAGAAAAAGACGCTCAAGATCAAGATCAAGATCCTCAACCCCAAGCAGCACAGCTACCAGCGCCCCAATACCCAGAACCCGACTCCCATCCCCGTCACCATCCCCACCAAACCGAACCCGAAACCCCCCATCGCAAACGAAAAGCGGCCGAGATCGCAGACAGCCAAGACGAGGAATCGGACGGTGAGTTCGACTGCGATGAGACGGGACTATAGCATCGCATCGCATCGCATCAGACTTCTCCAGTCTAGTGCTTCGCTTCGATATACCCAGAATTCAAGACGATGAAACATTAATTCTGTATGATATGCTACATGTTACGTGTTACGCCGAACGCCTCGCTATACTATATATATACTATGCTGAAGGTAGCCGCCGATGAGGTTTGAAGAAGGGGGGATGGGAAATCC